ACTATTAAGGGCTGACCTGGATCGATTTCGCCGAGCTAGCGGAGTGTCCAGATACGTTTCTTGTTCCAGACTACACTTGCTGTTGCGATTATATCGGTGCAATGCTGGAATATATTCGCATATGCTGAAGACTAATGAACATTTTGACTCAACGACTACTATTGACTGGACCAGACTGCATATGTGCAGAGAGACAAAAAATTGTCTACAACGGGTAAGCAAAGAAAGTCAGTTTTTGGTGCAAGTGCATTAAGTTTACAAATGTTTACCTTGCACAGATCATGTGTTTCCTTACCAAAGTTTAATAACCAACAGGACCAAGCCTGTTGAAGTCATAATCGGGTTTAAATGTTGAACCCTGCCATATGAATAAGAATGAATCATTCTTTTGATGTGGATACAGTATCTAGATGTCATGTGAGTGTAATCTGTTGGCTGCAGCTGCTATGGCAGTTCCTGCAATATAGCCTCCAGTCCACGCATTCTGGAAGGGGGATTGGAAACATGTACATACGTAAGTACGTGATTGTCGAATGTCCACGTGTGTTTGATTACGTTCACATCCAGATACATGTGTTTGCTTTGCATGCAAACATGCACGGCGCACGATACACATGCATGCATGGATGTGAGTGTACACGCGTGTATGGTATGGTGCAGTGTAGGTATGCATGCAAATACACAGAGCGTTGAGCACATTACCTGGAAATTAAAGCCACCTGTGATTCCATCCGCGTTCAGTACCTGTATCACAACGCAGGAAACCGATAAGCGCGAAAAAACTTTCTGAAGCATTAAACCACAGAGAAAAAATATACCAAAATTTTGATGTTTTGAAGCGCATTCAAGACAGACCTTGCAAATAGACTCCTCACACATAACAAAGATTCATAACATATTTTTTTTTTATACACTCATAAAGTGGCTCACCTAGCTTGCAAAGAGGAGGTCTGAGATGAGGCGACTCGGCTCTCCATTACAGCACGGAGCTCACGGATATAAAAAGGGGCGGAAGAGGGTGAAGAGATGCCAAGGAGACAGGAACTCTCCAGTGTTGTGAGGAGCGCATGGGAAGATGGACGAGAAAAGAGAGAGATGACGGAGGGGCACCTGCAATGTCGCCTCGCCAGGATGTCTGAGTTAACTGAAAGGACTTTTGAGGCGCCTCAAAAGGGCACCTGTAATGTCGCCTTGCCACAGGTGATGTCTGAGTTAACTAAAAGGAGCTCACCTCGCCTGCAAAGAAGAGGTTGGGAAGCAAACGGCTCTCCATTGTTGCAAGGAGCATTAAGGGAAGGGGGGAGGTGGGGGTGGTTTGGAAGAGAAGTGACCACCCCCCCCCAGGAGGAAGGAGCGGTTTGGGTTGTCTCCTCACCCCTTCACAAGAAAGCTCACCTCGCCTGCAAAGAAGAGGTTGGGAAGCAATCGGCTCTCCATTGTTGCGAGATTGACCTTACGGTGTGACATGGGTTGGGGGAGGCAATGGGGGAGCGATGGGGGAGGGGAGGTAATGGGGGAACGATGGGGGAAAGAGGTGGGAGGAATGGGTGACTGGGCTCTGTGAGAGTAAAGCAAAGTAGAGCTTGGGAAGCAAACAATTCTCCATTGTTGCGAGATTGACCTTAAGGTGTGGCATGGGATGGGAGAGGTAATGGGGGAGAGATCGGAGAAAGAGGTGGGGATAATGGGGAAAGATGATTTTTTGAGAGTAGAAGCAGAGTAGAGGTTGGGAAGAAAACAGCGATCCATTGTGGTGAGATTGGCTTTGAGGTGCAACACGCGACAAAAATATACAGGCATTAGGGGATGCAATGAGGGAAGGGAGTTCAAATACAATGGGGAAAGGCGAGAAGAGGATATTGGGAAGGAAGCGGTAAGTGATTGACGGAGAAGAGAGAAAGTGAGAGCGACGCAGGGAAGAAGGAAGGAAGGGGAATAGGGTGAAGAGCGGAATGGGAGAGAGGAATAGAAGAGGGGAATCAGAGTCCGGAATGGGAGACGGAAATGGGAGACGAGAATGGGGGGGGATGGGAGAAGAAAAATTACCTCTTTTAAAGGGACACCTCCCGCAGTCACAAATTCATCCTTAAACCGACCCTGCAGGAGAGGGGAGGAGAGGAGAGGAGAGGAGAGGAGAGGAGAGGAGAGGAGAGGAGAGGAGAGGAGAGGAGAGGAGAGGAGAGGAGACGAATAAATTGAAAAAAAAGCAGCAATAGTGAAAATCAAAAAGAAATCAAGGGGGAAAACATGATGAATGCGGTGCATCACTAAGACCAATTTGTGAGGCGCCTTAAAATTTCTCTCAAAACTCTCCTCTCCTCACCTTGCCTGCCACTGCCAGCTCAGCTTTGTGGATGACGTCAGCAAGGGCAAGCAAATGGGCCTTTGACACGTGTGCCCAGAGGGTCTCTGGATGAATTGCCTGTGGCGGTTGAGGGAGGAGAAGGGAAAAGTGGAGAGGAGGGGAGGGCGACGGCGGCAAACAGTAACAACAGATTCTAGACACTACAAGGGGAAGGGCTTTGCAAATTGTAAGAATGTCACTCACAGCACGATCAAGCAGGTAGCACCAGAATCTTCTGGGAAGGTTCAGCTCCACTGGGGCAGTGGTGCTTATTTTTTTCTTCTGCAAGCGTTGGAGGAAGGGGTGGGGGTTCGGGGGTTTGTTTCACCTGAAGCAGCGGAAATCACCTGAAGCAGTGAAAATCACCTGAAGAAGTGAAAATCATCTGAAGCAGTGAAAATCACCTGAAGTGCAAAAATCACCTGGAGAGATGATTTGGCAGCAGTGAGTGCAGAGAGGAGAGCGGCGGCGGAGAGATGAGGGGTAAAGTCAGCCACTAGGGTTGCTGGTGGGAGGGAGAGAGGGAGGGAGGGAAGGAGGGGGGGAGGAACAAAGGTGAGGGGGCGAAGCAGTGGGTGCAGAGAGGAGAGCAGCAGCGGAGAGATGAGGGGTAAAGTCAGCCACTAGGGTTGCTGGTGGGAGGGAGAGAGGGAGGGAGAGAGGAACGAAGGTGAGGGGGTGATGCAGTGGGTGCAGAGAGGGGAGCAGCGGAGAGATGAGGGGTAAAGCCGGCGGAGGGAGGGAGGGAGGGAGGGAGGGAGGGAGGGAGGGAGGGAGGGAGGGAGGGAGGGAGGGAGGGAGGGAGGGAGGGAGGGAGGGAGGGAGGGAGGGAGGGAGGGAGGGAGGGAGGGAGGGGGGGGGAGGGAGGGAGGGAGGGGGGGAGGGAGGGAGGGAGGGAAGAAGGAATTCCCACTTCCCACCCAGCAGTGTAAACCCCACCACCGCCACCAACTCTCCAGTGTAAGCAAAGGCGTGCAGGTTCCTGGCAGCCCAGGCAGAAAGCTTCAGCATGGCCGGGCCGCTCACTCCCCAGTGCGTGAAGAGCAGGGGCAGGAGGAGAGAGGCACACAAGGAGTGAAGGGAAAGAGGCACACCCACCCACCAGTGCCAACACTCACCAGTGTAAGCAGAAGCATGAAGATTCCGGGCCGCCCAGGCAGAGAGCTTCAGCATGGCCGGGCCGCTCACTCCCCAGTGCGTGAAGAGGAGGGGTGAGAGGAGAGAGAGGCACCCTCCCACCACCACAACCCACCCACCAGTGTAGGCAGAAGTATGAAGATTTCTGGCAGCCCAGGCTGAGGGTTTCAGCACAGCTGGGCCGCTCACTCAGCAGTGCATGAAGAGGGGGTGTGAGAGGAGAGGGCGACCTGGGATGAAGGAACAGAGGCCCTTGCACCCACCACTGCCACCAAAAGCGCAAACACCCACCGGTGTACGCAGAAGCATGCAGGTTCCTGGCAGCCCAGGCAGAGAGTTTCAGCACAGCTGGGCCGCTCACTCCCCAGTGCGTGAAGAGCAAGGGCCCTCGCTGCGTGAAGGAAACTTCCTTGTTCTTTTGCAGCTTGGCCTTGGTTTTGCCAGTGGTGGCAGCAGTGGCAGGAGCAGTGGCAGTGGCAGCGGCACCGGTAGTTGTGGTGGTGGCAGCAGCGGTAGTGGGAAGGGGTGAAATGTCGGAGGATGATGGGGGGGATGGAACGAGTAGCTTGAGAGACACGTCGTCAAGGGATACCTGGTTTAAGGGCATGGCAGAGAAGAAAGACCGTTTATGCATTTTGAGTCTACTTTTGAGTAAACAGGTGTTATTGCGGAGGAGTTGGAGGGAAGGGAAGGGAGTAACAGGTGATGTGGTGATCTTTTAACCAACAGCAGGTCGCAGCGGCAGGAGGAGAAGCAGCAGCGTGGAATCATGAGGAAGGAGTGGGACACTGAAGGAAAGACGATATTTTTCGTTCAGTCAACTTAAAAAGGGAGTAACAGGGGATGTGGAGATTTCGAAAGCAGTGCGAGCAGTGTCAGGGATGTTGAAAGTGAAGAGTGAGGGGCAGGGAGGGACGATGGAGTGACCTAGGGAGCTGAGAGCTGAGTTGAGACCAGAAACACACCCACTCAGTCGCTTACTCACTCACTCCCGCACTCGGTCATTCACTCACTTCCTCAATCCCTCATTCACTCACTCACTTTCTCACCCCTGCTAGAGCAGTGAGAGCAGCGTCAGGGATGCTGAAAGTGAAGAGAGATGGGCAGGGAGGGACGATGGAGTGACCTCACGCTCACTCGCTCCCTCCATCCCTCACTCACTCGCTCAATCACTCCCGCACTCACTCACCCACTCACCCACTCACCCCCGCAAGAGCAGTGAGAGCAGCGTCAGGGATGTTGAACGTGAAGAGAGAGGGACAGGGAGGGATGATGGAGTGACCTAGAGAGGCTGCCATGTCATGGCCCTGCGGGGATAGAGAGCGGCGGGGAGGAATAAGAAGGAAATTTGCGGAGTGAGAACGGTTGAGCAGTTAGAGCAGCGTCAGGGATGTTGAAAGTGAAGAGAGATGGGCAGGGAGGGACGATGGAGTGACCAAGGGATGATGCCATGTCATGCCCCTGCAGGGGTAGAGAGCGGTGGGGAGGGAAAAGAAGGGGATATGCGGAGTGAGGACGGTTAAGCAGTGAGAGCAGAATCAGGGATGTTGAAAGTGAGGAGTGAGGGGCAGGGAGGGATGATCGAGTAACCAAGGGATGCTGCCATGTCATGCCCCTGTGAGGGGTAGAAGGGTGGAAGGAGATGAGAACGGGTGATGAGGGATGGGGATAGGTGGGAAGGGGTGAGATGGGGTGAAACTGAGTCACTTTTGGAAGACGAAGGGGGGAAGGGCGGAGAGGGGTGATGGAGTGACGGAGGGATGATGAAATGGAATGCCCCAGGGGTTGAGATGGGTGGGAAGAGGTGAGGAGGAGTGAAGAGAGAGGTGAAGAGGGGTGATAAGGGGTGATGAGGGAAGTACAATAATGGCAGGACCTTGAACAAGGCAAAGGAACTTGCTGAATCAATAAACACCATCGATGACATTCAGAGATAACCCTAACAAAAAGGTCTAATACCTTGATTGACCCACCAGTGGCGATGAGAACGAAATCAGCCATGAGGGAGAGAGGGGAGGAGGATGGGGGAGAGGAGGAGGGAGAGGACGAGGAGGGAGAGGAGGAGCTGTTGATAAACGTTGGCGTCTTCTTTGAGGAGAAGATGAGGAACTGGCCTGCAGGGGTGTGAGTGATTGATGCCACAGGCCAGCCAGGAGAAATGGTCACTGGGTAGGGGGAAGGGGATGGATTGGGTGGGAGAATGGGGGCGGAGGGGAGGGATGGAGAGAGGGGACGGAGCGAGGGAACTGTTGAAGTGTGGTTGGAGTGTTCTTGGAGGAGGAGATGCGGAACTGGCCTGCAGGGGTGCGAGTGATTGATGCCAGGGGCCAGCCAGGGGAGATGGTCACTGGGGGATGGAAGAGAGGGTGGGAGGATGGGGAGGAGGATGGGGAGGAGAGGGGATGGAGGCGCCAAGATGAGAAACTTATACCCCTGCTGGGTGAAAGGGCGATATCCATGGAGGGTCAGAAGTCAGTACGATTGCGAAATGATTTTTGAGGCGCCAACATAAGCGCTATCCATGCTGCAGGGTATGAGGTCAGCACAACACAGAGAATATTTTGAGGCGCCTAAAAAATCACTATCCATGCAGGGTGAGAAGTCAGTACAATAATGAAATTCTACGCAGGGCATGGGGAAAGCAGTTGAATACCTGCAGATTCACCTGAGAATTGACCTGGAGACAGTTGGAGACCTGCAAATGTACTCGAGAATCACCTAAAAATACACCTGGAGATGTACCTGAGAGCACCTGAGAATGCACCTGTGAGCACCTGAGAGTGTACCTGAGAGCTCGTGTGCTTGGGAGAGCAGGCAATCGATGACTGACTGAGAGGAGTCAGACACAGGGAACATGCGGCCGTCTGGCTCAGTCTGCCATGGGATGGGTGGTGGAGTCGAGGGTGGTGGGGAGGGCGGAGTGGGGGGTGGGGATCGGGGTGAGTGACCAGCAGCAGGCAGGCAATAACTGACTGAGATGAATCTGACACAGGGAACATGCGGCCGTCTGGCTCAGTCTAGCATTGGGGTGTGATGTGGAGGGAAGAGGGCAGTGGCACGGGGTGGGAGGAGAAGCAGAAGGCTGTCAGATTTCAGAAAACGCATGCGGTATGAGTGAAAGGCCTAGAGGCATTAAGGCACTCGAACACGCCATGAGGGGCAAGGCGATAGCTGCAGCAAGGCATGATAACGCAAGAACAAGAGACACACAAACGCACCTTCAGCGGCACCCCTCGCTGTGTGAACCACTCAATGGCGAAAGAATCGCGGCAATAGCAGGAAATGGGCCACGCACTGCCAAAGCACACACAAACGCACCCACAGAGACAAACGACACACTACAAGCAAACGCACCTTGAGGGGCACCCCCCGTTGTGTGAACCATTGAATGGTGTCTGCGGGTCCGTGTGTGCGGAAAAACGAGGTGATAGCAGCAACAGCAAGGCATGGTAGCACAAGAACAAGAGCCACACGCACCTTGAGGGGCACCCCCCGTTGGGTGAACCACTCAATGGTGTCTGCGGGTCCGTGTGTGCGGAAGGAAGAGCTTTTCGGAGCGAAGCGATAGCAGCAGCAAGGCATGGCAGCGCAAGAAGTAGAGCCACACACACGCACCTTCAGCGGCACCCCCCGTTGGGTGAACCACTGGATGGTGTCTGTGGGACCGTGCGTTCGGAAGAAGGCGCCTTTGAGCTCCCGATGACCCCTCGGGTAGTGGGAGGCGAGGTGCTGGGAGTGGGGGGGTGAGAGAGAGGGCGGAAGAGTGAAGCAGGGAGAGGAGAGGTAGAGGAGAGCGGATGGAACAGGAAGAGATGCTGAAACATCATAAGAGAAAGGGCATTAGAGGCGCTCAAAAGGTGATGCAGAGAAGAGGAGAGGGAGAGATAAATTCTGAGTCGATTCAAGAATCCCTCTGGATGGAACAGGAAGAGGAAGAGGTGCTGAAAGAGTTGTCCATCCGCTCTTACAAGAAAGAGCATGAGAGCAACAACAGTTGTCCATCCATGCAGGAGTAGCACGTTACAAGTTACACATTATGTCTTACAGGTTACTTCCATGTTCCACAGTAAAGGTTACATGTTCCAGACTGGGAGTTGCATGTTACACATAGCAAGTTACATGTTCATCAGTAACACGTGACATTATATTTTACAAGCTGCACGTACTATGGGGTCGGCTGCGAGTCCTGTTGTGACGTTGCAGCGCCCGCCTCCTGATATGCGCACCTGAGAAGCAGGATGGGCAAGGAAGCACGGGAAGGGGAGATTTTCAAGGGGTCTAAAACTAAGACGTTGCAGCGCCCACCCACTGATATGCGCACCTGATGCATTGGAGGAGACAGGAGGGGAAGCATGGGGGCAGGCATGGGAGCAGAGCAGGCATGTGGCGGCATGAAATGGGATGAGACCAAGAGCAGGGGGTGGAGCAAGGCAGCGCCCACTTTGACCTCCAGGCATGGGGCCATCTCCTTGGCTCACACCGCACCAACAACTCCCACCAACCTCCTAACACTGCCTCAAATCCCTCTCCCCTTACCCTCTCCCCTTACCCTCTCACCTTCCCCAGCGATTGACTCTTCTCCACCACTCGGACCTCCAAACCAGCAGCCATCTCCTTGGCTCCCTGCCCCAGATTTATCCCCCTCCTCCTCTCCGTTTCCCCATAATCCCCCTCTCTCTCACCTTCCCCAGCGGTTGACTCTTCTCCACCACTCTGACCTCCAAGCCAGGTGTAATCTCCTTGGCTCGTATCGTGCCAACCACTCCCATCCAACCCCCCAGCTCCGCCCCAGATCCATCCCCCTTCCCCTCCCCCATCCCTTCCCTCCTTCCCCCTCCTCCCCCTCCCGCCTCCAATCTCCCGCTCACCTTCCCCAGCGGTTGACTCTTCTCCACCACTCTGACCTCCAAGCTAGGGGCCATCTCCTTGGCTCGAATCGCGGCAAACACGCCCGCCGCGCCTCCCCCGATCACCACCAGCCGAAGCGGCCGCCTTTCCCCCCCAACCTCCTCCTCCCCCTCCGCTGATTCCCCTTTCACGGCCCCCTTCCCTGCCGTTTCCCCTTTCCCCGTCGCGTCCCCCTTCTCTCCCGTGTCGGCATTCCCGTTCCTGCGGCTGGTACCGCTGCTCCTGCTGCTTGTCGCAGAGGTAGTGATCACCCGACTGGTAACCCCATTCCGCGTGTTACACACCATGCGAAACTTCGTCATTCTCCACGCGCTATAAGAATTCGTGTCAAACGTCTCCTTATTCGCTAGTCTTCCACTGCTACGAGTCACACTAGGAATCGCGAGAGATTTCATAGATTTCTTTAGAGACGTTGACGCGATCCGATGCGTCGCGATCCCCCGATCCGCCGCGAAACACAGCGCGACAGGCAATGCTGTGAAACGAAGCGCGCCATACCGGCCTGCCGTCAAAGCAACGGTCAGCCGGCCGGCTGAAACAGCCGGCAGGCGGCTAAGCCGAAATCCTATGTCCATCGCAATATCATTCAATACATGTCAACGCCGCAGCAGATAACCCCGTAAGGACCCTGTCAGTCTGGACCGTGCAGCTTCAGCACTTCAAGTGCCCTGTGTAAAATTCCCGAATGTCCGTCAGGCAGGGTTGAAAGGCAAATGCTACCTGCTGAGGGGACAACCTCAAGACAGAATTTGGAAACCCGACTCCAGCTCTCTCAAACCGAACTCAATCCTCCCTCAATCCCCCAGAAGTTAGCGCGCGAATCTGAAACTTCTGATAAAACCCAAACCAAGCCCAAGGTTTCGGGTTTGTCAGAATTTCCAGTTAGCGCGCTAACTTGACTTGAACCCTCGCAATCATGTACTTGCGGCATGGTCCCTAGACTTCCACCACGATATTTTTCAAAGCAATCGCGCGGGAATGGCGTCCCCTTCGTTTTCGAGTAGAGGAAGAGCAGCGAAGCCATATGGATTGGGTGAGACTCACTACGACGCGCTTTGCGTATCCCGAAACGCGAATCTGGACGAGATCCGTCGCAATTTTCAAGAAGCAGCGCTGCTGCTCCACCCAGACAAACAGCAGCAAAATCTGAACCAGAAGCAGGAGCAACGGCAGCAGGAAGGCGAACGAATTCGCGAAGTTTTGGAACGACGGCTGCAAGATAGCGGAGAAGACACTAACGGCGACAGCATTTCCAACTGTCAGGAGCAGCGGTTTCAGCGCGTGCACGCGGCGTGGAGTGCTCTGCGCGATTCGTCAACTCGCGCCGATTACGATTGCATGCTCCTCGGTGCGTTCCTTAACCGCCAGGTGTTTTCAAGTTTAGGGTTCAGGTGTCCAGTTTAGGTCACAAAACAAACGATGGGATCGTGATTGAATTCTAACTTTTCCACGGCTAGGGTTCGCGAGCGCTGCGAGACGCGCCTTTGGCTTTTGATCATTGAGATCATCGCTGCAAGCGGCACTCCTGTCATTTCTTGCTACTGAAATCACTCCTCAAAATTTCAGGTCCGTCCGAACTAGAAGGTGTGCGTTTGTCGCCCTTCATGGCGCTGAGAGCGCTGGTTCAAATGCTCTATATCTATGGCTGTTAAGATTTTTGCTCCATAATCGTGTTTTCCAACCTGCCCTGCTTCTCCTGTGAACCAGACCTCTCTTTAATCTGGCCTCAAAGAAACCATTCTTCATGCTTAAATTTGTCTCTTTGTGTACCAATATCTCCTTGTAACGAATCTGGTGCAGAGTCAGACAAACGGGCAGCAGCGCTTGCTCTGGTGCAGCAGGGCTGCTACAGCCGCAGCTACAGTGCTGGCTGCTACAGCTCCACCAACGGAGGCTACAGTCCCAACTCTGCAAATGGTTGTCACTTACAAGAAGGGGAGAGGCAAGATGGGTTGAGCCAAGGTGGGGTGAGGGACGGGCAGAGGGAGAATGGTGAAGTGGCAGCGGTACCCACAGCAGAAGAGGGGACCAAGGGAGGAGTAGGAGGAAGAGGGAGTGCAGGAGGAGGGGCAGCATCAGCGGCGCGAGAAGCAGCAGGGAGGGTTCACTGTGGTGGTGCAACGCCGTGTGCTGATGGGATAAGCATAGACGACATGACTTGGGAGGAGGAAGAACAAGAAGAAGCAGAGGGTGGAGAGGAGGAAAACGGCAGGGATGTGGGAAAGTGTGACAGTGGGAAAGGGGGAACAGGATGGGAGGGAGCAGGCGGGGAGGCCTACAGGAGAGGTGTGTTTGTGGCCAAATGTCGGTGTGGGGACGTGTTTGCGCTGGAATCACAAGAGGTGGTTGAGGCTCTGGGTCTAGAGGGATTTGCTCCTGGAAGCAGAGGATCAGTGGCTTGTAGTGGAGGATCCGAGATGGGGACAGGTGAATGTGGGAGAGGTGCAATGAGTGTAGGGGCAGAGGGAGTACAAGGTGGAGAGGAAGGGGGAAAGAGGGTTGGAAGAAAGGGAGAACAGGGGGCTGGGGAGAGGAGAGGGGAGGAGATGGCAACGGGGGTGATTGGAACAGGTGAAATTCCTGGCAGGGGTGTGGAGATTGTTGTTCCTTGTTGCTCCTGTTCGTTACATTTGCTTGTGTTTGCAAACGTGAACTCTAGATCACTACAAGTGATTATGGGAAATAATTAGCTCGGGTGAGGATATGTTTTGTAATGTTCCGCTTATACCGTAGGTTGAAAAATGAGAACCCATACCATGCTGGGCATATGGCGAGAGGAGAGAACCTGGGTTCCAGGTTTCCAACATTTACGGTACGGGTGTAGCAACTTACCGGTGCACATGCTAGCCTGCTTCATGGGCCGCAATGCTGGCGACGAATGGCGTCAAATTTGAATTTAAACTCACTACCAAGCATAGTTGGCATTTAGTCGTGTACACAGGGAAGCATTGAATCGTGACGCCACTGTATGTCAAATTTAATAGCTCCAAAGTACAACTTTTAACGGAATAACCAGAACATACTCCTATTTTGTATTTTGCTCGTGTGTGAAGGTGTAGCGTGCCATGAAAAGCCCTCGCCCTCTACAAGCCCATCATTTAGGTTTTCTCGAAGCGCCCCCGTTTCAGTCAGTACTCACATCGCAACAATGTCGAATGGTTCGAAGCGCACGCAATTCGTATCGTCACATTTCTCGTCCTTTTCCCCATTTTCCGCCCCCCTTGTCTTGCCATGCCACCGGACTGGATTTTTCCTGCACATGCCCCCTTGCACGTGGCCCAGGGCTCCCAGCCCAGCCTAATCTCAAATCCACCCATCCCGCCCACCCACCCACCCAGCATCCCCTGCCCCTCATCAGCACACAACCTCCAAGCTCACAACCTTTTTCAGCCGACGCTGCGCGCGCGAAACCATCGATACGCGCTCTCGTTTGATAGAGATGCCCGCGATAGAGACACGCTGCGGCGGTTTGGTCCTTGGGGTAGATCCCCTTGCTACGCTTCTGTCGACCGATGGTACTACCACAGCTAGTACAGTAGCTCCATCAGAGCCAGACCCGCGCTCGTACTACACGTACCGTTTCCTGCACTACAAGTTCCCTCTACGTGGACAGACATACAAATACGCAGCGTTGTAATCATAGAGCCAAGGCTGGGTGATGCTCGCATAGTAGTGCCCTAGCAAGTAAGCACGATGACCAGGCGTTTGCTCCTTCGCGGCGTGTTTTTCAAAGTCGTCCTATTTTTCGCCCTTTTAGGGAGTGCCGCGCACCCAAAAACATTGGCGACGGCGTGGAAGGTTGGCAGCAAGCGAGGTCCGGCCCCCGATCTAATGCCCAAGGAGGAATTGCTATCCACCTGCAAGTTCCCAGGTGCGCTAGTAGTTTTACTACCTGGTAGCTTTGTGTCGACTCAAAAGGTCCGCCCCCCGATCTAATGCCCAAGGAGGAATTGCTATCCACCTGCAAGTTCCCAGGTGCGCTAGTAGTTTTACTACCTGGTAGCTTTGTGTCGACTCAAAAGGTCCGCCCCCCGATCTAATGCCCAAGGAGGAATTGCTATCCACCTGCAAATTCCCAGGTGCGCTAGTAGTTTTACTACCTGCTAGTTTGTTACGAGTCAAATACAATGACACGACGGCGGAACCGGATGTATCCAGGTATCTGTTTTCATGCATTCAGCAACCAACGAAAGCATTTTTGTTGCATCTTTCACCCTTTCTTTGCAGGTGCGATCAATCTCACCATTTCGCCAGACTTCATCGGAACCACGTGGCGGGGGTGGGGAACTTCGCTGTCGTGGTTCGCGAATTACGTCGGCGGATTGCCGCCGAAGCAGCTGAACGCCATGCTCGACCTTATCTTCGACCCGATCAACGGCCTCGGACTGAACATCGTACGTTTCAACATCGGAGGGGGGCATAACGATAAACGCAGCCCGCAGTTTCATCAGAGCTTGGAGGCGTATTGGAGGGGAATGCCAGGTTACAAGCCGACAATGTATGGTCCGTACGATTGGAACGCCGACGTGCGGCAGCGGAATGTGCTGTTGGGAGCGAAGGCGAGAGGCGCGAATGCCTTCGAAGCGTTTTCTAACAGCCCGCCCTGGTGGATGACCCAGTCGGGTGACGTGGCAGGTGCGTACTCGAAAGGGAGGACGAATCTGCTACCTCAGAACGAGAAGGCTTTCGCAGACTACTTGACGACAGTCGTGGCGGAGTTTGCGAAAAGGTGGGGGGTTACCTTCGATGCGTTGGAGCCGTTTAACGAGGCGCTGGAAGCTTTTTGGAAGGTCGGGAAGGAACACGAGGGGTGTACATTCAATCCGCCCGAGATGGGGCGAGTCATAAAGTACACTTCAGACTCGTTACAAGCGAAGGGGTTGACAACGAAGTTGGTGGGGGTGGACAGCTGGGATGGAACGACAGCGCAGCTACCTAAGATCGCGAACCATGAGCTACTAACGCGGATAAACGTGCATGCGTACGTTAATCAGTACTTGAAGGAGGGTGTGGCTGCGACTTACGAAATCAGATATGGCAGCATACGCGACACGGCGAAGCAGTTGGGGAGGGAGGTGTGGGTTAGCGAAGCGGGAGCGTTGGGGAAAAGCGGGAGCTTCTGGGACCTTTCACTGTACATGGCGCGGAACGTTATCGAGAGCGTCAATATCATGGAGGCTTCTGCGTACCACGTCTGGCAGGCGTACGATTTCGCGGCGCATTGGTCACTTATCGACTTCCCACCGGATTATCCACCCGGCTACAGAGGCGAAATGACGATGCCTAAAGCGAATAGAAGGTTTTGGATTTTCAAGCATTTCACCATGCTTGCCAAACCTGGATCCAAGCCGCTGAAGGTACGCTCGGATTGTTGGCACGGCATGAGCGCATTCTACAGCCCCAGCAAGAAACGGGTTACGGTTTTCATCGTGAATCAGAAGGCGGAAGACCGGCAAGTGGTGATTAATCTCGACGGATTTAGAAGGAACGTGGGGGGAGCTACCAGGGTCGTTGTTAGGCGCACAACTTGGTCTACGGACATCAACCGCAGAGTGTACTCACAGAATGTAGCGAGGCTGACTGTATGGGGGCAGAACTTCGTTTCTGTCACCTTCACTAATGTGGCATACTAACGTGTCACACATATAGTGTTGGTACTTCACAGATAGCTTCATTTGTCACCTTTACTGGTGTGGCTGGCAGGTCATTTGCTGACTCCTTAGCCCTACCTATCGTTTTACCCCTAGAATGTTAATTACCAGCAGCTAGAGTTAGGAAATTCTGTCATTATAGATTATTGATTAGTCTGGGTTCGTGAGTTTTGACGATCACAGCTTTATCATGCCATATTCTACACTGCCTAATAACCCATACAGGTAATCTGCTGCCATATACATTTCTTGCTAAAGGCGGCAGAGGGAGCCCTAGCCTCAGTACATGGCACAGGGCAGGGCCTACCTTATAATGGGAATGAACGGGGGAGCCCGTAAGTCTCTAGGTGCCGTGGAAAAACAAAGGAAGGGGAGTTGTGCCTAAAAAAATTAGCATGTGCCTAGGTTGGGCTGGGTAAGTATTAAAAAATATGGAGATATATACGTGCAATGATAGTTGCTTTTTTAAGGCCTAATTTTATTTGACGTTCATCAATATAGTCTGATTTTCTAGCGTTTTTTTTAGCGTTATTTTGGCACCCATCCATAGAGTGCTGGTAACAATGATTTACTACTCCTTGGAATGTTTCGTTTGGTGCATCAGTGTCAATGTACAACTCCCGAAGGTGATTCACTCCTATGCTGGAAAGCCGAGGCATGCCATTATCGAGCCAAACCAGCCCCTGGGCTGGAGCCAGCGCGAATACTGTACGAGGGCCGCGCAGGTACAGTATCCACATTCTGGAATCTGGATCTTCTCGGATCGCTCTCAATACAGTGGACTTGTGGATCATGCTATACGGTGTACTGCAAATTTGCCCATATTTCACCCAGTTTCCCCTTTGCGCTGAACCATTCTCTCCCCCCCGACAACCCCTCCTCACCAACTCACCTCTCCAATCCTCAACATGTGCCGCGCCGCACTTTCCTTGCCCCCCTTTTTTCCCCCTTTCCTGCATATACCCCTTGCCCATCCATTCTCCCACCTACCCGCCGTATTTCCGAAGTCACCATTGCCAAGCGCACAACTCGCTTCAGCCGGCAATGCGCGACACAACACAACCATCGAGACGCCGCACGAGTAAATACCATACTGAGTTCCTTGGGTTAGATCCCCTTCCTACGCTGTTACCAACCGATGATAGCACAACACAGCTAGTACAGTATTTCCGTTGGAGTCTGCCCCTCGCACTTACTACACGTACCGTTCCTGCTGCGTAAGCATAAAAACATGATGCAGAGTATCCTTGCATCTAAGGCTGGGTGATCCTCGCTTAGCAGTGCCCTAGGAAACAAGCGCGATGGCGGCGAGGTGCTTGCTCCTTCGCAGCGTGTCTTCCCGTGTCCTCTTACTTCTAGCCCTCCTCGAGATTGCCGCGCATGCAAAAACAGTGACCGCAGCACCCGGGAATGGCAGCATGCAGAGTCCGTCCCCCTATCTAGAGCCCAAGGGAGAATTGCTCCCCACCTGCAAGTTTCCAGGTACACTACTTTTGCCTGCCAGTTTCCAGGTACTAATGGCTCGACTCGACTAAAGCAATCTTTCGAAGTGACTCAAAACACTCGATGGTATCAAGCGGGTCGCCCCCAGCTGTACGGAAGACGTGCTCTCCACCTGCAAGTTTCCGATCTGAGCATACTTCACATGCATTCGGCGAACAACGAAATCTATCATTGTTGCATGCTTCTCATGTTGCTTGCAGGGGAGATCAACCTCACAATCTCGCCAGACTTCATCGGAACCACGTGGCGAGGGTGGGGAACTTCGCTCGGGTGGTTCGCGAATTACGTCGGCGGATTGCCGCCGAAGCAGCTGACCGCGATGCTCGACCTTATCTTCGATCCCATCAACGGGTTAGGTCTCAACATCGTGCGTTACAACATTGGAGGGGGGCACAACAATACACTCAGCCCGCAGTTTAACCAGAGCTTAGAGGCGCATTGGCGTGGCATGCCAGGTTACAAGCCGACGAAGGACGGGCCGTACGATTGGAGCGCGGACCAACGGCAGCGGAAGGTGCTGCTGGGTTCGAAGGCGAGAGGCGCGAATGTCTTCGAAGCGTTTTCGAACAGCCCGCCTTGGTGGATGACCAGATCGGGTGACGTAGGAGGTGCGGTTAAGGGGGGGGAGACGAATATGCGGCCTGATTACGAAGACGATTTCGCAGACTACTTGACGACGGTCGTGGCGGAGTTCGCGAAAAGATGGAACGTTACTTTCGATGCATTGGAGCCGTTTAATGAAGCGCTGGAGGGGTTTTGGAAGGCAGGAGATGATCACGAGGGGTGTACATTCAATCAGCCCGAAATGGGGCGAGTCATAAAGTACACTTCAGAGTCGTTACAAGCGAAGAATTTGACTACGAAGTTGGTGGGGGTGGACAGCTGGGATGGCACGACAGCGCAGCTACCTAAGATTTCGAATCATGAGCTACTAACGCGGATAAACGTTCATGCGTACATCAATCAGTACTTCAAGGAGGGTGTGGATGTGACTTACGAGGTCAGATACGGCAGCATTCGCGACACGGGGAAGAAGCTGGGGAGGGAGGTGTGGGTCAGCGAAGCGGGAGCGTTAGGGAAAAACGGGAGCTTTTGGGACCTTTCACTGTACATGGCGCGAAACGTTATCGAGAGCGTCAATATCATGGAGGCTTCTGCGTATCACGTATGGCAGGCGTACGATTTTGCTGCACATTGGTCGTGCATCGACTTTCCCCCAGATTATCCACCCGGCTACAGTGGCAAAATGGTGATGCCTAAGGTGAACAAAAGGTTTTGGATTTTCAAGCATTTCACCATGCTTGCCAAACCTGGATCCAAGCCGCTGAAGGTACGCTTGGGTTGTATACACGGCGTGAGCGCATTCTACAGCCCCAGTGAAAACCACGTTACGGTTTTCATTGTGACTCAGAAGGCAGTAGACCGGCCGGTGGTGATAGCTCTAGACGGTTTTATGAGGAACGTGGGTGGAACTACCAAGGTCGTTATAAGGCGCACAAATGTGTCTTCCAATTTCGACCGCGCGGTGTACACAGAGGAAATAGCGAGGTTGACTGTATGGGGACAGAACTTCGTTTCTGTCACCTTTACTAACGTGGCACCTTCACCTGAGAGACTAGGCTTTAACAGCACCTCTCGTGCTGGTTCTATGAACAGAGCTCTGTTCGTCACCTTAATTTGTATGTTGCTGGTAGCTGCAGCGGCCACCACCATTTTATGACATGCCTTAGCATAGCTATGGTTCTACCCTTAGCTTGTTATAACAAGGAGCAGCCAGACTTTGGAGACTTTGTACATGCAGACTCTAGTTTCTATTGGCGGATATCTTCACACTGGTAATTTGCTCCCACTCGTTGGGTCAAAGTCCCTTTTGAAAGGGGTTGAAGGGGAGTGCAGCACCCCATTCAAACATCTGCTTATAATCATTTTTCACAGGGAAAAGTAAGGAGGGTCATTATCGAGCTATAGCAACCCGTTCAATAAATCTATAGCGCGAATATAGCTGGGCCTACCAGCTCTCACACGTTCTTCAAATTCTGGGGTATCTCGCCTCGCCCTCGATACAGTAGTCACACAAAAATGTCGTCTGGTTCGAAGCGCACGCGGTTCGTAATCGTCACATTCTCCTCCCAATTTCTCATTGCTTTTGAAATTTCCTCCGTCTCCCTCCCTCCTCTTCCCTCCCTCCACCTCGAGCCCTGCCCCGCCAGCCAAGCAACTCCAGTCAAGTTTCCCTTGCCTAGCCAGCCACACGCAAATCCCGTGCTCTTGCATTTGCCCCTAATCAACCCTCGGTTTTCCAGCCTAGTTTATAAGCCACCCTTCCCCTGATCCCACCCGCCACTCGTCATTACACAACTCCCAGGTTTCCTCCAACATGCTTGAGCCCTCGATGCGCGCGCGACTCGAAGTTGATCGTGAGCGGCACGCGCTTTCTCCACAAGCCACGAGCCTCCACACCATCGTCTACACTACACAGATGACGTCCGCTGTCTTTTCGGTAGTAGGTCGTTTCTACCAGCGCGATACGGACAGATTGTGCAACAGGCTCCGCTGGAGCCATCCGCTCGTTCTTATACATCCATCCATGAAAACCGTCTCTTGCGCCTCGTGATTCGTGAACATAAAACTACGAGGAGCAGCGGTAATCGATCCAAGACAGTGGGATCCCATCCCATGCTTGCCAAGTGATCGTGCCATAGTAGAATATCAGCGCGACGATGGCGAGGAGTTCGTTCCGTCGCCGCGTTTCCTTCAGTGTCTTCCTCGTAGTTGTAGTAGCCCTCCTTGGAATTGCCGCGCACCCGAAACCAGTGACGGCAGCACGCCGCGCCGGCGGCGCCGATGGCAACAAGCGGGCCCCGCCCCCAGATCTATTGCCCGCTTTTGAATTGCTATCCACCTGCAAATCTAAAGGTGAGATACGTACCTGCTAGTTTTAGTTATGAGCAATGTAGCCTGCGACTTGTGAGGCAGGTATCTCTCTCACAGCGCTATTCGAAGGGCATCTGGCAAGCTCTCAACCAGCGAAGACTTACCCATCACCTTTAACGCTTTGCTTGCAGGTGCGATCAATGTCACGCTTTTGCCAGAATTCGTCGGGACCACGTGGCGAGGGTGGGGGACTTCGCTCGCGTGGTTCGCGAACTACGTCGGCGGCTTGCCGCAGCAGCAACTGACCGCGATTCTTGATCTTATCTTTGAACCCATCTACGGTCTCGGGCTGAACATCGTGCGTTACAACATCGGAGGGGGGCACAACGATACACGCAGCCCGCAGTTTCATCAAAACTCGGATGTTGTTTGGCGGGGGATTCCGGGTTACAAGCCGACAAAGGACGGGCCGTACGATTGGAGCGCGGACGAGCGGCAGCGGAACGTGCTGCTGGGAGCGAAGGAGAGAGGCGCGAATGTCTTCGAGGCCTTTTCGAACAGCCCGCCCTGGTGGATGACCGTAACGGGTGACGTGGCAGGCGCGGTTTGGAAAGGGGCGACAAATTTGTTGCCTGAGTACGAGAAGGCTTTCGCAGACTACTTGACGACAGTCGTGGCGGAGTACGCGAAAAGGTGGAAAATTAGATTTGACGCGTTGGAGCCTTTTAATGAGGCGCTGGAGGGGTTCTGGAAGGTTGGAAAAGAACACGAGGGGTGTACATTCAATCCTCCTGAGATGGGCCGCTTCATCAAGTACACCTCGGACTCGTTAAAGGCTAAGGGGCTTAAAACGAAGCTGGTGGGGGTGGACAGCTGGGATGGCATGACCGCACAGCTACCTCAGATCGCGAATCATGAGCTACTAACGCGGATAAACGTTCATGCGTACGTGAACAGTTATCACGAGGCAAGTGTGGCTGCGACGTACGAGAAACGTTTCGGCAGTATTCGCGACACGGCAAAGTTGCTGGGGAGGGAGGTGTGGGTTAGCGAAGCGGGAGCGCTGGGCAAACGCGGGAGCAATTGGGACCTTTCACTGTACATGGCGCGAAACGTTATGGAGAGCATCAATATCATGGAGGCTTCGGCATACATGCTATGGCAGGCGTACGATTTCGCAGCACATTGGTCATGCATCGATTTCCCGCCGAATTATCCGGCGAATTACACTGGCGAAATGGACATGCCTAGAGCGAACAAGCGGTTTTGGATTTTCAAGCATTTTACTTTGCTTGCCGGACCTGGAACCAAGCCGCTCAGGATAGGTTCGGACTGCTGGCACGGCATGAGCGCGTTCTACAGCCCCAGCGAAAAGCGGGTTACTGTATTCGTCGTGAATCAGAAGGCGGAGGACCGGCACGTGACGATTAATCTAGACGGGTTTACGATGAACGTGGGGGGAACTACCAAGGTTGTTGTAAGGCGGACGACTTGGTCTACAGATTTCACCGTCAAGGTGTACAGCAAGCAGGTAGCGAGGCTGATTGTATGGGGGCAGAGCTTCGCTTCTGTCACCTTCACTAACGTGTCATATTAAGAGGCTCGAAGGTGTCATACTACAAGGAGGAAGGTACCTTGTTCTGTATGGGGACAGAGCTTAGCTTCTGTCAGCTTCACAAACCTGTCATTAAAACCGGGGTCTCAAGTTTCCCGAAGTTGCCTCATCCTTCCTACCTTTGGTTGGGTTACAAGGTCCAACCAAGCTTCCTACCTTTGGTTTTGTCACAAAGTCCAACCAACCTTCCTACCTATGAAACCTGAGGACCCTGGGTTTTAAAACCAACCAAAGGTAGGAAGGATGAGGCAACTTCGGGAAACTTGAGACCCCGGTTTTAAGAAGCTATGTTATGGAGCAGTCCTTGAAAGTACTCCCCACTTCATTACTTGATTACTCCCCACTTGAGTACTCTTCCTTCACTAGAGTAACGTGCCATACTGCCATACTTAAGGACTCCCCTTCCTACCTATGGTTCTAGACGTAGATTGTTATATACGCTGCTAGAGGTGGAAAATATTTTCAAGCAGCTTGAAGATTGTCATGGAGAATCTGTTTTTTGTCACATGTGCTTCCCATCAGCTTTATTGTGCCAGATACTATGATCCATAGTGCCGTAATCTGCTGCTAAAAACACCAAATGTTGGGAGAAACGAATTCCTATCCTCTTCAATCGGATTTGGATTCGGCTGCAGCAGGCGGTGGAGGGGGGAGTCCAGGCCTCACTACAAGGTAGAGGGCAGGGCCTATAACGGGGATGAAGGGGAGAGCAACACCCCACGAGTCTCTAGGCGCCCTGGAAACACAGACGGGCGGGTTAAGGTGAGTTGAGTTGGGGTGAGATAGAGAGAGGGTTGGGGTGGGATGAAGGGAAGCAATTGAGATGTCTCAAAAGTATCATAACAGGGAGGAAGAGGAGAGCAACACCCCATGAGTCTCTAGGCGCCCTGGAAACCCACAAAAGAATGTTGGGGTGACATAAAGATAGGGTTGGGGTTGAACATTCCAGTTCCTGATCGCACTCACCAGTTCCTGTGAGCAATGTCGTTGAAAAGCCAGAACGGCAGACACATGTTGAGGAGAGGATGCTATGACCTTCAGTTCAGAATGAGAGAAAATCCACCCACCAGCAGGAGAGTGTGTCACAACACCAGCCAATGGCATACTTATCAGTTCCTGATGTCACGCACCAAGTCCTGTAGGCCATGCCGTTGAAAAGCCAGAAGGGCAGACGAATGTTGAGGGGGACATGCCAAAGGCAAGCCACTGAGCAGCAGGAGAGCATGCCAAGGCACCAGTAAGCAAGCAAGCAATCATCAGCCCTTGGCATATATGAGTCCCTGATTGCACTCACCAGTTCCTGTAGGCCATGTCGTTGAAAAGCCAAAAGGGCAGGAACATGTTGAGAAGGACATACCAACGCACGGCAGGACACGGCACCGGCATGCAAGCAAGCACTCGTCAGCTCTTGGCATATTCCAGTTCCTTATCACACTCACCAGTTCCTGTAGGCCATGTCGTTGAAAAGCCAGAAGGGCAGAAACATGTTGACGAGAACGAAATCCATAGAGGTGACATGAATCTGTGTGGGGGGAGAGGAAGGAAAGGGTTGAAGAACAGGGGGAGGATTAATGAGAACATTGCGCTGAGTTGAAGGGCAGGAACATGTTGAGAAGAACAAAATCCATTGAGGTGACATGGATCTGATGGGGGGAGAGGGAAGAAAAACGGGGAAGGGGAAGGAGGGGGGAGGGGCGGGTGAGTTGGAGGGCAGAAACATGTTGAGGAGAGCGAAATCCATTGAGGTGACGTGGATCTGATGGGGGGAAGGGGCGGGGAGAAGCGGAAAGGGGAGGGGAAGGGAGAAGAGGAAGGGAGAAGGTTAAGGAGGGAGAACAGGGAGGCTGATTGCCAACATTGGGGTGAGTTAATACTATTAACTTAATCGAGCAGGAACATGCACCGCACAAAACTGTATGATTCACCCGCTTACCATCAGGCTCTCCTGGGAAAGCAGCATGGACTCATTGTCACCAGCAGTGAAAGTAGAATTCCTCCACTGTATTTCCCTGGACCACTACACACCACCCTACACCACTCTGCACCTCTCTGCACCCATACATGCACCCACCATGAGGCTCTCTTGGAAACGCAGCTTGAATTCCCCAGACCACTTCACAGCACCCTACACCACTCTGTTTCCAACCTGCATAACTCTCCACCGCTCTGCACCCACCATGAGGCTCTCTTGGAAGTACTGCAGGAATTCAAGCCAGTCAGCCGACGGTGCTGTTGCTGCACTGATGACCAGCCCTGATGCTGCCAGCAGCAGTAACTGCGGGAAGAGGGGATTGGGTTGAGGGTTCATAGGAAAAGGGAACAGAAGAAGAGGGTGAAACAAAGCGAGGCGAAGCGTGTCAAGCCAGTCTGCCGACGGTGCTGTTGCTGCACTGATGACCAACCCTGATGCTGCCAGCAGCAGTAACTGGAGAGGAGGAACAATGAAAGTGCGTGGGGGAAAGGGAAGGGAGGAAGGAGGGGCATGATTGAAACGTCTGAAACCAGCCGTAATAGTGTGGTCTTGTGAACTCACCAATCCATGATGATCCAGATGGATTGAAAACAACAAGTCGATTTTTTAGTCGACTCAAAAGTGAACTCACCAATCAATGATCAAGATGGATTGAAAACCGGACTCACCGTGCTGGTGACTTGGGATACAAGCACGCGCAGCCCCACTTTCCCCCTCTCCTCCTCAAGGGGCACGGCTGCTTTTCAGTGCGCTGGTGACTCTCATCTCATCTCACCTCACCTCAGGCCACCTTCCCAAGACTCTCCGCGCTGATGACTTAGGATTCAAGCACGCGCAGCCCCAATATAGCAGATTGTTTTTGAGAATTCTCAAAAACAATCTGCAGCATCATGGATTGAAAACCGGACTCACCGTGCTGGTGACTTGGGATTCAAGCACGCGCAGCCCCGATATTGAGGCGCCTAAGGAAATCGCCTTTTGAGGCGCCAAAAAAAATTGCCCTTTGAGGCGCCCAAAAAACAGTGCCTCGGGAATACTGTGGCTCAAAAGTCAAGATTCACCACGCTGGTGATTTTGGACTCGAGAACGCGCAGCCCCACCTTCCCCCTCTCCTCCTCGGTGGGTACTGCTGCCTTCCCCGATTGACTAAGAAATGATGAGGCTCAGTGCTGGAACAGAACTCACCGCACTGGTTATCTTGGACTCGAGAACTCGCAGCCCCACCTTCCCCCTCTCCTCCTCGGTTGGTACTGCTGTCTTTCCGGACGTCCAGAGAGCAAAGGCGAACAGGCAACAGCAGAGCTTACACATCTTCTTTTCCTAGAATCCAGTTACTTGAGACTCACCGCGCTGGTGATTTTGGACTCCAGCACTTTCAGCCCCACCTTCCCACTCTCCTCCTCCGTGGGTACTGCTGCCTTTCCGGGCGCCCAGAGAGCACTGGTGACCTTCGCCCCCTCTCACTGCGGGTCACCTTTCCAAGACTCACCGCGCTGGTTATCTTGGATTCAAGCACTCGCAGTCCCACTTTTCCCCTCTCCTCCTCCGTGGGTACGGCTGCCTTTCCGGGCGTCCAAAGCGCAAAGAAGGGCATGAGGGCGAAGGCACCTGCGAAGAACGAGGCGAGGAGGAAGGGCCACGCTGGGATGGTGGTGCGGTTGCTGGGGGGAGGGAGACTGGGCGAGGGTGCACGGGAGATGGAGAGAAGACAACTGGTATGAGGAATCCTGGGCGCGAAAAGATACCACACATTTTTGAGAATTCTCAAAAGATGGACAGAAGGCAACTGGTATGAGGAATCCTGGGCGCGAGAGGGTCCTGGTGTGAGGAATCTCTTGTGTGGAGAGAAGGCACGGGTGAGGAATCCTGGGCGCGAAAAGATGCCACACAAGAGGGTGCTGGCAGAGATGCCCAGCAGGGCGCCCATGAGGTTCCAGAGGCCAAGAGCACGTAACCACTGCTGGAACACGCACGCATTTACACTTACGTGCGAGAGGCAGGCACGAGCGTGGGGGCGTAGATGCCCGGCATGACGCCCATGAGGTTCCAGAGCACCACGAGCACCTGATTCATCACGAAGCCGAGTGGCAGCTTGCATAACGTACCCTCCCAGTCCTTCTCCCATTAACGTACGTGCGGGAGGCTGGCACCAGCGTAGCAGCGTATATGCCCGGCATAACCCCCATGAGGTTCCAGAGGGTCACGAGCACCTGGTTCATCACGAAGCCATCGTCGCCCCTCAGGTTGAGCAGCTTCTCCAGAAAGTACTGATCGCGGTACTGTGGAGGGAGGGAGATAGGAGAGGAGAGTGGATGGGAGAGGAGTAGGGAGGGGGGAAGAGCAGGGGAGCAGCGAGGGAATGTGGAGGGGAAACACGAGCACCTGGTTCATCACGAAGCCATCGTCGCCCCTCAGGTTCAGAAGCTTCTCAAGAAAGTACTGATCGCAGTACTGCGGGGTGGGGGGGGTGAAGGGAGGGGAGAAGAGGAGAGGGGGGCAGGGAGCGGATGGGAGAGGGGAGGGGAGGTGGAACAAGGGCGGGATGGGGAGGAAAGCCACGAGCTCCTGGTTCATCACGAACCCATCATCACCCCTCAGGTTGAGAAGCTTCTGGCTACACCAGCCAGTGAGAAGCTGCCACGTACTGGCGTCTGATGCGGCGCCAAGAACGCGCCATAAGCGATCAGCCCCGCCCACAGGAGGAAAATCCCCGCAGTCGTCGCCTTCCCCAGAAGTCCCCCTTCATCCCCTTCCGCCGCTACCGCTCCCCCCGCGGGCGGCTGCGGAGCCTCCGCCGGCTTATTCGCTTCCGCGCCTGCGCCTGCGCTTGCGCTTTCCGCCGATCCCCCTGCTGGCGCTTTGGGTGGCTCCGCGCTTGCGCTTGCGCGCGGCAAAGCGCGGGTTTGGCGGAAGACGAGCTTCTGTGGGGAGCCTGTGCGCAACGATTGCGCTGGAATCATGCGCGGAAGCAGAAATGCGGGATTTGAAAGGCGCGCGATCGCATGGGACGCGGAGACTGACGGAGATGGGAGGGTAGAGACTGCATTGGGAACTGTAGCGAGTCTTAGCGAGGGGGAGAGGAAGTGAACCGGCATGATGGGTGTGACTATAACGAAACGCGAAGGGGAAAAAACGCGAAGGTAACCGTCACGGCGACGGCGGGGAAAGACGCCACGTATGCTGGATTGACGTGGCGTAAAGCGGGAGAATCTCTGAGCGAAATGGGGAGGACTGACCAGAAAGATGAGAGGGAGTAGCATAGAAGAAATGCTACATTTCGCTCATTACCGTACCTGAACGTGCTGTAACAATCAAAAACGTTCTGAAACGCAAAACAATCTTGGCCAACCACACTAGACCGTACTCTTGTGCCACATTTCCAGGGAACCCTTATTTCGCATCACGAAACAGCCATCTTAGCGTACAAACTCAAGGTTTAGAAACTAGATTGATTGTAGATAGTGCTTCCATTTATCCAGTCTTTATTATCTTCTAACTAGCTCCTGCAATCTGGCAATTCTAGTACAGGTTTGGCAGCCCTCCAGTATGGATTGCGTTTTGAGGAGATTCTTATGCGTACTGTTTAGCCATTTTTTTTAACTTAAAAAAAAAACGCAAGTTAAAAAAAATGGCCTCGTATGAATAAAGACAATCTCGCTGCTCGTATGAATGCCATGGGTAACGCCAGCGATAACGCTCGTTGATGTCCACAAGCTAGATCAGGACACCCAGGTCTTTTTGTCGGGCTGGGACTGATTTGAGCAGGGAGCTGTCAAAAGCCATTTGACATTGCACATGCCTGTTTCAGCAAGCTTGTTCTCATCACCAGCTGACTGCCATGAAGCTTTCAGAGTTCAAAGATCCACATGTTTCGCATCTGCAGGATAACGTTTAACAGTCTAAATAGAAATTAAACACAATTGAGGCGATATTGTCGACAAATGGTTTGATATCACAGGGTGAACGTAATAATAAAAAACGTTTCAAGACAGCTTCTCTACCCCAGCATACATCTCACCAACCAGAACTTACTTAAGCGCTGGTGGCACCAGAAACAATCTCAATCAGCTCGCCAGTAATCTTGGCTTGCCTCCGCCTGTTGTAGGTCAGGTTCAGGCTCCTCTTCAGCTCCTTAGCGTTATCGCTGGCGTTACCCATGGCATTCATACGAGCAGCGAGCTCGCTGGCAAGCGACTCTTGCAGAGCACGGAGGATCTGGCTGTTCAGGTAAAGCGGGAGCAGAGCATCCAGGATCTGCACCGGCTCCTGCTCAAACCCTAGCACGCCGGTAAACTCGGGAGTCTCGGTCCTGATCGTCTCGCGCTCGACGGCGAACTTGCCCTCCTTGGTCGTCAGCCTGAACAGCTCGTCCTCAGCAGCATCGACGCAGACACCGTTGATGTCGCAGACCTCGCCGGCGGGGGAGAGAGGCAGGAGAGTGTGGACCACAGGGTCGGACTTGATCAGGGACACGAACTTGGTGTAGATCAGCTCGACCTTGTCAACCTCCTCCGACACGAACAGGGAGAAGATCTCGTCAGCAATGGCCTGGGCCTCCTTGGTGGTGGGAGCAGCGCCGACCTCGAGGTACCTGTCGACGGCGTACTGGGGACGCCTCTTGAAGAAGGCGTTACCCTTCTTGCCGATGGACACAATGGTGTAGGCAACACCCAGCTTCTCCAGCTCAGCCACGCGAGACTCGGCCTTCTTGAGGACGTAGTTGTTGAAGCCACCGCAGAGACCGCGGTCGCCGGTGTTGACGACAATGGCGACCTTCTTCACGGGACGGACCTCGGTCAGGGGAATGTCAACGTCCTCGTTCTGGAGCTGCTCGTTAACGTTGTAAAGCACCTTAACGAGGTTTTCCGAGAAGGGACGGCCGTTGACGACGGCCTCCTGAGCCCTGCGCACCTTCGCGGCAGCGACGAGCTTCATCGCATCGGTAATCTTCTGGGTGTTCTTAACCGACTCGATACGATCGCGCATCGCCTTCAGCGAGCAGGTGGTGCGGGGAGCACCCTCCGCGCCCTTAGTCTTAAGCTCCACATTGGAGTCAGCGTTCACCCGGCTGGAAGGCAGGCTACGGCTGGACAGACCCTCAAAAGAAGGGCACGCGAGCTTGGTGCTCCAGGACAAAGCGGCAGCCATGGTGTCTTGGGAAAAGGTTCACAAGACAAGGAACCGGTCTAGCGAAGCTGGAAGCAGCTTCTGAGTGCGGGATGGAGCTAGAGAGACTTGGGAGAGATGAGAGAAAAAACAGAACCTTGGGAGGGAGGAGGTTCCAGGTGCAGAGCGGAACTCGCGGAAATAAAACCTAATGGCGCGCGGAATAACAGTACCGCTCGGGGATGTCCCTCGAGAACACCGTTCAGGCGCAGCAGATATCAAAGAGTGCGCGGAGAATTGCGGGTTAGAGGGACGGCGCTGGCTAGGAAAAGGAAATCTCGAGGGAGTGGCAGAACGAGGGCGCGGGACTTTTGGCATGGTATCTGTGATGGCTGGGAGGTCAATGGCGCAGATCTCACCGTCGATGTGCCAGGTGGAAACGAGTTGGACGGCTTTCGTGTGGTTTGCTCGTGCCACGTGGCATCGCAGATGCCCTGGTCGGATGGAAGCGTTATCCGCTGGGCTGCAGTTTGGTGGCTGCGGCGAAGAGATGGGAAATGCGCGTGATGCCAGTGGTCCAGCGAAGCAGCTAGCCTTTCTGGCTACCATTTAGCATCGCTAGCCAATCGCGATTTTCCTGTCGCGAAAGAAAACAAAACTGCAAGAACGCTCGGTAAACAGCGATGATAAACTCTTTGTGATGTACCGGAGTTTACTTGTTCTTATACGCATCTTTTGTATGGTTGATTGTTGTCACATCTGCTAGGATGTTGCAATTTGCAAACTGATGTAAACGATAAATATAATTTGCCATTTACAGTTAAGTTAGTTTTAGTCATACTCATATTGTGTGGCTCGTCCTCGTTCTCCTCCACCTCTACTGTACCTATCAGCCTCTCTCATCGTCTCCGCTTCACGTGCTGCTTTCATGGACGAATTCCCGTCAGACTTGCTCCTCTGCTGACCCACATACTGGTAATCCTCCTCATCACCTTCATTATAGCCACCCCTTCTCCGAGCCCATGAATCTCCCTCACCAACACCACCACCTCTGTGATTCCTGCTACTATTTACCCTACGGTTTCCCTTGCTATCAGGGCTATTTCCTGGGCTATTATGGGGGCTATTACCTGGTGATATTGGGGGGGAGCTCTGCAAGCGACGCAGGGAACCCGCGCCGCCCGGGCTGGAGGATCCCCGTGGCAGAAACGCTGGCACCTCGCTCCTTGTCTTCTTGTGCCCTGCGTTTCTGGGCGGCGTGCTGTTTGCCTCGACCTGCAGAATAGGGGGTTGTGGTGGGTGGAAAATGCGCACATGGGGAAAACAAAAACAAGCACGACGAACCATAGCCATTTCTTTCTCTCCCACTTTTGAGTCAACGGAAAAGTCACCTCTTCACCTGCCTTCCTCCTGGGTGGGTGGGACACCCATCTCTTCTCTCACCTGGGAGATCCATTTATCCACTTGCGAGTTGTGTGCGCGCTCAATCCACATGCGCAGGTCCTGAGCTGCTCTCTGCTCCGACCCTGTGCGCCTCTGCTGCTGCTGCTGCAGCGCTGGAGGTTCCATGCTCGTACTGCGAACCAACGGTCGAGGTCCCTCCCCTCCCCCACGAGATGCCTCCCCTGCTCCCCTCTCTCTTCCCTCTCTTCCCTCTCTTCCCTCTCTTCCCTCGCCTCCCTCTCTCCCCTCTCTTCTCTCTGCCCCCTCTCGTCCCTCTCCTCCCAGCATCTGAGATGCCTCCCCTCCTCCTCCCTCCTCGCCCTGCTCCCCTCTCTCCCCTCTCCACCGCTCTGCACTGCTCTCTCCTTGTCGCCTCCCCTCTGCTCCACCACTCCCTCCTCCCCTTCCACTCCCACTACCTCTGCTGCTACCCTCCCTCACCTCACCACCTCTCACCATTCCTTCTCTACCCTCCCTACCCTCTCTGCTGCTACTGCCTGTGGTAGTGCTACCACTAGTGATGGTGCTGCTGGTGGTGGGGGGGGGGTTGGTGGTGGTGGCTAATGGTGGTTTTGGGCTAAATCCAGGACTTCTACCCACTCCCCCCACTCCCCCTCCTGCTCCTCCCAATGCCTCGAAACCCCCTGTTGGCCTTGGAGGGATTCTTATCGGCAATTTGCCCATTCCCGGCCGTCGATTCTGCTGCCCGGTCGATCCTGGCCCTTGATTACGTGACTCCTGATCCGAGCCATCGGATGAAGTTCTACTGTGGGGAGGCTTCATCCCTACTGCTACAGAACCTCTACCTACCGCTCCCCCCTTCCCCTTCCTCCCCCTCCCCCTCCCACTCCCCCCCCTCGCCCTTCCCCTCGACCAGCATCCCCCCTTCCCCTTCCCCCTGCCCCCCTCCCCCCAGCTCCCCCGACCCCTGTCCCCCTCCCCCCGGTTCCCCCTACCCCTGCTCCCCTTCCCCCTGACAGAGCCCCCCCTCCCCCAACTGCTGTTCCCCGCCCTTCTGCTGCCCCTGCTGCCTCCCCCTTCCATTCCCCTTCCCCTTCCTCCCCCTCCTACGATCCCCCTCCCTCCTCCCACTCCTCCTCCTCCTCCTCCTCCTCCTCCTCCTCCGCCTCCTCCTCCTCCTCCTCCTCCTCCTCCTCCTCCTCCTCCTCCTCCTCCTCCTCCTCCTCCTCCTCCTCCTGCAGCAGCTGTTGCTGCTGTGGGAGATTTGATTTTCTCCCACACTTCCTCGATTGTGGGTGCAGAAATACGAGCACCAGAAGCAGCAACACCACCACCAGCACCGCCACCAGCAGCAGCAGCACCGACAGCTGCACCTGAGGCAGGAGCACCAAGATGGGGGCGAGAGGGGGCGACGCTAGGCATTACATTCTTCCCCGCAGCCATACCCCTCCCCTTGGACGTCAGGGCTGCGAGTGCAAACTCACGAAGCATCCTCTCATCTTCTGTCTCCAACCCTCCTCCTCTCACACTCCCCCCTCCCGCTCCCACTCCCCCTCCTGCTCCCGCTCCCGTTCCTGCTTCCGCTCCACCTCCTCCCCCGCCCCCATGCGCATGCTCATCATAATCGTGTTTCTGACCAGAAATAGCAGGTCTCCTGTTCTCTCCACTATCAAAAGCTTTCCTGTTATTACTATCCATCCTGCTATTACCCATCCTGCTAACGTCTCCCCCATCCAAACTGCTCCGTCTACCCCTCCTCCCATCCGTCTCCTCCCTCTCCTCCTCCCACCCTGCCTCTCCCCCCCACACACTTCTCCCTTCCCGAACCTTCCCCTTCTCGCCTCTCATTCTCATCGCATCTACTCGCCCCATGGTGCTGCTTCTCCTTGTCTCCTCCACCTCACCGTGCCCCACCTCCTCGTAAACCTCTCCACCGCTCCCTCTGCTCCCCCGTATCCCCCCACCATCCCAACCTCTTGCTCCTACTCCTGTTTCACGCTCTCTCCACACATCTCTCTCTTCTTCCAATCGCCTGTACTCACTTGCCCCTGCTGTTCTGCTTCGTCTTGCTTCAGGAGCACCTACAATCTCCTCCTCTTCTTCCTCTTCTTCCTCTTCTTCCTCCCTCTCTTGCCCCCTCTCTCTTTCATCCCCCCGCTTGCCCCCATTCCCCCTCTCCCAATCCCTTCCCTCATCCCACTCCCCATCCCTCTCCTCAACATCACTCAGTCTGTCCCCACCACTCCACCCATCCCCCTTCACCACCACACTCCCTGTATCAGACTCTTCTCCCAGCTCTCTCTCACGCTCCCTCTCCATTTCCCTTCCCTCTCCCTCTCCCTCGCCCTCTCTCCCGCTCTCTTCCCCTTTCCCTCCCCATTCTCCCTCACTCTCTCGGCAATTCCTCCTCCCTCCCCCCACCCCCTTCTCCTCCACCCCTTCTCCTCCCCCCCCTTCTCCTCCACCCCTTCTCCTCCACCCCCCTTCTCCTCCACCCCTTCCCCAAGACCGAACACTCGAAGGGGAACCTGCACTCGACCCATCATCACCCGCTTTGCACCCCGCCATACCCACCACGTGGGCTCGGCCGTCCCCAACCCTGTCCCTCAGGTGTGGACCGGCCAGACCTGGGAGACCGAAGCGGCTCCGCTGCCGAACCTCCTCTTCCCGAACCTGGCCGGGAGGTCTGCCCTCCAGCCGGTTTAGAAGAGGGGAACGGAGAAACCTGCTGGTTTGGTGGACGTTTGGGGGAAGGAGGAGGGGCGTGACGAGCGGCTGCAGAAGCAGAGGCGGAATGGGGAGAGGAGTGAGGAGGAAGGGGAGGATAGTGCTGCTGTTGGTGGGGGCTCCTTCTAGGGGATGGTAGTGCTGCTGCTGCTGCTGCTGCTGCCGCCGCTGCTGCTGCTGTTGTTGGTGGTTCTTCTGCTGTTGCTCCTGCTGCTGCTGCTTCTGCTTGTGCCTCTGCTGCTGTTGCTGTTGCTGCATAGGAGGGCTTTCAAGCAAAGTATCCTGCTCTCCCTCGGTCAAAACGTCTACTCTCAGGCCCTGTACACTGTGCGCCTCTCCCCAAGCACCAAAGGACGGACTGGGAGCGAAACCCATAGGTTTCTTAGGCACCTCTACCGTTGCTCCTCCTGTCATCCTCTCCTCCTCCTCATTCTCCTCCTCTTCGTCCTCCTCCCCCTCGTTTCCTTCTCTGAAAGCATCAACTGTCGATCCCTGACCGCCCTGCCCCTCTCCCCACTCCCGCGCGTCTCGCCCGCCCTGCCAAGCACCGAAGGATGGACTAGGACCGAACCTCCCACCACCACCGCCACCACCATATTTTGAACCTCCCCTTCCCAAATACCCACCTGATTTTTCACCTGAGTTTCCTGTGCCAACAACTGGGACGGTCGGAGGGAGCTTGCTTTCTCCCCTCCCTTCTCCCTTTCCTTCTCCCCTCTCGCCTCTTCCTTCCCTCCCTTGATCTCTCCCCTTCCCGCCTACTGTCCCTCCCCTTAAAGGACTCTTCCCTGCTCCTTTTTCCCCACTCCCTCTCCCCTCATCCCTTCTGTGTTGAACCCTCTGTTCCTGTTGCTGTGACCATTGCTGCTGCTGCTGCTGCTGCTGCTGCTGTGGCTGTTGCTGCTGCTGCTGCTGCTCCTCGTGCTGTAGCTGCTGTTGCAACCCCACCTGTCTTCTCACCTGCTCCTTCCGCTCCTGACAACCCCGCTCCTGACCACCCCGCTCATGCACTCCCCGATCCTGTACCCCCCGCTCCTGCACGCCCTGCTCCTGTACCCCCCGCTCCTGCCGTTGCCTAAACGTCAGAGGAGACAAAGGCCTTTCCTTATAAGGGGAAACAGCGCTTCTACCCCTCTCAGACCCCCTAAAAAGAGGGGAAACTGGCCGCTCATCCCCTTTATAACCCATCTGGGGCGACAGTGACCCCTCACTCCCCTCACACCCCATCTCAGAATTACCGCTTCTCACCCCTCCGGACTCCACTCCACCTGGGTCCACCCTACAGTTATCCCCCTCCACCTCTTCACTAATCGACTCTCTCCTCCTCTTCACCACCCCCTCTCTTATCACTTGTTCCAAGTCTCGCGGCCGGATGGGCTTAGCTAAGTAATGATCCATCCCAGCGGCCATGCACGAGTCTTTATCCTCGCTAAGAGCCGATGCGGTAAGCGCCACGATGAACGTCCGGCGCGGCCGGCGGGAGCGGCGGGTGCGTGAGCTGCTGCTGCTGCTGTGGGGATGACTGGGGGAACTCGCCTCACTCATATCCCCGTCTGTGCTGCTACCATAACCCCCACCCCTGCTGCCCCTACCGTACCCACCGCCACTGCTGCCCCTGCCACTAGCAGCACCAGCACCGGTAGCGCCCCAGCAGCAGCATAGGCAGCGAATTTCTCCTCTTCCATGGCCCGTATGTGGCGGGTGGCTTCATACCCGTCCATCTCAGGCATGTGACAGTCCTGGAAGGTGGGGAGGGTGGTGAGGAGAACGTGTTGAGGGGAAGGTGTTAGGAAGAGCACTAGCAGCAGCAGCACTGGTATTACCAGCAGCAGCAGCAGCAGCAGCAGCATAGGCAGTAAGTCTCTCCTCTTCCATGGCCCTTATGAGGCGGGTGGCTTCAACACCATCCATCTCAGGCACGTGACAGTCCTGGGGGGGGTGGGAGAGAGGGAGGGAGGAGGGGGACTATGATTTGAAGGGAATTGGGTTGGAAGGCAACAAACAGGAGGAGCAGCAAGCACCGGCACGGAGACCATGCGCAATAGGAAGGTTCCTTATACCAGCAAGCACCGGCGTTAGACGATTACGGTTTACCCCACTCACCATGAGCACCACGCCATAATGCCTGTCGGCACACGCCTGCATGGCCAGTCTGCCTAGAGTGCAAATCCCTCATGGAGCATGCTTGTTTATGCTGTGCGAATGCGGCCTCTCACCATGAGCACTACGTCGTAGTGCCTATCGGCACACGCCTGCACGGCCAGCCGGCCATTCTCCCCTCATTCCATAGGGACTCACCAACACATCCAAGGCATTGCTACTTACTATGCGTCCCACCCCCTCCTCTCACCATGAGCACCACACCGTATCGCACTGCACCACTCACCATCCCCCACCACTCACCATGAGCACCACGTCATAGTGCCTGTCAGCACACGCCTGCACGGCCAGCCGGCCATTCTCCACCACGTCGTATTTGAGCCCCAGGTTGTGCAGCATGCGCGTTGCCACCATCTGATTCACTTTATTATCCTGGTGGGGGGTCGAAGCAGCAAGTTGAGTGTGGGAGGGGAAGGGGGGGGGGGAATGGGAGGGAATGAGCCTCACCCCTCTCACAGCAAGTCAGCCGGCCATTCTCCACCACGTCGTATTTGAGGCCTAAGTTGTGCAGCATGCGCGTTGCCACCATCTGATTCACTTTATTATCCTGGTGGGGGGTCGAAGCAGCAAGTTGAGTGTGGGAGGGGAAGGGGGGGGGGGGAATGGGAGGGAATGAGCCTCACCCCTCTCACAGCAAGTCAGCCGGCCATTCTCCACCACGTCGTATTTGAGGCCTAAGTTGTGCAGCATGCGCGTTGCCACCATCTGATTCACTTTATTATCCTGGTGGGGGGTCGAAGCAGCAAGTTGAGTGTGGGAGGGGAAGGGGGGGGGGGGAATGGGAGGGAATGAGCCTCACCCCTCTCACAGCAAGTCAGCCGGCCATTCTCCACCACGTCGTATTTGAAGGCCAGGTTGTGCAGCATGCGCGTCGCCACCATCTGATTCACTTTATTGTCCTGGTCACGAGTGGGGGGAGAGAATGGGGGAGGGGAAGGAGGAAAGAGATGGGTATAGGCAGAAGGATTGAGCACGCAAGCCCCAGGGTGCCCCATTCTCCACCACGTCGTATTTGAGCCCCAGGTTGTGTAGCATGCGCGTTGCCACCGTCTGATTCACTTTATTATCCTGCAGTGAATTGGGAGGGGAGTTGAGGGGACGGGTGGAGGGGTGGGTTGGGAGGCGGAGAAGGGAGGGTGGGGGCAATGGGAATGGTTGGTCATTTCTCAAGGCAGCAGATGTTGCAATAACACCCACACACACACAGCGTGGTTGGGGCGACACACACATAGCCCCAACCTCTCATGGTCTCCCCACCCACCAGCACCCCTCTCACCTCGGCTACCAGCATGCGCGCATGTGCTGCAGCTGCACCCACAGCGGCTCCGAGTTGCTACTAAGACAGAAAGTATCCCCCTACAATCACAACCCATACATTCACAAACTACAAGCACACCTCCCCTCACCTCGGCTACCAGCACGCGCATGTGCTGCAGCTGCACCCACAGCGGCTCTGCGTCGCTGCTCGTGGCGCTCTTCCCTGCCTTGCTACTGCGTGTGACAGTAACCCCCTACAGTCAAAACTCATACAGTCCCATCCCATACAGCAAAGCCACACTCACCTCGGCCACCAACACGCGCATGTGCTGCAGCTGCACCCACAGCGGCTCTGCATCGCTGCTCGTGGCGCTCTCTCCGGCTGGCTTGGCGCTCTCCTTGGGGTTCACGTGCTGCATTCGCACGTAGAAGAAAAACGTCGACCCCACTCCCACCTGGTACAGGGAGGATTGAGAGGAGAAAAGGAATTGTATACCGAATTGTGTCACTGCTTGTAGCACTCTCTCCCCGGCCGGTTTTAGCGCTCTCCCTTGGGTTGACTCGCTGCATTCGCACGTAGAAGAAAAACGTCGACCCCACTCCCACCTGGAGGGGACGACAGGGATAGGAAAAAAACAATAATGCGTGAGCAGTGCGGATCTCAGAGCCTGGCTTGGCTTGGCGCTCTCCTTGGGGTTGACGCGCTGCATTCTCACATAGAAGAAAAACGTCGACCCCACTCCCACCTGGTGATGAATGGGGGAAGAGGGGGGAGGAGGGGGAGGGGAAGGAAAAGAAAGGGATTTGAGCCGCGCGGATTATAGTGCCTGGCTTGGCTTGGGGCTCTCACATTGAAGAATGGGGAGAAGGGAAGGACGGGAGGAGGGACTTGGGAGGGGTACGGTACATGTATGCCTGCATGTCCGTTCCAGATTCCCCTCCCCCTCCCCCTACCCCTCCCCCTCCCCCTCCCCTCCCCCTCCCCCTCCCCTCCCCCTCCCCCTCCCCCCCTCCCCCTCCCCCTCCCCCCCCCTCCCCCTCCCCCTCCCCTCCCCCTCCCCCCCCCCCCCCCCCTCCCCCTCCCCCTCACCCTCCCCCTACCCCTCTCCTCTCCCACTCTCACACACACACTCACCCTTCTCCCTCCTCACCTGGCTGTGCATGCCGATATCCCCCCCCATGAGGAAGCACAGACTCTTGCAAATGGCCAGGCCCAGCCCCGTGCCACCGTATCTACGACTCGTGGAGTTGTCAGCCTGCGAGAACGCCTTGAACAGCCGCCCCTTGGCTGCCTCGTCCATGCCCACTCCCGTGTCCCGCACTTCAAACCGCACCACCACACTCTCCTCTGCTTCTGCTTTCCCTCCTCCCTCGGACTCTGATGCTGCTTCTCTTCTTTTCACCGCTCCCTTCTCTCCCTTCTCTCCCTTCTCGCCCTTCCCTCCCTTCCCTCCTGAACCACCGCCACCACCACTGCCGCCGCCGCCCCCGCTGCCCGTCTTTCCTCCCTCTCCTCCTACCTCTCCTCCTCCTCCTCCTCCCTTGCCAGCAGCGCTTCTCTCCCCTTTATCCTCGCTCTCCCCCCGTTGCACGCTCATGCTCTTGCTGCTCTCCCTCCTCGCCTCCTCCACCTCCCCCAGCTCTACCTGTGTGGCCAGTCGGAGCGTGACTGTGATGCCGCCACTGGGGAGGAAAAGAGAATGGGGAAGGGAAGAGAAGGAGAGGAAAAGGAGGAAGGGAATGAGTGTGCATGCAGTATGATACCTGTGACTTCTCCCTTGCTGCTCTCCCTCCTCGCCTCCTCCACCTCCCCCAGCCTTGCCTGCCCTGCCCATCCCACTGATCCCCATATAGCGTGACCGTGATTTTGAAATGCCTCGACTCACGTTTCAGTGAACTTGGTGGAGTTGGGAAGGAGGTTCAGCAGCACCCTGCCTGCCTGCCTGCCTGGCCCCACCTGAACACCACCTGTCTCCCCTGACGCACATACTGGTTTTCTACCATTCCTCCCCACACACTCACGTTTCAGTGAACTTGGTGGAGTTGGGATTGAGGTTCAGTTCAGCAGCACCCTGCCTGGGCTGGCCTGGGCCCACCTGAACGGCACCTGTCTCCCCAGACGCACATACTTGTTTTTCATTCTACCCACTCATCTCCACACACTCACGTTTCAGTGAACTTGATGGAGTTGGAGATGAGGTTCAGCAGCACCTGTCGCAGCCTCACAGGGTCCCCCATTACCACCCCTGGCACCTGCAGGCATTGAGAAGGGTGGAGCAAAGGGGGTGGAGCAAAGGGGGTGGAGCAAAGGGGGTGGAGCAAAGGGGGTGGAGACAAAAATCAAGTTTCCAGATGTTTCTGTAGCACTTGCCTGTCGCAACCTTACAGGGTCCCCCGTTACCACCCCCGGCACCTGCAGGAGGGAACAGCGACGAGATTTGGGAGGAGCCAAGGGAAGGGGGGGGAGGGTGCGGAGTTTTGTAGTGTCTCATAACTCGCAGCCCCACAGGGTGCCCCGTCACCACGTCTGGCACCTGCAGGCATTGAGAAGGGTGGAGCAAGTGCAAAGGGGGTGGAGACAAGAATCAAGCTTCCAGATGTTTCTGTAGCACTTGTCTGTTGCAGCCCCACAGGGTGCCCCGTCACCACCCCTGGCACCTGCAGGAGGGTACAGGAAATGAGAATTGAGAGGAGCAAAGGGAAAGCGAGGGCACGGACATAAGAATGTCAATTTTGTTGACTTAAGAATGTCAGTTATGTGGTGTCTCAGGACTTGCAGCCTCACAGGGTCTCACAGCACAGCGACGGGACCATCACCGTCCCACATGCTTTTACCCCCTCTCACCTCCCCTGTCCAATACCACTCCTCTCTCACCTCCTCGTGAATATCCAGCTCTAGGTAGAGTCGCTTGTCCTTGGCCACCACTTCCAGCAGCGCAAGAGCCTCTGTCACCTGCTGGTGCATGTTGAACTCTCCCTCACTGCCTCCCTGTATTGTATACCGTACAGCCCCGTACAGACAGACACTCACTGATTCCCCCCTTGTCTCACCTCTTCATGTATATCCAGTTCGAGGAACAGCCCTTTGTCCTTGGCCACCACTTCCAGCAGCGCCAGAGCCTGTTGACAACACTCAGAGCACCAACAACCACCATCAACTGCTCCCTCCCAACCCCCCTCACTCACCTCATCATGGATATCCAGTTCGAGAAACAATCCTTTGTCCTTGGCCACCACTTCCAGCAGCGCCAGAGCCTCCGTCACCTGCTGATGCATGTTGAACTCGATGCTCTCCAGCGCCAGGTTCTTGCTCTCGATCTTGGAGAGGTCGAGCACGTCTGATATGATTCGAAGGAGATTGTCTCCTGAGGAGCGGATGATCTCCAAATAGGAGCGCTGCTCTGCAGTGAGGTCTGTTCCTAGCAGCAGCTCTGCCACTCCGATCACACCTGGGAATGGGGGAGGGAAGCAAGAAGAAGGGGAGCAGCAAGGAGGTGCATGTTGAACTCGATGCTCTCCTCTCCAGCGCTAGGTTCTTGCTCTCGATCTTGGAGAGGTCGAGCACGTCTGATATGATTCGAAGGAGATTGTCTCCTGAGGAGCGGATGATCTCCAAATAGGAGCGCTGCTCTGCAGTGAGGTCTGTTCCTAGCAGCAGCTCTGCAACCCCGATCACATCTGGGAATGGGGGAGGGAAGCAAGAAGAAGGGGAGCAGCAAGGAGGTGCATGTTGAACTCGATGCTCTCCTCTCCAGCGCTAGGTTCTTGCTCTCGATCTTGGAGAGGTCGAGCACGTCTGATATGATTCGAAGGAGATTGTCTCCTGAGGAGCGGATGATCTCCAAATAGGAGCGCTGCTCTGCAGTGAGGTCTGTTCCTAGCAGCAGCTCTGCAACCCCGATCACATCTGGGAATGGGGGAGGGAAGCAAGAAGAAGGGGAGCAGCAAGGAGGTGCATGTTGAACTCGATGCTCTCCTCTCCAGCGCTAGGTTCTTGCTCTCGATCTTGGAGAGGTCGAGCACGTCTGATATGATTCGAAGGAGATTGTCTCCTGAGGAGCGGATGATCTCCAAATAGGAGCGCTGCTCTGCAGTGAGGTCTGTTCCTAGCAGCAGCTCTGCAACCCCGATCACATCTGGGAATGGGGGAGGGAAGCAAGAAGAAGGGGAGCAGCAAGGAGGTGCATGTTGAACTCGATGCTCTCCTCTCCAGCGCTAGGTTCTTGCTCTCGATCTTGGAGAGGTCGAGCACGTCTGATATGATTCGAAGGAGATTGTCTCCTGAGGAGCGGATGATCTCCAAATAGGAGCGCTGCTCTGCAGTGAGGTCTGTTCCTAGCAGCAGCTCTGCAACCCCGATCACATCTGGGAATGGGGGAGGGAAGCAAGAAGAAGGGGAGCAGCAAGGAGGTGCATGTTGAACTCGATGCTCTCCTCTCCAGCGCTAGGTTCTTGCTCTCGATCTTGGAGAGGTCGAGCACGTCTGATATGATTCGAAGGAGATTGTCTCCTGAGGAGCGGATGATCTCCAAATAGGAGCGCTGCTCTGCAGTGAGGTCTGTTCCTAGCAGCAGCTCTGCAACCCCGATCACATCTGGGAATGGGGGAGGGAAGCAAGAAGAAGGGGAGCAGCAAGGAGGTGCATGTTGAACTCGATGCTCTCCTCTCCAGCGCTAGGTTCTTGCTCTCGATCTTGGAGAGGTCGAGCACGTCTGATATGATTCGAAGGAGATTGTCTCCTGAGGAGCGGATGATCTCCAAATAGGAGCGCTGCTCTGCAGTGAGGTCTGTTCCTAGCAGCAGCTCTGCAACCCCGATCACATCTGGGGGAATGAAGGATGGGGGGGGGAGGGGAGCAACAAGGAGAGGTGCATGTTGAACTCGATGCTCTCCAGCGCTAGGTTCTTGCTCTCGATCTTGGAGAGGTCGAGCACGTCTGATATGATTCGAAGGAGGTTGTCTCCGGACGAACGGATGATTTCCAGGTATGAGCGCTGCTCTGCAGTGAGGTCTGTTCCTAGCAACAGCACTGCCACCCCAATCACACCTGGGAGTGGGGGATGGAAGGGGAGGGAAGCAACAAGGAAGTGCATGTTGAACTCTTTACTCTCCAGCGCCGAACAGGGGGGTTCTTGGATTTGATCTTGGAGAGGTCTAGCACGTCGGAAATGATTCTCAGCAGGTTGTCCCCTGAAGAGCGGATGATTTCCAGGTAAAAGCGCTGCTAGGTTGTGACCATCACAAGCACAGGCACAGCATGGCTCACCATTCGTGGGCCTGCGGATCTCGTGGCTCATGTTCGCGAGAAACTGGCTCTTGGCCTGGTTCGCTCGTCCCGCAGCCTCCTTAGCCGCCTGCAGCTCTCTTGCCTGGCGCTTGATCTCTGATAAGTCATGCCAGACGATACAACTTTGAGGATCTAGCGCCAGGCGCGAGCATCACGGGAACAACATGTCTCAGTCTCACCGTTCATGGGGGTGCGGATCTCGTGGCTCATGTTCGCCAGGAACTGGCTCTTGGCCTGGTTCGCCCGCTCTGCAGCCTCCTTAGCCGCCTGCAGCTCCCTCGCCTGGCGCTTGATCTCCGACAGGTCGTGCCAGACGACCATGTGCATGGGACGGTTGTGCTCTAGCTGGAGAAAGGAGAGGGTCACCTCTACCGGAAACAGAGACCCGTCTTTTCTCATGTGCATCCACTCAAACCTGCACAGGTGGGGGGGGGAGGAGGGGGGAGGTTGCGGTGGGGTGGACTCAGATGTCAGTTTGATCTCCGACAGGTCGTGCCAGACGACCATGTGCATGGGACGGTTGTGCTCTAGCTGGAGAAAGGAGAGGGTGACCTCTACCGGAAACAGAGACCCGTCTTTTCTCATGTGCATCCACTCAAACCTGCACAGGTGGGGGGGGGAGGAGGGGGGAGGTTGCGGTGGGGTGGACTCAGATGTCAGTTTGATCTCCGACAGGTCGTGCCAGACGACCATGTGCATGGGACGGTTGTGCTCTAGCTGGAGAAAGGAGAGGGTGACCTCTACTGGGAAGAGTGATCCGTCTTTCCGCATGTGCATCCACTCAAACCTGCCCCATGGGAGGGTGGGGAGGGAGGAAGAGAGGGTTAGCAGATGTGTCAGAAGAGGGGGGACAGGTCGTGCCAGACGACCATGTGCATGGGGCGGTTGTGCTCTAGCTGGAGAAAGGAGAGGGTGACCTCCACGGGGAACAAAGAGCCGTCCTTTCTCATGTGCATCCACTCAAACCTGGCCCATGGGAACGAGGGTGGGGATGGAGGAAGAGAGGGATAGCTTCGAGACGTGTCAGAGGGGGGACAGGTCATGCCAGACGACCATGTGCATGGGACGGTTGTGCTCGAGTTGCAGGAAGGAGAGAGTCACTTCTACCGGGAACAGAGAGCCGTCCTTTCTCATGTGCATCCACTCAAACCTGTATGAGAAGGGTGGTGGAGGGGAAGGTGCAGGGGTTAACATGCAAGATCCCCACGCCTGCCGCTTGATCTCTGACAAGTCATGCCAGACGACCATGTGCATGGGGTGGTTGTGCTCGAGCTGCAGGAAGGAGAGGGCCACTTCTAGCAGGAACAGTAAGCCATCCTTGCATATCTCTCTACTCACTTGTGCATGCCGGTCTCAGTAGCCAGAGCCACCATCTCAATCGCCTTCTCGTCCGACCGCCGCCCGTCCGGCTGGCGCTCGGGGGAAAAGTACGCTCGGTCTTGTGCTCATATCCCTCAGCTCATATCTCTCTACTCACTTGTGCATGCCTGTTTCGGTCGCCAGGGGGAAAAGTACGCGGGATGCCTTCTTGTGCTCATATCCCACAACTCAGATCTCTCTACTTACTTGTGCATGCCGGTCTCAGTCGCCAGGGCCACCATCTCAACCGCCTTCTCGTCCGACCGCCGCCCGTCCGGCTGGCGCTCGGGGGAAAAGTACGCGGGATGCCGGCCGATGAGCTCGCTCTTGTCGCTGCAGCGCAGGCAGTGGATGGCCGCGTCGTTGCACTCTGTTATCCCTGTGTCATCGAATACGAGATAGCCGTCCTGAGGGAGTGGGAATGGAGGGGAAAGGTGGGGAAACATGAGTGCAGCGCAGGAAGTGGATGGAAGGGTGGTGCAGGGGGAGTGAGTGCACGTTGCAGCGCAGGCAGTGGATGGCCGCATCGTTGCACTCTGTGATCCCTGTATCGTCAAATACGAGGTAGCCGTCCTGGGGGATGGGGGAAAGGAAGATGGAAGCAGGGGGTGGGGAAACGTGAGCTCGCTCTTGTCGCTGCAGTGCAGGCAGTGGATGGCCGCGTCGTTGCACTCGGTAATTCCTGTATCATCGAATACAAGGTAGCCGTCCTGAGGGGGGTGGGGAAGGAGGAAGGCCGGGAATAGATGGAGAGATGGGACTTTGCAACGAAGGGAGTGGAGGGCCATGTCATCGAATACCAGGTAGCTGTCCTGGAGAAGGGGGGAGAAGAGGGGAGAGGAGGGGGTAGAAGGAAGGGGTGCCGCCCGATGAGCTCGCTCTTGTCGCTGCAGAGCAGGCAGTGGAAGCGTCATCGAATATTAGAAAGATAGCCGTCCTGGAGAAGGGGGAGGGGAAGAGGGGAGAAGAGGGGGGAAGAGGGATGCCGGCCGATGAGCTCGCTCTTGTCGCTGCAGCGCAGGCAGTGGATGGTCTGTGATGTCACTCACCACCCACAGGTGTGAATGCTGGTTACAGGGAGCAAACCAACAGAAAGTAAGCAAGCAACAAGAGCCCAGCACTCACCGAGGAGGCTTCATAGAGAAGCCTCAAAAATCAGCACTCACCGAGGAGGCTTCATAGAGAAGCCTCAAAAATCAGCACTCACCGAGGAGGCTTCATAGAGAAGCCTCATAGGAACTTCTCCCGCACAATCAGGTGGTCTTTGAGGCGCCTCAAAAATCGTCCGTGACGTCGCTCACCACCCACAGGTGCATGAGGGCGGTCAGCTCTCAGTCGCTCACCACCCACAGGTGCGTGAGGGCGGTCAGCTCTCAGTCACTCACCACCCACAGGTGCGTGAGGGCGGTCAGCTCTCAGTCGCTCACCACCCACAGGTGCGTGAGGGCGGTCAGCTCTCAGTCGCTCACCACCCACAGGTGCGTGAGGGCGGTCAGCTCTCAGTCACTCACCACCCACACATGCAATGGTCGAATCGTATCAACGAGAAGCAGGCCAAGCCAACCATCTCTCACTCACCGACGAGGCCTCATAGAGCAGGCGGAACTTCTCCCGCACGATGAGGTGGTCTGTGATGTCACTCACCACCCACAGGTGTGGTGGTGAGATGGGGGCCACCGAATGTGACCACTCACATGTGTGATGGGGGAGCAAACCAAGGAAAAGCAGGCTAGCAAGGAAAGCCCACCACCCACCACTCACTCACCGAGGAGGCTTCATAGTGTCAGAAATAGGCTTAGAAGCGATGCATTAGTAATGAGCTTGAAGCTCTTTAAGTACATCCAAGAGGGGTAGGAAAAGGATGGGGAAGGGAATCGGGGGCAATCTCTAGGGATTGGGGGTAATCCCAAGGCAATCTCCAATTGGTGGGTTGGAGATTGGTTGGAGATTACATTTGGGTTTGGTTGGGATGTAGGTGTACACCCAACCAAACACAATGGTGGAGACCCCTTCTCGCGCGGAGCGCCGCTCTTAAGTCACCGATAGGAACTTCCGACGGACCGGAATAGCGAAAATCGTCAATGTCGGCCGCGTCGGAATGTCACGTAGAAGGTTTTTTTTTTCTTTTTCTTTTTCAGGCCGCCAAAATTAGGTCGAATCGGCCGATTTCCGTAGATCTATCACTAATCCCACACATCCCCCCACACACCACCCTCGGCTTCGCGGCTACACGGCTGCTCTGCTTCGCGGCTACACGGCTGCTCGGCTGCGCTGCTGCACCTGTTCAGCTGCGGGAAGGGGGAAGGGGTAGGAGTGCAGATGCGGGGCGACGGGCGGCAGCCCGACGTGAAGCTGCGGGGCGACGGGCGGCGGCCCGACGAGAAGCTGCAGGGCGACGGGCGGCAGCCCGACGAGAAGCTGCGAGGCGACGGGCGGCGGCCCGACGTGAAGCTGCGAGGCGACGGGCGGCGGCCCGACGAGAAGCTGCAGGGCGACGGGCGGCGGCCCGACGAGAAGCTGCGGGGCGACGGGCGGCGGCCCGACGTGAAGCTGCGAGGCGACGGGCGGCGGCCCGACGAGAAGCTGCAGGGCGACGGGCGGCAGCCCGACGAGAAGCTGCAGGGCGACGGGCGGCGGCCCGACGAGGAGGAAAGCGAGCGTTAGGTTATAGCGCGGACGATGCGCTTACCAGATAAATTACCGTCGAAAGTGACGGGAAGGTGCAGCGGGAAAATTTCCGCCGACGAATGTCGCGAATCACCGGCGACGAGGTTGACGATGGCTTCGCCGAGGTTTGCGGGACGAGTATCCGCAGAGGTAAGAAGATCACGATCCGCGTATGCGGTTGAAGGGCTCTGATACCATGTCAGAAATAGGCTTAGAAGCGATGCATTAGTAATGAGCTTGAAGCTCTTTAAGTACATCCAAGAGGGGTAGGAAAAGGATGGGGAAGGGAATCGGGGGCAATCTCTAGGGATTGGGGGTAATCCCAAGGCAATCTCCAATTGGTGGGTTGGAGATTGGTTGGAGATTACATTTGGGTTTGGTTGGGATGTAGGTGTACACCCAACCAAACACAATGTGCAAACTACACTACTCTAGGATATAGAAAATACAAAGTACAAATTGTGAGATTGAAGACTAACACTAACACATAGAGCAGGCGGAACTTCTCCTGCACGATCAGATGGTCCGTGATGTCACTCACCACCCACAGGTGCGGGTGATGGTTACAGGGAGCAAACCAACGGAAAGTAAGAAGGCAACAGGAGCCCACCACTCACCGAGGAGGCCTCATAGAGCAGGCCGAACTTCTCCCGCACGATCAGATGGTCCGTGATGTCACTCACCACCCACAGGTGCGGGTGATGGTTACAGGGAGCAAACCAACGGTAAGTAAGAAGGCAACAGGAGCCCACCACTCACCGAGGAGGCCTCATAGAGCAGGCCGAACTTCTCCCGCACGATCAGATGGTCCGTGATGTCACTCACCACCCACAGGTGCGGGTGATGGTTACAGGGAGCAAACCAACGGAAAGTAAGAAGGCAACAGGAGCCCACCACTCACCGAGGAGGCCTCATAGAGCAGGCGGAACTTCTCCCGCACGATCAGATGGTCCGTGATGTCACTCACCACCCACAGGTGCGGGTGATGGTTACAGGGAGCAAACCAACGGAAAGTAAGAAGGCAACAGGAGCCCACCACTCACCGAGGAGGCCTCATAGAGCAGGCGGAACTTCTCCCGCACGATCAGATGGTCCGTGATGTCGCTCACCACCCACAGGTCGCCCCCTCCTGCCCCGCAGTCCCTCACAGCCACCTCTAACCACCGCGGCTCTCCGTCCCTCCGCACCATCCTTAACGTCCGTGATTCCCTGAACCCCATTGCACGATCTGCTTCAAGTATTTGCCGCACCTGTGGGAGCGTGAGGGGGAAAGAGAAACAGGCACATACAGATTGATTGGTTGCTGGCACCGCTCACAGACGTGTGCACTACTGTCAACCCCCTCCCCTTCCCTCCTCCCACCCCGCAGTCCCTCACTGCCACCTCCAACCATCTGGGTTCTCCATCCCTCCGCACCATCGGTAGGGTTCTCGACTCCCTGAACCCCGTAGGGTGTGCTTCAAGAATTTGCCGCACCTGTGAAGAAGTGAAGGAGAAGAGTAAGGAGTGAGGTGGCACAGGGTGTGCGGAAACAAGAGCCACAGGCACACACGGAAAGAGAGATTGAGTTAACAGACCAGCCAGCCATGCTCTGCTCCCTTCCCACGCCACATGATCTACTTCACTCTCACCTTTCTCTCATTATCCCACTCTCACTCTCCCACCCACTCTCCCTCTCCCAGTCTCAGTCTCTGCCTCATTAACTCTTCTGCCCTTTTCTTGAACAGGCATGAGAACCACGATCAACCGTACTCAGCTTCCTTCCCCCTCCACAAGAAGTACCTCGCACACACCTTTACTCCTCCCCTTCTTCTTACCTCTTCCGCTCTCTCCCTGAAGAGGCATGAGAACCACGATCAACCGTACTCAGCTTCCTTCCCACTCACTGGAGCCACCTCACACACTCATCTTTCACTCATTATCCCACTCTCCCTCCCCCAGTCTCACTCTCCCACTCCCCTTCTTCTTACCTCTTCCGCCCGTTCCCTGAAGAGGCATGAGAACCACGAATCCACTGTACTCAGCTCCTCCCGTGAATACCCCGTAATTGCCTCCATATGAGGGTTAATAACCACCTCATCCCCGTTGCCGCTCCCCCCGCCACTCCTCTCCCCCCTGCCGCCCCTGCCACTCCCGGCACTGTTGCCACTTCCCCCGCCGCTCCCTCCCCCTCCGCTTCCCCCTCTGGTTCGCTCCTCTGGAAGCATATGCGCCACTCCTGCTGGCAAGTGCTGGAGAATGAAAGCGCACCGCTTCGCTCGCACCTCCTGTTGTGCGGTGGGAATGGGTTGGGGAGGTTCAGATTAGGTGGAGAGCGGTGAAGTGCGGCGAAGAACGGTGGGATGGGGTACGAATCAGGAAAGCAATATACCACTTCCCCCTCCTCCGCTTCCCCCTCTGGTGCGTTCTTCTGGGAGCATGTGCGCCACCCCTGCTGGCAGGTGCTGCAGGATGAAAGCGCACCGCTTTGCACGCACCTCCTGTTGTGGGGATGGGGTGAAATGTGGTGAAGTGCGGTGGAGGTGAAGGGTGGGACGAGGTAAGAGGCAGGGAAGCAGGTGCGGCACTCCTGCTGGCAGGTGCTGCAGAATGAAAGCGCAACGTTTGGCCCGCACCTCCTGTTGGCAAGATTGGGATACGGTGAAACACGGTTACGTGCGGTGGAGTATGGTGGGATAGGGAGAGAGGCAGGGAAGCATGTGCGCCACTCCTGCTGGCAGGTGCTGCAGAATGAAAGCGCAACGTTTGGCCCGCACCTCCTGTTGGCAAGTTTGGGATACGGTGAAACACGGTTACGTGCGGTGGAGTATGGTGGGATAGGGAGAGAGGCAGGGAAGCATGTGCGCCACTCCTGCTGGCAGGTGCTGCAGAATGAAAGCGCAGCGTTTGGCCACACCTCCTGTTGTGTTGTGCGAAGGATGGGTATGGGAAGCGGTGGGGACAGGTTGAGATAGGATGATGAAGAGCAGTTTAGTGCGGTGGAGTAGGCTGAACATGTGCGCCACTCCTGCTGGCAGGTGCTGGAGAATGAAGGCACACCACTTTGCGCGCACCTCCTGTTGTGGGGTTGGGGTGAACTGTGGTGAAGTGCGGTGGAGGTGAAGGGTGGGACGAGGTAAGAGGCAGGGAAGCATGTGCGCCACCCCTGCTGGCAGGTGCTGGAGAATGAAAGAACACTACTTTGCACGCACCTCTTCTTGTACGGTGGGCAGAAGGGTAAGGTGGGTTGGGGTGATGCAGTGGTGAAGAGCGGTACAGTGCAGCGGAGTAGGGTGGGATGGGGTAAGGAGCAGCGAAGCATATGTGTCACTACTGCTGACCCGTTTCAGCACTAACCTTGAAACTGCTCACTACTGCAGAGCAGCAGAGAGGTCGCTGACATGGAGGGGAGTGAGGGGGAAAGGCGGGGGAGGAGTGGGAGGGGTTCTCATCTCACGCGTGGGGGCATGAGATCACTCACCTTGGAGCTGTGCAGAGCAGCAGAGAGGTCATAGAAAAGAGCCATGAACATGGGGGGTCATCGCCCCGCCCCCCACCTGCCCCACCCGCACCATCCGCACCATCTGCCCCATCTTCCCAGCACCACTTGCCTGGAGGCTGGAGGGATGAGGCCCCTCACCTTGGAGCTGTGCAGAGCAGCAGAGAGGTCGCTGAAGAGAGCCATGAACATGGATGGGGGGTCATCATCCCTCGCCTTTACCCCCAGCCTTCGCCCCTTCTGTCGTCTCAACGGCACGGCAGCACCCCACTCCTCCAACCAGACCCCCACTCACCTTGGAGCCATGCAGAGCAGCAGAGAGGTCGCTGAAGAGAGCCATGAACATGGATGGGGGGTCATTAACCCACCACCCACCTTGCAGTTATGACAGGGAGGCTGAAGAGAGCCATGAACATGGATGGGGGGTCATCATCCCTCACTGTTAGCCTCCCTCCCTCCTCTTGCTCCCAACCCACCACCCACCTTGCAGTTATGACACATCTCACCACCAGCACCCCCACCACCACCCCCACAAACATCCCTCACTTTGGAGCCGTGCAGAGCAGCAGAGAGGTCGTAGAAAAGAGCCATGAACATGGAGGGGGGCCATCGTCCCTTGCCCTCAGCCTACCTACCTCCTCTTGCTCACACCCTACCGCCCACCTTGGAGTTATGCCGCATCTCAAACCCCCACCACTCGCCTTGGAGCCGTGCAGAGCAGCGGAGAGGTCGTAGAAAAGAGCCATGAACATGGAGGGGGGGTCATCGCCCCTCATCACCTCACCTATCTCCCTCCCTCCTCTTGCTCCCACCACACCACCCACCTTAAACCCCTGGCAAATGCAACAGCACCCCACTCACCTTGGAGCCATGCAGAGCAGCAGAGAGGCCGTAGAAGAGAGCCATGAACATGGAGGGGGGGTCATCGCCCCTTGCCCCGCCCGCAGCATCTGCTCCTGGTGCCACGTGGCATGTGAGGCGAATGCGGCGCATGCTGCCTCCTGGGGGATTGGATGAGGTGGGGGGGGGGGAGAGTTGGGGCGGAACATAGAAGAGGAGAAGGGGGGCACCATTGGCTGCTGGCGCCACGTGGCATGTGAGGCGAATGCGCCGCATGCTGCCTCCTGAGAACGGGGAAAAAAGAGTGGCAAGAACAGGGGGGGAGAAGAGGGGACGCGGGGAAGTGACGGGAGGAGTACAGGCATAAGCAGCTCGGATCAAGCAACACACCCCGCCCGCCCCATCTGCTGATGGCCCCATGTCGCATGTGAGGCGAATGCGGCGCATGCTGCCTCCTGGGAATGGTGGAAGGGGGTGAGGGGAGGAGAGGAGACAGGAGGGAGAAGAGGCCTAAGTGTCTCGGATCAAGCAACAACACCCAGCCCGCCCCATCTGCTGCTGGCGCCACATGGCATAAGTGTCTCGAATCAGGCAAATGTGGCGCATGCTGCCTCCTGAGGGGTGGAGGGGTGGGGAGATGGAGGGGGGGACGGACGGATATGAGAGGGGAACAAGGCATATTGTATCGGGGAAAAAAAAAAAATAAAAAAAAAAAAAAAAAAACACACCCCCATCCCGCCCCATGGCATGTGAGGCATATGCGGCTCACAGTGAGGCATATGCGGCGCATGCTACCTCCTGGGGGATGAGGAGGGGCGGGGAGATGGATGGGGGGACGGACGGATATGAGAGGGGAACGAACCCCATACCGCACGCACCAACTGAAGCTGGTGCCACGTGGCATGTGAGGCGAATGCGCTGCATGCTGCTGGTGCCACGTGGCACATGCCACATGGCATGCTGTGCAAGAGTATAGCACGACACGCCACGCATACAGCTTTTGAGATTTTCGTGAAGGACGTAACCAGGATATCAGCACAGCACACGTGGCACACCTGGCATGATGACGGGCAGGTCATGGTGAGACTGCCTGTGCCACGTGGCGTGAGGTGATAGGTGCTGTGCGTGCGCTGACAGGGTCGCTGCTGAGATGCTGCCGAACCAGCTCTGGAGGGGAAAGGAGAAGGGGGGAGGGAGTGCGGAAGGGAAGGGGGGAAGAGTATAGGAAGGGGGAGGGGAGAGAGCATGGGGAGGGGAGAGAAGGGGGAGGGGAGTGGGGGAGGGAGTGTGTCTTTGAGGCGCTGCAAAGAAAGAGTTGCTGCTGAGATGCTTCCGAACCATCTTTGGGAGGAGGAGGGGGGGGCGGCGGGAACGGGGGGAGGGGAACCAGCATGGCGGCCAGAGCAGCGCTGCAGTGAGCCACTGCCCACCCACCCACCCACACAGCCCAGCCCCCTACCAGCCTGGAAGCTGGTAGACCCACCTGGAAGCTGCGAACGGCAGGGGCGCTGAGGAAGTTCTGCAGTGGACTTCCTTCCAAGGCGTTGCGTGAGCGCCCCGGCATGGTGCCCAAGATAGGACTGGGAAGCTTCCACCCACCCACCCACACAGCCCAGCTCCCTACCAGCCTGGAGGCTGGGAGACCCACCTGGAAGCTCCTAGTGGCAGGCGCGCTGAGGAAATTCTGCAGCGGGCTTCCTTCCAGTGCATTCACTGATCGCCCCAGCATGGCGGCTAGAGCAGCCAGTGCCCAAGATAGGACTGGTGGTGACCCCCCACTACCCACCTGGAAGCTCCTAATGGCACGGGCGCTGAGGAAATTCTGCAGCTGACTTCCCTCCAGTGCGTTGCGTGATTGCCCCAGCATGGCGGCGAGAGCAGCGCTGCAGTGAACCAGCTCGCCACTGCCCAGGCGGAGCCCCGCCAGGCCTGGTGGCCCTCCCCTCCCCACGCCCTTCTACTGCCCTCTCAAATCAACCCACTACCCACCTGGAAGCTCCTAATGGCAGGCGCGCTGAGGAAGTTCTGTAGAGGAGACCCCTCCAGAGCATTCACTGATCGCCCCAGCATGGCGGCTAGAGCAGCGCTGCAGTGAACCAACTCGCCACTGCCCAGGCGGAGCCCCGCCAGGCCTATCCCTGCCAGGCCTACCCCTCCTATCCCTCCTTGCTGCATGCAGGAGAGATCACAGCACAGCACACCCACCTGGAAGCTCCTAATGGCAGGGGCGCTGAGGAAATTCTGCAGCGGCGAGCCTTCCAACACGTTGACTGATCGCCCCACCATGGCGGCTAGAGCGGCGCTGCAGTGAACCAGCTCGCCACTGCCCAGGCGGAGCCCCGCCAGGCCTATCCCTGCCTCGTCCAGGAGGGCCCGGACGTGCAGGTCCGGCAGCCAATGGGAGTCTGCCACGTCATCCAGCCATGAGTGGGTGAAACCGCCGCCCTCTGCCAGGGGTGGAGGAGGAGAGGGGAGGGATGGGGGGTAATGGGGATGTGGGGAGGGGAAAGGGGGGGAATTTGGGATAAGTGGGGGAGAGAGGGGGTTGGGACGGGGGAGAGGGGAGGGAGGGGTGGATGGGGTGATGAGGGGCGGGATGAAAATGGGTGGACAATAAAAGCAAATGCACCAGATTTTAGTCGCATCCTTCTCTCGCCCCCTCTCCTTTCCAACCACCTCCGCCCGTCTCTTTATCTCGTTCGTCCTCACCTGATTTCAATCGCCCGTCTCTTTCTCTCTTTCTCTCTCACCTGATTTGAATCGCATCCTTCTCCCAGCCCTCTCAGACAGCCTTCCCAGCGTCTGCGCCCTCGTAGGACCAAGACAAATCTCATCCTCATCATCATCATCATCACCACCACCACCACCACCACCACCACCACCACCATCACCATCACCCCGACCACGACCACCACCAACAACAGCGTCAGCCTGAATGCCTCCCTGTCTCCTCTCCGCCTCCCTCCCCTCCCTCCCTCCCCTCCCCTCCCCCCTCCCGTCCCCCATCCCCTCCCCCTCCGCTTCCTCCTCCCCAACTTCCGCCACAAACCTCCTCTCTCCACCCCACGACCCCCCTCCCTTCCCCCTCCCCCCTCCGCTCGTCCCACACCACCGCCGCTCAGGAGACATAGCCACCATCCCCCCCGCCCCCCTTCCGCCCATTCTCCCCCCTCCGCCCGCGGCTCCGCTTCCCCCAAACCGCTCTGCTCCCCCAATCCGCTCCCCGCCCGCCCTCCCCCTGCGCCCGAGGGGGAAGTCCCCCTCCTCAGAATCACTCTCACTTGCGGAGCCTATCTCGTGCAGAAAATTCGCGTCTAAGCTACACTGCCGCCCCAGTCCCCCCAACCTTCCCCCCCTTCTCCCCCTGTTCCCCCTGCTCCCCGCGTCCCCCCTGCTCCTCCCGCTCCCCCCGCTCCCACCGCCCGCCCCGCCTCCGCCGCGCACCCCCCTGCTCCCCCCGCCCGCGCCCTCCCCCATCTGCCACGTCACCTTCTCCTCCCACGTCAGGTCATTATCCCTAAACTCTTTTAGTCGCGGCCTATTCCCCCCCTGCTGCGGATTCCCCACCTGCCGCGAATCAATCTGCGCATGCACAAGCGTGTGCGGGGAAGCGTATGCAGCAGCACCTTCGTGAGACTGTGAATGCGAGGGCGGCGCGTTCCCTTCCCCAGGCGCTCCCAGCGGGAGCGGGGGTAAGCGCCCCGAGCCTATACTACTCTCCCGACGAAGCCCTGTCCCTAGACTGGCTTCCCGCCTAAGCGCCGAGCCCGCACTATCGCGCCCACAGCCCCCGCCCTCCCCGCTTCCCCCCCCGCCAATATCCCAGCTTCCGCCAATCCCCCCCGCTGCGCCCTCCCCGCCCCTGACGCTCCCGTCCTGCTTCTCCGAGCCGCTTCCGTGGCTTAAGGAGCCTACTAAGAGGCACCTCGCGGCGCCCGGGCCGCCGGAACCAGTCTGGGGCTGCGTGGTAAGGGAAAAGGTCTTGGGGTACAGGGATGCGGGATCGTCAACGTCAACGTCAACGTCAGCATGAACGTCATCGTCAACGTTCCGTTCCCTCTGCTGCTCCCGCTGTGGCGTCTGCTGCGGGAGCGGGTGTGCCGTTGCTACAAGCTCCCGCTCCCCGTTACTCTCAAAGTATTGGAGCAGGATGGAAAACAGAATGGGCTCCCCGCCAGCAACAGGCGTGCCACTGCTCGTTTCGCGAGTCTCGCCGGGAGCGGTTACCACCTGCTGTTCCCTCGCCAGCTGCTCCTTTCCCAACTGCTTCCCCTGCTCCCGTCTCTGCTCCCTCCCCTGCTGCTGCTGCTGCTCCCGCTGCTGCTGCTGGTGCCGCTTCCGCCCCTCCCTGTGCCTCCGCCTGCTCCTCCGCCTCGCCGCGCCGTCTTCCGCCCACTGCGCGCCCCCCATCCCGTCCCCGCCATAGTCGTCCTCGTCATCGTCGTCGTCGTCATCCGAAAAGATTTGATTCTGCGCGAACCCGTCCCGCGAAAAGCTGTCTGACGTGGACGAGAACGACCGCACATCCTCCGACGTGCTCGTGCGCAACCCCGCGCGCAGCGCAGAAGCCTCCGCACCCGCGGAAACCCCCACCCTAGCTCCCCCGCCTCCGCTTCCGCTCCCGCTTCCGCCTCGTCCCGCGCCGCCAGCTCCCGCTCCCCAAGTCTTCCGCCGAACCAGCGACAACCCCACCGATTCCGAACCTCCTCCGCTGCTTCGGCTACTGGACCGGCCAAAGCCATCCCCCTCAACAAAACCCTCGTTCCCGTTTCCCCCCGCGTTTTCCCCCGCGGTTTCCGCCGCGCCTCCGCCCGTCCCGCCTGCTCCGCTTCCAAGCTTCAGAGCCGCGTCGAGCTTCGCGCCGCGCTGCTCTCCGGTCGCGAGGGGAGCAACCAGCTGCAGCCATTCCGGTAACGGCAAGCCATCAACAAGACCGCATAGCGTCAGCGCTTCTAGCTCCTCGGGGGCGTAACCTAACGCGTCGCATGCACCCTCGCTCGCGGCGCATATTCGAGCCGTCCACGGGTCAAGTACGAACTGCACGAACTGCGCCTGTTGAACAAACCCTAAGACCGTAACGCCTTGTCCGGGCTTTCCGGGCTTTCCACCGCCATTCCCGCCGCCATTTCCGCCGGGTTTTCCGCTCGCGACGGGTCCTGCTAGTGTTTGTGGGATAGAACTCGCAAAGGCTTTCCTATGGATGGGAGGGGGAGCCTGATAGGTCACAGTTAACGGCATGGCCTAAGGGCGTGTCCCAATAGTACGTCTCTTGTTCCTGTATGCGGTCTATTTTGGTGCGTCGCGGTACAAAGTGGTGAAGCTCGATAATTGCTTTCCACCGTGTGGAACCGTCCTGAGCCACGAAGAAAGAATGTCCACGTACTGTTGGGACACGGCCAAAGAAAGATTACTGGCGTGCGAATGCGTCAGGGCGAATGACATAACTTATTACAAACAATCCTTGCTAGTGGTACCTACTGGAGACCAGGTGACATTGCTGCCGAGGTTAGTGGCTACACGTAGAATCTATCGCCTAGTTAGTGGTAAGGTAATGCGTAGTTCACGGAAAAGCTGACTATTGCTGGAGCGAATGACAAGTGTAACCAGCCACGGCGTCCGCTATTCAGCTCTCCACACAAACAGAGATATCGTATCTACAACAGTTTCAAGCATGACGCGTCACATTCGTTGGTTTACAGCTCATAGAAAATCGATGTTGGTGAGTAACGAGCGGTTCAAAGCGGTGAAACAATCTGACCGCTCTAGATTGCACTGCATCGCTCTTAACCAAACAGGAAGGGTGCTCGGATGACGCCTCTTCCACGAGTTGCTGCTACTGTAGTTACTGTACAGTGGTCTGGGTGCGACGCAGTCTTCAAGGTTGCTCTTCCCCACCCCCCGATTCTTGGGACTTGTTGCAGGAACGAACTTTCCCTCGATCCTACCGAGCGACAAGGCTCGTCGTCAGCAGAGAGGTTCCGTGAAAACCGTAGGGGGTACTGTACAATACAACAATACCGTAGGGTGTTCACCTTCAGTACCGTAATGAAGTCGTTCCTTTGACATCACCCAGGGACCTGGTTGGGCTGGACGGGTGTTCATCTACAGTGGAAGCGCTCAAGACGTGTTGTGGAAGTTAGGGGGACGAAGCGGTATAAAAGTTGGAACTGAGGGTGCTGGTAGTGACAATTTCCGAACTCGGAAGCATGAGGGTCTAGAAGAGACCCTGATTATTGCCCTAATATATCGAGATTGGAACGTAAAGCACGTGGTCAGTGCCTTCAGAATCACTTTGGGAACCTCCCAATGCTCCTCGTTTCTAAAAATCCCTCGTTTCGGGAACTTCATTCTTGGGTTGATCCGAAAACATTATTAGGTTCAGATTGGTGAGTGATGACTGCCACAACGCGAGTGCTGATTCTGGCCGGTTCCATCCACGGTTCATCCAAACATAGGTTGTCGATGTGGCATCCGCCATACAGAATCGCTTTTCGCATACTGAAAGTGCTGTCATCCTCCAATGAGGTCAGTTGCTGGAGTCGGTTCAGAAGGTGGAAGAGGCGGAATATCTGAGATGGCGTCACTTTCCAAGGAATACACCAGCGTTCGTGTACTTTAAAATATGAGCCACTTTGATTAAATTTCACAATACTACTAATGCTGGTCCTAATTTAAACGCATAGTTCTGGGCAGTGAATTATAAATTATATTTTCTGAAGAACATGTTTGACTGTGGGCCTATGGAACTCTGAAATTTGTGTGAATGACCTAGCAACTTCGTGACTGGCACTTAAAGATGGTCACGCTACTGTTTGACCTTAAAAAACACAACCATGGATACACTATCAAAATGAGAATGGTGAATAGAATGGCATGCATAGGTACGAATACCTAACCCTAGCCTAGCCTACCAAGCATAGGACGCTTGGACGTTTTTGGCTGGAGATTAGCAAGTGCTTTGAATGAGGCTGCTACTGTAATGTTTTTACGTGTAGCACCCGTATGAAACCTTGAATTACTGTATCTTGAATGAAGTCTCCGGGAGTTTCTTTCAGGACACCACTGTAACTGCCATGTCATCCGCTTGTGACTGCCAGCCGCATTCCATCAGGTTCCACGCAAGCCGAGTCGCACGCCGTCGTGGATTTATTAGAAACAGGTGGATTTATTCCTCACCTCAAGGCATTTCCAGGCGCCTCGAGTGCCGAGATCCGCTTTTCGTGCCAGCCCTTGCTTTTCCGCCTCCACCTCAACAACATCCCCCGCCCGCACTCCCTTGACATGCCCCCATCAATTCCGCCCCTCCCCACCATTTCCATGCTAACATGTCCCGATTCTTTCTACTGTTGCTGCTTTCCCTACCGAGTCGTACCCTGCGGTCGTCGTCGTTGATTGGAAGACGACCAGCCCTGCCCCACATTTCCGCTCCATTCTCCCTACAGGGCCAGTTGTCTCTCTATACCCTTCCCCCTCCCCCGCACACATTACAGCCCCCAACCCCGCGTGCTATGAAGTCAATGAGCCCCCCCGCGCGCACCAACCAAACTCAAATGCGCAACAAATCAGCCCAATGTATTTTTTTCTTCCGCCAATCCGCAGCATGTCTTCCTTCGTAGTGGCGCTACATACACACAGTCCGCCCCTCCCGCCCCTCCCTCGACGCTTCGGATCCGCCCTGATTCCTTATCCACCCTCATCCTTACATCTTCACCGCACGATGCAGTCAAGGTTTAGAGAAGCGCCTCGGCGAACCCGCCGCCCTCCCCCCCTCACCCGTGATCTCGCCTGTCGCCTGTCTCACCCCCATCGCCGCCTCCTCGTGTCCTCCTCCCGACCATGCCCCATCCACCAACCAACCACCATCCTCCCTCGTGCAACATCAAGGCAGCTTCCGCCCCTGCGGACAAGAGCGAGCCAGGTGGCGGTGTTCCCTGCTCCCCTCCACTCCCCCCAACTCAAGTTGAAGACAGCACAGCAAAGCGAAGCGCACAGGGGAATACAGTATTCCCGCTCCTCTCCACTTCTCCCCTCTCCTCCCGTCCTCTCCTCCCCTCTCCCTCCCCCTATCCCATCACCCTGGTCAGCAGACCGCCGACAACCATCCTCCCGCTGATGATCCAGCATGCTCGCCCACGTAACTCGCAATTTGGTTCAAAGGAAATCGACGGACCATTCCTGCTCGTGCTTAGCTCAAGCATCTGGAGAAAAACCTGCAGTGCGGTGTGCGGTTAGTCCCAGGGTAAAGCTGTTTCTCGCAGCTGCCAGCTCCTAACCCCAGGATGAACCAGCTAACTGTACGGACTGCCCTGGCCGACTGCCGATTCGCATTGCCGTAGAAAGCGGAAAGTGCTTTCCAGCCGATTCTGAACTCGTGATTTTTGGGATGTATGGCGATCAGCAGCCTCACTAACCAGTATATATCCTGAGGCGTCGCGAACAAGCTAAACTTTTTTTTCTCTCGTTTCTCACGACCCGTCCGATTGATCGTACTTAAGATCCACTATGACACTTCGCAAAATGTTTGTTCGCTTACGCTCCAATTCCCAAGCGCACACGCCCAACTCGCCTTTCGCGATCCGCAGCCTGCCAGCTCTCCTCCTCTTCCTGGTCGTTGCTGTCCCACGTTCCGGAACCGCATTTTCAAACACAGTCGACGATAGCTGGTACAATCGTGGCGTTCGCTCCGACTCAAACCCTTCCAATGTACCGAACGTCGTCACACCGGCCGCCGCGCAATCGTCCTTGGACGCGTGCCTAGCCAGAAACGCACCCTACATAAACGATTCGAGCTATCCGCGGCCGCCGTTCCCCACGCTGTGTCCGCCCGAGGGGCTCTTTGAAGTGTGCTACGTGAAAGGTGAGCTCGTGATGATATAGAGACCGGATCAGGGAATGCTGTTGGGTGTTCTTTCTTACCTGAAAGGGTGTAGCAGCTGAGGTGTAGTCGGACATATTTAAGGTGCCACCGACTTGTGCTAAGGTGTCAGCAATCAAGATCAGCCAGACCGGAGGGGGGAATGAAAATGTCAACGACGGCCAGCTTGACTGGGGATGAGTTTTTTTTTTTTTTTTTTTTAAGAATATACTCCAAGTGCGCCGTCGGTAAGACTAATGATAAGGATCTGGTAGACTGCATTTTATCGTTTCTACTGAGGTGAACAAAGAAGGAACTTGAACTCGATTGTTGATAATTTCCTCCTCCCCTCCTCACCCGTCGTCTCTTCTGTTTTCCCGTTGACTTAATGTGCAGGACCCGTTGCGTTCAACATTACTCCTACGTTCATCGGCACCAGATGGAAAGGATGGGGGACGTCACTTGCTTGGTATGTTGAAAAACCCTGTTGAAGTTCAGTCTCGCCAAAATGTTGCGATTTACTCATTGGTAGAGAAGAAACAAACCAGCTATACATGTCTTCACGATGGAAACGTAGGGGGCACGCCTCACAGCCCCGCCCACCACCAAAGGGGAAGGCCTTGCTCGCAGGAGATGCTGAGCAGGAACTAAACAGCTCGTATTTTTCTGGGTTCATTTTGTCGCACGATAATAGAGAAAATAAAACAAACAAACAAACAAACAAATAAATCTTCTACCGTTTAACGCTTCAACAACCCATTATCTTTCCTGAAGTGCAGGTTTGGAAACTACATTGGCGGACTGCCCAAGAAGCGTCTCAACACGCTTATGGATCTGATCTTCAAGAAGGAAGGACTCAACTTCAACATCGTCCGTTACAACATCGGAGGGGGTTTCAACGCGCGTTACAGTCCCCAGTTTCTCACGGGAACAGCTACGGACTGGCGGGGTGTTCCTGGATTTAAGCCCACACAAGCTGGAGCCTACAACTGGCAAGCAGACAGACGGCAGAAGGCTGTTCTCCAGGGAGCACGGGCACGCGGCGCGAATATTTTCGAAGCTTTCTCCAACAGCCCTCCCTGGTGGATGACTTACACGCGTGACGTGGCAGGAGCCACAGATGCAAACAAGACCAATCTGCGGCCGGCATACGAGTCGTCATTCGCGAACTACCTAGCAGACGTCGTCCATCGATTTGCAAAGGACCCGAAGTGGAACCTTACGTTCGATACGGTGGATCCGTTTAACGAGCCGCTGGAAGGGTTCTGGAAGGCAGGCGCTGCGCATGAAGGATGCAGCTTCCAGCCTCCTGAGATGGGACGGGTGATCCAAAAAACCGCCATGGCTCTTAAATCGAGAGGGCTCAGAACGAAGCTGGCTGGAGTTGACAGTTGGTCTCGTCACACGACGGAATATCTTCCTAAAGTAGCTGGGAGAATGCTACTGGAGAGAATCAACATTCATTCTTATCTCGGGACACCTCCTGACGGTGTATCTCATCCTCGCTGGACAAACCTAATGTACGCTCGGATGCGGAACATGGCTAGGGGGATGAGGAAGGAGGTTTGGGTGTCAGAAGGCGGGCCAATCGGATTCGCGGGGCACCCGTTTGACGTGACACTCTACGTGGCTCGGCAAGTCATTGAAAGCATCAATATTCTCGAGGCGTCGGCGTATGTCTACTGGCAAGCCGTGGATCCGAATGATTGGTGGACGTTGATCAAGATCCCTTGGGAGTATCCGCTGCGGAAGGCAGTTTCCGAATTGCGAGATCAAGGAATTGTGCTGGGGAAGCGTTACTGGGTGTTCAAGCAATTTTCGAAATATGCACCGCAGGAGAGCAGGCCACTGAGAGTCCCGTACTCGTGCTGGCATTCCGTCGCTGCTTTCTACAACGATAAGTACATGTTCGTCAGCGTGTTTTTCGTGAACCAGAAGGCGAATAAAGTGAAGCTGACCTTCGGGTTGGACGGGTTCAGGACGAATGTGGGAAATCCTACGAGGGTGGTTGCACACAGGACGACTTGGCAAGAAGCGTACGCTGAAGTGCTTATATCTAAAGGTAAGTCTTCTGTTACTGTGACTTTGGAGGGGCAAAGTTTCGTCTCCCTCATTTTTACCAACATTGCGTTGAAGGAGGGGAAGGGAGGGAAAAGGAAATAGATAATCCCGATCCAGTTGAATTTATACAGGCGAACACAAAGTCCGCCTAGTTCTTGTAGGATTCAGCTTGGTGTTTTGGATTATTGCCATTGTGGTGTATTGTAGTTTGTTAAATGTAGTTAAAGGTAAGACACACAAAAAAATACAATCTCCATCCTGGAGATTCAAGGTGGACCCAACGTAACAATTTGATGATGGTACATCTCTTTTGTATGCAAGTTACAACCCTTCTTGGTCTGCTTACCCTGCTTCACACAATAGCAGCACCCTTACTCAACTCCAACTTGTACAGATCCCGCCCGTCCAGCTGGCATACATTTCCATATGGCAAGTCCCACTAGTATACAACAGCAACACTTCCCACATCTACTTCCCTTTCTTTTTGGGAATCTTACTCAGCTTCACAATGTCAGGATTATGAATGTGCGTAGTGGCCATGCTCACCACCAGCTTGTACAGATCCGGCTCCGGGCGGTTGAAATTCAAATAGTAGAACCCGTCGTCGATCCGCCGGGGCCCCACGTCTTTTCTCGGGCAGCTCTTAAAACCATTGATGCTGGTGAAGAGGGACGAGCCTGGATTCACACCCAAGTCGTCGTTCGCATAATCCAGAAATTTTGCCCCGGGAATGTCGGTAAGATTCACCCCCCTCTCGTCATTTAGAGGACCCGCCGCGACTGTAGGCAAGTTTTCACAGTACTTATAGTCGAGGGGCCGCCCATCAGTCTCCACCAGGACGAGGTTTAGGTAATTTTCAGTGGGAAGGCCGCTGCATGCCCCTGTTTTCTCTGCAGACAACGTTCCCTTGACTTTGGTGTTGCATGGCTTGCCGTTGATGTTGGTCTGGGTGCAAACATTAGGCCAGAAAGGGTATTTCTGAAGGAGGGGCAGACGAGAGGAGGTAAGAGCAAAACAGACAAAAAGAGTGACTCGCATACTTCATGCACGGCCATAGCAGATGATAACTACAGCATCATATCACACTGGGACAGCAAAGAACATGTGATGCGAGCATATATTGCTGTACAATCAGCAAATGGCAGGCTTTTAGCGCCCATCCAACTTCACCTACTGTTGCTTCCTTCTTAAGCATGTAAGATGTTATTCATCCCCCAGCATGTGCTTCTTGGTGACATCAGCATTGATGCACATTCTCAGGTGCCTCTCAGGTGTTTGCTCAGGTGTTTCTCACCTGTTGGAACACTGGCGTGTCGTAGTACTGTTTGCGCATGAGTTCCCAGTATGTGCCAGGGTTCTTGTCACAGTTGAGGACAGTTGGAGTGAAACACGTGCTCCACCCTGGCGAACCTGGTACCTTCTTTATAATCACACTCTCGATGGAATTCCTGAAATTGAGAAGGAACAGACAAACACATCAGAACATGGAAATGCTTTCCCAGGAGCCCAAACCTTCTTTACAGTCACATCCCAAAAATAAATCATATGAAATAAATCATAACTAGTAAGATGGATGGATGGATGGATGGATGGATGGATGGATGGATGGATGGATGGATGGATGGATGGATGGATGGATGGATGGATGGATGGATGGATGGATGGATGGATGGATGGATGGATGGATGGATGGATGGATGGATGGATGGATGGATGGATGGGTGCACGTACCACTTTCCGTTGTTGACCTTGATCCCATCGTATGTGCCAACGCATGCACCCCCCTTGATAGTCACACCCGACGTGACAAAATCGAGGTAGTAGCAGTGGTCTCCGTTAAAGATGTAATTGCATTCCGCTGTGTTGTCTGAGGAGGGTGTAGGTGGTCAGGGAGGGAGGATAGCTAGGGGACTAATAACGAAGAGCCTCATACATCAAGGTTGTAGCAGCGGTATCCGTTGAAAATGTAAATACACTCAGCCGTATTGTCTGCAGGGTGGATAGAACGGCGATTGGAATGTGAGGGCCTCAGATTTCCAGGTAAAAGCAGTGATATCCCTTGAACCCATACATGCAATCTGCCGTGTTGCCTGCAGTGTGGTTGGGAGGGCGGTAGGCTACAGAGTAAAAACTCCTCCAAACCAAACCTCGTCCGAACCAAAACTCGTCCAAACCAAAGCTCACCTGGGCTGAACCAGTGCACGCAGTAGTAGATCCCAGCGGCGTCCTGGTCGCCGGATCTGTTTCGCCCAGCAGCGACGACGTGGTTACGGTCGATCTGCGTGAGCATGCAATCCGCGGCGAAATGCACGTCTGATCCGCAGCGAATTCCCGCGAAGAGGAAATCGTGCACGTAGTTGTTTCGCACGATTGCGCCGATGGTTCCGCGGTGGATAACGATTGGGGTGTGGACGCCTGCGAAGTGGGGAGAAGGTGGGGGTGGGGGAAGGGGAAACTCGGGAAGAAGTTGCAGCGGATTCCTGCGAATGGGAAGGCGCGCAGGAAGCTGTTCCGCACGAGCGCGCCGATGGTGACGTGGTGGATAACAAGTGGCGTGCGAGAAATACGGTGATGTGTCCGTCCACTCACCGTAAACTTCGTTGTTCGTTATAGCGATGAAGGATTTGCCGAGCGAAGGCCCGTGCCCACTAAAGGTTACTTGAATCACGCCAGGCGACTGGTTGAAGATTGGTATCCCCGTTACCCTCATGGAGTCAATTCGCGACGACATGGTCCGGTGAAGATCGATTCTACCAAATACACTCCCCTTCGCGACTTGAATTCCGTAAGACCTGATAATAGAAATCGTTGGGCACTGTGCTTTGGCCGTAACTTCGGGTACCGTAGTGCAGGGTGGCGACGACGAGCGAACGCTGAGCTTGAAATCAATCTTCAATACAAGCACGTTGCTCGTGTTCCATATACGCAGTACTGGCTCATTCGCTCCAGTATGAGTGATCCCATACGGAACGGCGGTGGTGTTCACCGATCGGAAAATGGTGCACGAAAACTGGCTGTCGAACAGGATGCCCTTGCTTATAATGAGGTTCTTCTGCAGCTCCAGAATTACTGTTGTAACGGGGCTGAACTGTAATCGTTTGCTGAAATCAGCTGCTGTAGTTATGTTGATAATGGGAGCTGCTGCGTAGTCGGAGCAGGGGCCATCCAGAAAGGCGTCAGCTGAAGGAAAATGGGGATTGAACGTAGACATGATTTCGTTGGTTGAAGGATATGCTCGAAATACGAATGACAGATTTAGGGGGAATGTCGAGGAAATCGTGCTATGAAAGGTCAGTTGGGCTGTGGAGTAGTGAGTGAATAAACGGGAAATGAAGACCGATGAGTGCGTGACTAGGACGGAAAGGCACATGGCGAAAGGCGAAAGGTGCTTTTTCAAACAGAAGATTCAGGACTCACCCATTCGCCTGCGCCCCATCTGAATATCCTCGCGCGCCACGTGCGCCAGCCGTTTTCTCGAAGCGCTCACTCCTGCATCGACGGCGGGACGGTTCAAGGCAGCTCCCTCCGCTTGCGACTCCGCTTGAGACTCCGCCTGCTTCTGCGACTCCGCTTGCGACTCCCAGGTCTCGTTGCCCGCCGCAAACAGAGAAGCAGACGACAGCGACGGGACTGCCGCGTCGTGAGCCACGGAGGAGTCCAGGTCAGCAGCATCCTGACGTGGACGCGTCAATGACGGCCATTGGTCCAGGAAGCGCCAGAAGAGTCCGCGATACTTTGCCACGTCTGCGGAAGAGGAGGGCGGGGAAGAACGGAGGGGGGAGTGGGGTGGAACGGTGCGGAGATGGCGCGGAGGTGGCGGGCAGAAGGTGCGGTGAAGGAGAGGAGACGGAGGACAGGGGGGGCGAAGGCGTGGGGAATGCGGGGAAAAAAGGGGGACGGTGGGAAGCGATGAAGGTGGAGATGGAGAAGTGACGGGGAAGGCATAGGTGGGGGAGGGGGAGAAGCGACGAGAGCCGATGGTGGGAGGAAGTAGCAGGTTTGAATAAGGCCTGAACTACGACTTGACCGACAACAGCGGAGTGTGCCAGTCGGAAGTGCGGGCGAGAGGGCGAGAGGGAAAGCGAGAATGCTTGATACCAGCGGGTGCATGAGGGAACACACTCTGGTGTATGAAACCGCTATAGAAGAGTGGTTAAACGAATTAAAACCACACTGCGTGAGGCACATACCTGAGGGCGAGAAGGCGAGGGCGGGAGAGAGCGCGAGAGCGACGGAGAGGCAGACGAGTAGCGAGAGAGGAAGGCTACGCAGCTGCGCACGGCGTGTCGTCATGGCGAGCGAAATAAAGAAGGCGATTTCAATGGCCCAGTGAACAGTGAATATGTTCCCAAAACCAGTGCAGGCGTTTGGCTACTGCGGCGAGCAACGCATGCCGTAAAGGCCGGAGAAACGCAGCCTAGGCGGCGGGGTTCCACCTTCAGTGTCTATATGGTTCGTCTGCGGTAGAGGGACTTTCTGCTTCGCTTGATACCTGTGCGGACGGAATGGCTGACTGCGATGACCAGTTGGTACTTCAAAAAGTTATGAGTTTTCTTGAACAGGAACCTGAACAATCGAGGACGGACTAGGCTGTCTGAGAAGACGCGCTAGCGAGGTCAGTAAGGCACTTCTGACCGCACCTCAGGGCTTCACCGCCAGGATTGCCGCCGTGAGTGCAGGAAGAATTTTATTAGCATGCGGCTAAGGTTGTGAAATGGAGGTGGTGGAGTGAGTTAGGAAAAGAAGCCAACCGATACGGGCAGGATGCGTTTGATAAGCTGTGCTTGATTGGCTGATGTGCTGCTGTGGTGTTGTGCCAAAGAGCGGGCAGTGAACAAGCACACCTGCGATCTTGGGTGACTGCCTGGTTGGAGGAGAACGCGGTCAGGTTAGAAAAGGATAGTTAAGCGAAAATAAGGGCGCCGTAAGTTGCGCTTGTTCGCACTGGGGCAAGTCCTGAACCCTGATCCAAGAAAACAGCTGAAGAGGAACATGGTTGTTGCTGGCGCCTCGGAGCTACAGTACTTCAACACATCACTATGCACCCGCAAAGCTGACGGAAGTATTTGCCGAACGCATCGCATGATGACTGAGTCGCCATGACGATATTCGCCTCAGGAAACAAGCAGGGAAGAGTTATTGGGTGCGAATCATGCGAAATGTGCGAAGCAAACTTTCCACCAAACCACACCGTCATCGTTGACGGGGGTTCTTGCGGGGGAGGGAGGAGCAAGTCAGGTGGACCTTCAGGAGAATATGCGAGCACACGAGCCGCAGGTGCGCGGCTATCGCGGTCTGTTGGAGAGGAACAAAACTCCGTGGGCTCGATGGCGCATGATTGGTGTTCGTGGATTCCGCGCCAGAAGATGCGGCAGTACGCCATTATGAAGACGAATGCTTCGAGCGTAAGAACGACAATGAAACTATAAACTCACTGATACTATAACTTCACTATAAATTCACTGATACTATAAGTTCACTGATACTTTGTCATACTCACTATTATATAAGTACATACATGTTGCACCACGGTACAACCGCCAAAGGTTCACTCCAGAGAGTTGTCGATCAGATGGTTAGATCCCATAGAGAGCAACATATAGAATCCAGCTGGTCTCGGGATGTTGTAGTTCCAAAAGTAAGAGTTAAGCGATAACCTACGAGGACCAGAGTATCTCCTTGGGCAGCTCTTAAATCTCGGTCGAAACTTGTAGAGCAACGAGCCAGTCTTCAATCCAAAATCGTTGCGGCGAAGATTCCGGAAACCCGCCTTCTTCGGGTAAGGAATGGGAATCTGCGTGAGGTTGCTTAAAATGTCGACGTTATCGACAGCTAAGCAATTATCGTAACCCATTGACTCGGTGTTGTTGCTGATGGTAACCAGGTCGAGATTATTTTCTGTGGGCAGCCCGCTACAGTTGCCAGTGGTTGTAGCATTAAGGCTGGTGTCTGGGTTGCAATACATACCGCCGTTCACTTGGGTCTGGGTGCATATCTGCTGCAGATAGGGGTAAGCCTGTGGGATGAGGAGGGAACGAGGGATGGGTTTTCATGAGGATTAGAGAGGTCACATGTGTTTCACATCATGCCGCCATTCACTTCGGTGGAGACTGTAGATAACGGATTATAACGAGCTTACAGTGTTTATTGCAGCGGAATTGTAGTATTTGAGCCGCATTGCCTCCCAATAGGAGCCCGGCTTCTTGAGGCAATTAACGGTGGAGACTGTAGGGCAGGCGATGGACCCTGTGGTTCCAGGAACTTCACTCATTATCACATGCTTCACAACGTTCCTGTAACGAGGGGAGCAGAGGGGGCAAGAAAGGGCGCTAGGATTGCTAAACAATGCGTCGGCATCATCTGGAACACTGTGGGGCATGCAATGCACCTGTAGTTCCAGGCAGTTCCCTCGTTATCACATGCACTGTCAGAATGATATGAAGCACAGTCAGACAGGCGAAGGACCCTGCACTTCCTGGCACTTCGCCTCATTATCACACGCTAATCACATGCTCACATGCTAATCACATGCCTAAAACCTCGTGAATAAATGCACGTGGCCCCCAGTAAAAGATACCTATTGAAAAAGTATCTACTCAGGATAATTATGTATGTATGTCCCATTGTAGATCCTCATGCCTCGTCACCCATACATGCACGCGGTCACGTGGCCCCAAGCGCACACCAAGTGAGCAATTTTTGAGAATCCTCAAGCGCATATAGTTAACCACCCATACATGCACGTGGTCACGTGGCCCCAAGGACACACCAAGTGAGCGATTTTTGAGAGTTCTCCAAAATTGATCACCCATACGTGCATGTGGCCCCAAGCGCACACCAAGCTAACTTAATATTTTCGATTCGAAGCGGCTCGAATAGTTAACCATGAGCAGAAGATGCTTACATTTTGCTGTTGTTGATCCTCACGCCTTGTTTGGCGTACATGCACGCGCCCCCCCACACCAAAAGTACTGATGACTCTGAGGTGCCTCGATGACACAACGAATGAAATAGGAGCAAAGAACACTCACATCTTGCCGTTGTTGATCCTCACGCCCTGTTTTGCGTATATGCATGCACCCCCGTGCACCAAAACACCCGATGACTGGGCGTCCAGGTCATAGCACAGCGCACCGTTGACGACATAGTTGCACGATGCAACGTTGCCTGGGGGAATGGTGGGGGAAAGGGAGGGGAAGAGGTGTTGAGTGAAGAGGTCCTGTTGCTTGGTGTATATGCACGCACCCCCGTGCACCAAAACACCCAATGACTGGGACGTCCAGGTCATAGCAGAGCGCGCCGTTCACAACGTAGTTGCATGATGCAACGTTGCCTTGAGGGGTGGGGAGGGAGGGGAGGAGAAGAGGGGGTGAGGGAAGAGGTCCTGTTGTTTTACGCACATACATGCAACCCCGTGCACCAAAACACCCGTTGACTGGGCATCGCCCCATGCGTCCAGGGCATGGCCCCCCAAGGGGCCTACACCCCCCAAGGGGCCTGCACCCCCCAGGGGGCCTCCACCACATGGTTGGACACATTTACCAGGATAGTGGTGCAGTCTTCACAAGGATAGGATAGTGTGGTGCCACCTGTTTGTTCATACCTGGGTTGATCCAGTGGGTTGAGAAGACAATCCCCATGGCCTTCCCCGCGCCAGGCATAGCCCCCCAAGGAGCCTGCACCACATTGTTAGAGACATTCACGAGCATGCAGTCTCCTACGAATCTGCCACCACTCTCCCACAGGGTACTGTGACCAGTTTGTTCATACCTGGGTTGATCCAGTGGGTTGAAAATACAATCCCCATGGCTTTCCCCGCGCCAGCCATAGCCCCCCAGGGAGCTTGCACCACATTGTTAGACACGTTCACGAGCATGCAGTCTCCTACGAATCTCGGCCCGGCGCCACACATGATGCCCGCACCCGTGAACCCGTGCACGTAGTTACTCGCCACTGCCACCCCCACCGCCCCCCTGTGCAGGACTATGCCGACCCGCGCGTTGTACACCTCGTTATTCGTTATAAGCACGTTGGATTTGAGGAGCGACGGCCCGATGCCGGAAAGGGCGACGCGGATGTGGGCGGGGGAGGCGACGGACGGGAGGGATGGGGCTGTGATCTTGAGAGAGTCGACGCGAACGTTCATGCTCCTCACCACGTCTACCCTGCCATATACAGTGCCCTGCAAGAGAGAGAGAGGGAGAGCAGCGCAGGTCACAGGGGAGGCAAAGGAAGCAGGGAAGGGAGCAGAACAGGGAGAAGTTGGGTTAGCATGAGCAGCACAGGGAGGGGCCGATGGCGGAGAGGGCCACGCGGATGTGGGTGGGGGAGGCGACGGAGGGGAGGGATGGGGCTGGGATCTTGAGAGAGTCGACTCAGACGTTCATGCTCCTGACAACGTCTGCCCTGCCGTACACCGTGCCCTCCATGAAAGGGAGAGCAGGTCACAGAGGAGGCAAATGAAGGAGGGAGAGAGAGGGTGAGAGAGAAAGAGAGAGATGAGGGATGAAATAAGAGGGTGGGAGGGAGGGGGAGAGGGGGAGGGATTCTTACTGCTCCAACCTGCACGCTGTATGATGGGTGAATGGCAATCGCCGGGCACACAGACGTGTTGTCTCCGCCTTGAGGCCCCAAGAGAGAGACGGAGGGGGAGGCAGGGAGGGAAGAGAGAGGACGAGAAAAGAGAGATTCTCACCGCTCCAACTTGCACGCCGTATGATCGGTGAATGGCAATCGCCGGACACACAGACGTCTTATCCGCGCCTTGAAACCCCACACAGAGAGAGATGGAGGGGGGAAGAAGAGAGGGTGGGAGAGCGGGAAGGAGGGAAAGGAGGCAGCATTCTCACCGCTCCAACTTGCACGGCGTACGATCGGTGAATAGCAATCGCCGGACAAACCGACGTCTTATCCGCGCCTTGAAACCCAAAGAGAGAGACGAGAGGGTCAAACGAAGCGAGGGTTGGAGGGTGAGAGGAAGGGAAAGGAGGGGGAAAGGGAGGGAGGGAGCGAGAGAAGGGAAGCAGCAAGGGAGAGGGGGGAGGGGCATGCTCACCGCTCCCACTTGCACGCCATAAGATCGATGAATCGCAATCGCCGGACAGACCGACGTCTTGTCCGCGCCTTGAAACCCCACACACGCCGCTGACCCCGGCGCCACCCCGACCCTCCAATTCACATTCACCGCCACAATATTACTCGCATTCTCCACCTTAAAAGCCGGCATGTCGCTCCCGGGATACTCTATCGTATACCCCGGCCACACCCCCACCGTAGACATGAGCAGCGAGCACGAAAACCCCGCGCCGAAAACCAGTCCCGAGGAGAGAACCAGGTTGTTTTGCAGGTACATGACTACAGTGACGTTGGGGGGGATTTGTAACCGGAGGTTGAAATCGGCGGGAGTGGTGATGTTTAGAACGTAGACGGCTCGAAGGCTCGTGCAGCCTCCTTTAGGGCGTTTGGCAGTAGGCTGGCTGGAAGGAGAGGGATTCTGGGAGGAGGAGGGAGGTTGGGAGGAGGAGGAGGGGGGTTGGGAGGAGGAGGGAGGTGAGGTGTCGCCGGCACTGTTGCTGTTTTGGACGGATGTGACTGGCCACGTGAGAATGCCGGCCATGGGATTGGTTGTGGGCGGCAGGATGGTGAATGGGAACGGGACGGGGCCTTTGATTTTGGCCGGCAAGCGCTGTTTTGTAGCGACCCTGCTGCTTTGTCTGTTGTTTTGCCTACTGTTGATGTTGCTGTTGCTGCTGCTGCTGCTGCTGCTCCGGCTGCTGCTGCTGCTGCTGCTGCTGCTGCTGCTGCTGCTGCTGCTGCTGCTGCTGCTGCTGCGTTGTGGTTGCATGGGTGTGCGAGGATGACCCTTAAATCCCCCCCCTGCTACTGCTGCCCCAACCGCCTTCCATGCTGCTGCTCCATCCACCCTCCCTCCCTCTGCTTTCTCTGCTACAGTGCCACGTGGAATGAGTGCAAACGAGACGTCCTTAGCAGCAACAGCCATATAGTTTTGAGGCGCCTCAAACCTAGCCCCTCCCTCTGCTCCTTCCACCCTCCCTCCCTCTGCTCCCTCTGGTACACTGCCACGTGGAATGAGTGCAAACGAGACGTCCTTAGCAGCAAGAGCCGTATAATCACGGTCGTGTTTAGTCACTTCCCCGTCATCACTTCTCTCCGTTTTAAACACATCCTCTTTATAGTCACCCCCGCTCCTGTCTGTTGCGTCGGCCCCTGCCACGTCCCTTGCAGCCAGTGCTACCAACTCTGCATCCGTTGACTCGGTTGACTCGCTTGACTTAGTCGACTGGCTTGACCTCGTTGACTGGGTTGACTTGGTTGACCGTGGTTGAGGGGTCAACCCCGGGTGCCCAATAGCCCCTGCTACATCCCTTGCAGCCATTGCTACCAGCTCTTCATCTGTTGACTCGGTTGACTCGGTTGACCCGCTTGACCTCGTTGACTGGGTTGACCGTGGTTGGGGGGTCAACCCCGGGTGCCCAATAGCTCCCGCCACGTCCCTTGCAGTCAGCGCTGCCAATTCTGCATCCGTAAACGCCGGGCCAAATATCGGCGTAGATCCACCAGCAAGTCCGGAACTCCTTTCCCTCTTCTCGCTCTCTTCCCTCTTCTCGCTCTCTTCCCTCTTCTCGCTCTCTTCCCTCTTCTCGCTCTCTTCCCTCTTCTCGCCTTTCTCTAATCCGCACTCATTGCTCCAACCCATGCCATCCGCATCAGCAGCACTCCCCACATCAGAATCACTAGGTGCAGCATCAAACGCAGAGCCACCAGAACCATTTTCACTGCCACCAGAACCATTTTCACTGCCACCAGAACCATTTTCACTGCCACCATACCTGCTGCCCTGGTTACCTCCACCTCTGTCATCCAGAGGCCACACCAGGTTCGGACCCGCACCTAGGCTAGGCTCGGTGCGAGCCTCCGCAATGTCTCGCGCTGCCATAGCTGCCATGATAGCTCCTTCTCTTCTGTCACCGCTGGTGCTATCACTCCCATTACTATCCCTCTCGTTACTATCACCGCTGCTGCTGCCGCTGCTGCTATCACTCTCGCTACCATCACTACTGCTGCTGTCATCCCCATAGTCAAAACCCGAAGCTGCTTCAAACGCGGATGCTACTGTAGCCATGGGGCTACCCTCCTCCCTGCCTTCATCACTTAAGCCTTGACTGCTCACACCATAATGATCATCATAATCATCAGCACCAATAGAAGCTGCTTCAAACGCGGATGCTACAGTAGCTGTGGGGTTCTTTCCCCTGCCTTCATCGCTTAAGCCTTGACTGCTCACACCATAATCCGCATCATAATCATCAGCATCAGCAGCATCATCAGCACCAGCAGAAGCTGCTTTAAACGAGGATGCTACTGTCGCCATGGGGTTATCCTCCCTCCCATCATCCCCATCACCACCGTCCTCATCGATCGCTGCAGCGTTTTGCACCATGCCACTGCGCCCCCAGTCCCTCTTGAACCAGACCCTGTCTTCTCTATTGCCATCCCCACCGTTACTGGCACCATAATCAACATTAGTCGCAGCACCATGTAGCACCATACCGCTGTTTCCCCACTCCCTCGTAAACCAGTCCCTGTCTTCCCCTCCCTCGCTGCTGCTACCACCACCGTTATTCGCACTATCATCCACAGCAGCAGCAACGGCCACACTGCCATCGCCATCGCCATCAGCATCAGCATCAGCATCAGCATCAGCATCACCATCGGCATCAGGATCCCTATCACCACCATCACCATCGGTCGCAGCACCATCTAGCACCATACCGTTGTTTCCCCAGTCCCTCGTAAACCAATCCCTGTCTTCCCTATCCCCGCTGCCAACCCCACCGTTAGCAGCACCACCGCTAGTCACAGCAGCAGCAGCGGCAACAGCATCACTATTACCGTCACCACCTGGACTCAAGCCACTGGGTTGCCGCGAGTTAACACCCATGCGCGAGTCGCTGGGCCGGTCACTCACGTCTGTGCCGCCACTGCCGTCACCACCTGCGCGCGAGTCACCATCTGCGCGCGAGTCACCACCTTGCCGCGAGTCACTGGGTTGGTCACTCGCGTTTGTACCGCCATGCCACCGCACCAGCAGCCCGCCCGCAAGGTCCCCTTTGAACCGCCGCTGCTCCCCCCTCCGCCTCCCGCCTGCCTTTCCCCCTCCCCCTCCTTCTCCGCCGCCTCCCCCTCGCGTTACCCCATTCTCTCCCCCTCTCCTTTCCCCTCCCCCTCCCCCTCCCCCTTTCCCCCCACTCTCCCCGCGCCGCTCACCCAAGGACTCTAAACTAAACTCTCCCGCCACTTCCGTCTTCCTTCCATCGCCCGCCGCTGCCCCGTCCCCGTCCCCGCCCCCCTTCTCTTCCCCTTCCTCTTCCCCTTGCGACAAAGTCTCCGCATCATCATCATCCTGATTCCATGGCGGCACGGTCTCGTAGTCTAAGCGCGACTCGAGGCTCCATACTTCTTTATGCTGTGTATCGTCTTTACTATGTGCGCCTCTGTTTCCCGTGTCGGCTTCCTTGCTACTTCTCGCCTCTTTCAATTCCGACGCTTGCCACGTGTCGGATAACCAGCGTCCGTGTGGCCGGGAGGTAGGGAAAAAGTTGTTGCGGTTGCCACGTGTCAGGTGGCCACCAATAGCAGCTCCGGACGGGGACGCGAGCCGACAGTAACACAGGCAGAAAAACGCGACAGCTAATAACAATGAGACACGCCGACGACGCATCGCGCGCATGGTTCCTACAATACTGGTGAAAGATTGAACAGAAACGGGTACCGAGTCAGCTCGTCTCGATGTAACAACCCTCAGGTCAGCAAGGAAATATAAAAAGAGACAAGATTATTATAGTATGTGAAGCCCCTTCCGCAATATCGGCTTCAATGTTCATTGCCAAGTCCGTAACATATCGACCCGCGAGAGCCATTCTCGATCAGACGATGCGGTGGCTGAACATCCGAGACACGTCTCATCCGGAGACGATAAGACTAGCATGAAGTACCGGAAACTGGCGAAACTATTTCCTGTGGCTTATAGGGAACAAAACCAAAGTGAACGATCGTTAGAAACTAAATTGTTGAGCAGAAGTTCATCTGCCAAAGTAAGGCAGCAGGCTAAGCACGAAACGTAAGAGCACGAGCCTTGACGGGACGAACTACTTGCGAAAGACTGACTCAAGCTTTTGGAAGGAACGCTGGATGATAGGAACACCCGCGCGCTCTATCTGGTTGGTAGAGACTACTAACTAGTAGCACATAATGGCGCGAAGATAACACAAGCGAAAGTGAACGATAGCAATCGACACATTGCAAGGGCTTTCGCATACACAGGTAAAAAATATTAGCAGAATGGAGCTCTCACGGGTGGTTTGGCACGGTGAAAATAACTATCAGAAGCAGGAGACGCTATTTAGAGTGGTTGAGCATGGTAATGCGAACTTTCCGAAATTCTTCCGTGTTGAGTACAGCACCAGCTGAGGATCGAAAGTCCAACCACCGCGCCGAGCCGCGACCCCTGCCCGCTTCGGCGGCTCACCGAACGCAGATTGCAGCTCCCTCGTTGGCTGGGGAGGGCGCTGAACTTACGTGGCGTGCAGGCAGTGGCGGTGCGGAAGCTGAATGCGGGTTTGGTACGGTTCGGTGGGGTCTTGGCCGCGTGAGCGGCGCTTCATCAACGACCACGTCCAAGGAAATACCCTCTTCTGGAAGCTTCGATTACAGGAAGCCCTCCGAAGACCGGACAACTATAATATAGAATCGGACTAGATTAGCGCGTTCACAAAGAAGGCATTTCACATCACAGCCCATGGCCATATCTACCGTATGTCAAAACCTGTGTTGGAAGCAGAAACCCACCCTGGAAGGATTCTTCTTTTGGGGGAGACAAGGGATTCAGCGCAATTCTCAACACAATCCTGAAGCATCAATGCTACATGTACCCTGAAATGTCTCTATCCATAAACAACATATTGCTGTAAGCATTAACCCTCTTAGTAAAAGAAATCTGATTCTCCAGCCCCAACACCCAAACTCTATACTGAAATCAGCCAAATCAGGATAAAAATGCCTGATAAAATAGGGCCTGCACACACCACCACATCACACCCGATTATTATATGCCACAAAGCATTGACCATGCACCTAGCTCCCTACAAGAAAGGGCTTACCCAGCCATGAATACTCCCCATCATCACCAGCCGCTTTCATCTGAGCTCTAACCGCCGAAGTAATCAAATCCTGGTCTATAATATGCTTCGTGTCCATCCTAACAACCTTCCGGAAACCCCATGGCATGGGAATGTTAAAGCCCCTATAAAACGACTTCTCCGAAAACTTTCTCGGTCCGGTGAGCCCCAGCTGGCAGCTCAAATAATTCGGGCGGTACTTCAGAATCACCGACGATTTTTTCAGCCCCAAGTCGTTCCGCCTGTAATTCCTGAACCCCGCAGCATAAGGGTGATCCAGCGTTATGTTGATCTGCGTATTTAATTGCTCCGTAATGGTGTAGTTATCGCAGAATTTCCAATCAAGGCCGTAATCGGTGGTGTTGACCGCGACAACATCGATGAGATTGTCGGTTCCCAGGCCGCTGCATGCTCCGGTGACGTCAGCACCGGGCTGACCTGGCGGGTTACATGGCACACCGCCATTGGCTGATGTCTCCTTGCACACGTCCTGCATCCAAGGCCATAGCTGGATGTGATAATAACGGGGGGAGAGAAAAAGAGGGAAAGGAGATGGGGGAGAAATGGAAGAGAATGATGGGAGGGAGGAGAGGAGGAAGAAGGGAAGGGAAGGGACACATCAGCTTCCATGGCACACACATGATCCTGAGGGAGGGAAAAAGGGGTGAGCAATTGTGATGACCTGTAAGTGCGATCAAATGTGAATCTACACTTGCTCGCAGTGTCACGCCCACTCCCCCTTGTGAATCCTATCTGTGTCGTGGTGCTTCTCTCTCACTGCATCCCAGTGGTTGCCTGCTGCACGCATTTGCCTCTACCATTGCTGTGCCACTGCCGAGCCCCTGCTGCTCTGCTCTCACTCACCCGGTTGATCCTATCGCTGTTGTAGTATTTCACTCGCATGGCCTCCCAGTAGTTCCCGTGAGGCATGACGTCCATCCTCACTGATGGGGGGCAGATTACACATGCACCCATAACCCCATATCGTCCCGTCTCTCTCACGCAATTACCCGGTTAATGCGGTCGCTGTTGTATTACTTAACGCGCATCGCCTCCCAGTAGTTCCCAGGGTCCTTGAGGCAGTTGTTGAGCGTCACCGTGAGGCACGACGTCCATTCTCACTAACGGGGGCAGCACACACATGCTCCTGTGATCTCATCTCATCCCATCTCTCTCTCGCTCACTCACCCGGTTGATCCTGTCGCTGTTGTAGTATTTAACGCGCATCGCCTCCCAGTAGCTCCCGGGGTCCTTGAGGCAGTTGTTGATGGTCACTGTGAGGCACGACGTCCATCCCAGCGACCCCTGCGTGCCCTTCATTGCCACGTGCCTTATTATGTTCCTGCAAAGGGGAGGAGAAGGATGGGAGTGCAATACGGTGCACAGCGGTGGAAAAAGGGGGGGCAAGGTGTCTTTCAAGCAGTTGTTGATGGTCACTGTGAGGCACGACGTCCATCCCAGCGACCCCTGCGTTCCCTTCATCGCCACGTGCCTTATCACGCTCCTGCAAGGGGTGAGAAGGATGGGAGTGCAGTACGGAGCAGAGCGGTGGAAAGAGGGGGGGCGGAAGGGGTCCTTGAGGCAGTAGTTGAGCGTCACTGTGAGGCACGAGGTCCATCCCAGCGACCCCTGCGTGCCCTTCATTGCAATGTGCTTTATCACGTTCCTGCAAGGGGAGGAGGGGATAACAGTACAGTGCAGAGCGGTGGAGGGGAGTCAATTAAGCAGTTGTTGACGGTCAGGTCACTGTGAGGCAAGACGTCCATCCCATTGATCCCTGCACGGGAGGGTACGGTGCAGTGCGGTGGGAAATGGAGCGGTCAGAGTTGTCCTTTCAAGCAGTTGTTTGTTGAGCGTCACTGTGAGGCACAACGTCCATCCAAGCGACCCCCGCGTGCCCTTCATTGCAATGTGCTTTATCACGTTCCTGCAGTTAACACGAGGGAGGAAGGGGTGGAGGCAAAGGGAAGGACAACCTGAGGGACAACGACAGTTGTTAGGCAAAAAGGGCTGCTGATAGGGTTTCCCGTTCAGGTTCCTCCCAAAGGAAAGCACAAGGTTGAACAAGTTCCCAAGGTTGGAGTTCCCAAGGTTGGAGGAGTTCCCTAGGTGCCTCACCTCTTGCCGTTGTTGACCTTCATCCCATCGTATGTGTTGATACAAGCTCCTCCCCTTACAAGCACGCCCGACGTGCAATAATCCAGATAGTAACAGTGATCGCCATTGAAGATATAATTGCAGAGCGCGGAGTTCCCAGGGTTGAACCAGTGCGTGCAGTAGTAGATCCCCGCCGAGTCATGGTCCCCGTTCAGGTTCCTCCCAGAGGAGATCACGAGGTTCGAGTTGATGCGAGTGAGCATGCAGTCACCGCTGTAATGCACGTCTGCACCGCATCGAATCCCCGCAAAAATGTAATTGTGGATGTAGTTGTTGGTGACCGTAACACCGACCGCTCCCCTGTGCAGGACGATGGGGGTGTTCACGCCTGCAGGGGCGGCGAACGCGGGGAGTGGGGATGAAAGCGGGTGCGGGGAGAGGAGAGGAGATCACAAGGTTGGTTGGAGTTGATGTGAGTGAGCATGAAGTCACCGCTGTAGTGCACGTCTGCATTGCACCAAATCCCCGCGAAAATGTAGTTGTGGATGTACCCTTGTTGACTCTCGTCGACTTTCCTTGACTCTAACATACACCTCGTTGTTGGAGATCACGATGTTGGCTTGCAGCAGTGCTCGTCCTTGACTTTCGTTGACTCCTGTTGACCACGGGTGGTAATAGCACCACTCACCATACACTTCATTGTTAGAGATGATGATGTTGGCTTGCAGCAGTGAGGGCCCGAACCCACACATGGCCACTCGGATCACCCCAGGTGACTTGTCAAACGAGGCCACACCCATGACCTTGGCTCTGGTTGAATTTTATTGACTTCTGTTGACCCTACTCACCATACACTTCGTTGTTAGAGATCACGCTGTTGGCTTGGAGGAGTGAGGGCCCGGACATGGCCACTCGGATCACTCCAGGCGACTTGTGCTTGACTCTCTTCTTGACATGTCACGATATGCCCACCATCGTTTCAGTCACCAAAACACTCACCATACACTTCATTGTTAGAGATGATAATGTTGGCTTGCAGCAGCGCAGGCCCGTACCCACACATGGCCACTCGGATCACCCCAGGCGACTTGTCAAAGGAAGCCACTCCAGTGACCGTGAGTGAGTCCAGGCGCACGCCCATGCTCCTAAAGACGTCCACCCGCCCAAAGATGTTGCCCTGTGGGTGTAAGGGGAGAGGAATTGGAGAGGAGAGAGGAGGGACGAGGGTTGAGAGAGAGTGAAGCCACTCCAGTGACCGTGAGTGAGTCCAGGCGCACGCCCATGCTCCTAAAGACGTCCACCCGCCCAAAGATGTTGCCCTGTGGGTGTAAGGGGAGAGGAATTGGAGAGGAGAGAGGAGGGACGAGGGTTGAGAGAGAGTGAAGCCACTCCAGTGACCGTGAGTGAGTCCAGGCGCACACCCATGCTCCTAAACACGTCCACTCGCCCAAAGATGTTTCCCTGTTGGATGGAATGGCAAGCAGGGGATAGGGAGGAGAGAGTAGAGGCACGTTGAACAAGGGGTAGCTGAAAGACATGTAAGACGAGACAGAGTGAAGCCACTTCGGTGACCGTGAGTGGGCCCAGAGGCAACCCCGTACTCCTAACTACATTTTTGAGTCGACTAAAAAATCGACTATCCAGACGCATGCCCGTACTCTTAAATACGTCCACTCAGCCAAAGATGTTGCCCTGTTGGTGAGTGGGGAAAGGAAAGCACATATGAAGGACATTGGAAGAGAGGGTGTCAAAAGAAACAAGGGAGAGCAAAAAGCACGCCATATCAGCAAAACGAAAAAGGGGTTGATAACTCACCTTGCCAACCTGCACATCTGTACGACTGGTGGATGGAGATTCTGGGGCAGGTCACTCCCTTCCCCAGCTCAGGCACAGTGGTGCACTCGGGACCCCTATTTGTCAGCGGCAGGTAATAACTCACGTTCAGAGACAGGAAGTGTGATTAGAGACCACACCATACACCAGCGAGAATGACTCACCTTGCCAATCTGCACGCCGTATGATCGGTGAATGGAGATTGTCGGGCAGGTCACGCCCTTCCCCAGCTCAGGCACAGTGGTGCACTCCGGACTGCTCTCCGTCACCGGCAGGTAGTAATTCACATTCATTAACATTTAACTTACCCTACACGAGGGTGAACAACTCACCTTGCCAATCTGAACGCCGTACGAGCGATGAATGGAGATTGTGGGGCACGTGACTCCCTTCCCCAGCTCGGGCACAGTGGTGCATTCCGGACTGCTCTCCGTCACCGGCAGGTAATAATTCACGTTCATCGACAGGAAGTTATTCGTGTTCCACACGCGCAGCACCGGATACGTAGGGTCACCACCCGTGAGCGTGTAACCAGGCCATTTCGAAGACATGAGTATCGTGCACGACTGCTGCCGCCGAAAAAACAACCCCTTCGGCAGGGTCAAATCATTCCGTAAATACAGAATAACGGTGGAGGTGGGCGGGAGGGAGGCGCGGGCGGCGAAATCAGCAGCAGAGGTCACGTTGATTATGTAGACTTTCTTGAGAGACGAGCAGGCACCTTGAGGGCGGGACTTAGATGGCTGGTATCCTGCGGCTGTAGCGGCGCGTTGCAGGGAGACCGGACCGATGATCACTGTTTGTCTCCTCCTGGTTTGCCGCCCAGTTGCTCCGGCTGTAGCAGCGGTAGCTGTAGCAGCAGTTGTGGCAGCAGGTGTAGCAGCAGCAGAAGCAGAAGCAGCAGCAAAAGAAGCCCTTTTGAGAGGGAAGTCGAGGAGAAAAGGTTCGCCTGAAGCAGCAGCGGCAGCTACAGCGGTGAAGAGCGGTGGGGGGTGGCTGTCCCGCTCTTGCTGCTGCTGCCGCACCGACTCAACCCGACGCAGCATGTCTTGTTCGCCGTGACTGTATCCGACGTCGGGATTGTACTGGATGTGACTGTATTGGGACGAAGCTTGGCTGAAAGCTTGGTTGTGAGGGCTGGTGGTGTAATAATGATGATGGTGATGACCCACGCCTGCTGTGTGATGCCCCACGGATGCCGGGTGATGCCCTGTGACTGTAACGGGGGGAGGAGATGAGGGGGAAGGAGGGGGAAAGAGTGGTTGTGCGGGCTGGTGGTGTGATAATGATGATGGTGACCCACGCCCGCTGCGTGATGGCCCACGGATTCGGGGTGGTGCCCTGTGACTGTAACGGGGGGGAGAATGAGGGGGGGGGAGAATGAGGGCGGGGGAGAATGAGGGCGGGGGGGAAATGAGAGGGAGGGGAATGAGGAGGGGGGAAAAGGAGAGGGAGGAGAATGCGAGGGAGGAAGGGGGGAGTGTGGGTGGGTGGAGTGGGCAAGGAAGGGAGGGAGGGTGTCTGGAAACCGATAAGAGCCAGTCGCAGCTGTTGCCAGCAGAAGTCGCACTCTTTCTTTTCTTTAGATGTCCTTTCATTCTGCTATATAGTATTTAGGTTGCACATATATTTTAAGCTTGTTCGGACCTTCCTTTTGAGCTGTACCGAGCCATGCCTTGAAATGAGTACCGAGCCGAGCCTTTATAGGTAGTACCTCGTAATGCCGTGAAACGCGAACCTGACCATGTTTTATAGCGCGTACCGCATCATGCCTTGAATCGCGAAACTGACCATGCTTTACAGCGCGTACTTCGCCATGCCTTGAAACGCGAACTCGATCATGCTTACAACGCGTACGTACCTGACCATGCCATTACAGCGGTGCATGACGACAGGCCGGATATCACGGCGATGATCGCGCAGATCGTCAAGGCATTAAAATCCCTCATCCTCTTGCAGGCCGCCGCGCGACCGACTGTTCCTCTTCCAGGCATCCGCGGGAATCCCGCAAAGTGACTCCCGGAATGACTAACGAATAATCCCACGAATCTTACTGGTGGCGCTCGCACCATTGATATCAGACGTCTTACAGAGGAAATATGTTATCTTTCAGTAGCACGCACCTCCAGAAACCCTAATGGCTTGAACTGGCGGAAAGTTCGCCGGACGCGACTGACGCATGGCGTAACGGACAGACTTCGTAACACTACGGCAATAAAGTTCCGAAATGTTGCCTGACTGACAGATTCACATCGACCTTATGTACGACACGAGGACGGCGGGACTCATCACAATACCTGCTGTGCTGCTGTTACAAGTAGTTGGTCACTGCACTAGAAATTGCTGTTGCTGTGCTATTTCGGTGCTGGCTGATCCTGGCTCGAAACGTGGCTGTGGTGGTGGGTGATGGAGCTACACGCCTCCCGCTTTTGGTGGTGGTGGGTGGGTGTGACGGCTGGGCTGGGCAGCTTTGGTTGGCGGTGGGAACAAGAATGCTCGCAACAGCCCTTCGCGATAGCAAGCAGGGAAGAAACCCATTTCGCACAGATTTCGCGAACGCGATGTAGGAAGGCATGACTGAGGAAGTAGCTGATGAAGGCGGAGGGGGAAGGTACATTGAATTGGAGCCGCGATCTGAATCATCAGCGGCGTCGCGTCGCGGTTACCGGGTGATCCACGCCGTCGGAGTTGAGATGTGCGCTTTGGCGTGGTTCAACGGCGAATGTACGTGAGCCGTGCGCAGTCGGCGAGCAGCGGCAGGAATCGCACATGCTGAAATATTTTCTGACCAAGTGCAGAACCTGAACCCCTTTGACTTGACCCACTTCACCGACGTGGCAGGCACAAACATACTTTTCTTTCCGAACCGACGCAAATGAAGGGGCCTGGGCTGGGGTTTTGGAAGGGAAGCGAGGACACGTCTCTCTTTCAGAAACTATCTGCTTTGGGAACAAGATTGACCCCTGCACTAGGAGAAAAGTCGTACATTCAGAATATTTCTTTAGCATGTCAGAAATAGCATAATATAAATAAAGGTAATATCTAAAAAACAAAACCAGGTATTCCGTATATTGCATTGCCTTCCTACAACCTACTTCAAATTGCTACACCACATCACAACAATTGGCTCCTCAGCCAGGAATATTCAGAAGAGGCCAGCATCTGCGCTTGCACTTTCTTGGGGATAAGGTCACGGTCAATAATGTGGTTGGTATCCATGGCCACCACCTTCTGAAATCCCGCTGGCATCGGAACATTGTAATTCCAGTAGTACGAATTGGTCGAAAATTTCCGGGGGCCCGTCGCTCCCTTCGGGCAGCTCAGATAATTCGGCCGCCTATTGAAAATCGGAGAGCCCTTCTGAAGCCCAAGGTTGTTGCGCTTGTAGTTCAGGAACTTCGCAGCAAAAGGACGCACCGGGATATTATGCTCCTTATTGAGTCGCGGCACAGCGGGGTACTTCTCGCAGTACTTATAATCCGGGGCCCTCCCAGAAGTGTTCACTGTGATCAGGTCAATTAGGTTATCCGTGCCATAACCGCTGCAGGCCCCCGTGACACTAGCAGGCGGTTCTCCAGGTGGGTTACACAGCACTCCATTAAAAGCAGAAGTTTCCTTGCAGACGTTTTGCATCCAGGGCCACCTCTGGGAGAAGGAAAAGGGGGGAGCCAGTTTAGGCGAATGAATGAAAGTTTGGGGGAATATAGGAAAGTTAGGGGGCCAGCAGTTAAGAGAGGAAAAGAGTGGGAGAGGTGTCCTCTGGGGAGAACAGTGTCGGATAGTGTAAGGGGAGGGAAAAGGCAGGAAAGATTGACTGCAAGGGATTTTTTTATTGCCTATGCACTCGATTTGTATCATTTGGCTCACTTGTGCCTCCCTAAAGCTGAGCGTGATGGTAAAGAATTTGCTTGCTGGCCGTGACTGTACGCATCGTGCTTGCTGGACTGTATAGAATGTGCTGATTTTAATCGGTTGAACTCACCACATTGATCGCAGGTGTGTTGTAGTGTTTGGCGCGCATGGCCTCCCAGTAGCTACCAGGGTCCTTGAGGCAGTCGCTGGGATCACGACTGTAAAGTGCGTGCTGACTGTGACTGGAACAAATGTGCTTGTAAACTCACCGCATTGATCGCAGGTGTGTTGTAATATTTGGCGCGCATGGCCTCCCAGTAGCTCCCAGGGTCCTTGAGGCAGTTGTTGAGTGTGACTGTAAAGCATGTGGTCCAACCAGGCGATCCCTGCGTGCCCTTCATTGCAACGTGCTTGATCACGTTTCTGTAACGAGTGGGGAAGTAGAGGGGGGAAGTAAAATACGATAGCGAACTTAGGAGATTGGCTGAAACGAATTTACTGAAGTGTTGCGCGCATAAAGCAGATTCGTGTGGTCAATGCATGCTATACAGTTCTCCCATTTTGAGCAACGCTGTGAGGGGACGAATGAGAACAGGCATGAGAGTATGTTCTATCATGTGACCAAGTGACAAGTACGCAAAAACATAGAACTGAACAAGTTTTAAGCATGAACGTAAGCAGCATAATGTCCTTATGCAGAGTACTGTAAGGGTGGATCGTGATAAGCTCCACAATACTAAGCTCATCTCACCTCTTGCCGTTATTCACTTTCATGCCGTCGTACGTGTTGATGCAAGCGCCGCCCCTTACAAGCACGCCAGATGTGCAATAGTCCAGATAATAGCAGTGATCTCCGTTAAATACATAGTTGCAAAACGCTCTGTTACCTGCATATCAATCCGTGCACACAAGGACAGGGGAAAGGGTGAGTGGGAGTGTGGTGCGCGTTTGCACCAGCTTATGTAACTGCAAAAGTTTCTGTGGCAGTGCACACCTGCATGGTCCTTCCCTTCCCACACCTTCCCATGTCTACTGCGGTCAACAAAACCACACACCCGAAATACCATTAACTCTATTCGCCCAGCCCATTCACCCCTCTCTTCCCCCACTTCCACCTGCTCTTAACATGAGTACCCCGGTCTGCCCCAAAACGGCGAACCACGAACTCTAATTTGTCGTGTCCAGTATTTGAGTTGAGCAATATTGAGTCTTAAATATCGAAAGTTTTTAGTCTTACCAGGGTTGAACCAGTGCGTGCAGTAATAGATCCCCGCCGCGTCGTGGTCCCCGTTTGTGTTCCGCCCCGAAGCCACCACGCGGTTCCAGTTGATCCGCGTCAGCATGCAGTCGCCGCTGTAATGCACGTCCGCGCCGCACCGAATGCCCGCGAAAATGAAATTGTGCACGAAGTTGTTGTTAACGGTTATGCCGACCGCGCCCCTGTGCAACACGATCGGGGTGTCCACGCCTGTGCGCGAAGGAGGGGAAGCCGTGGGGGGGGGAGAGGGGAAGGGGGGGTGCGGAGAGGGGGAGGTGATCAAGCACAAGATAATCCCCTGGGGTTGGGAAACGAGTTTCTCAGGTCAGATCTCGCTACTTGAAACGTATGATTAGCAAGAAGAACCGATTAAGGGCACCATCACGACCCGAACTTCCAACCCGACGACCCGGAAATGATCAAGTCAGAACTCGATTCAATTAAACAGCAAGAAGAAACGTCAATCCTCTCGTTTTCTAAAGACCTCGTTGCTCGAGAGGACGATTTGGGCGCGCAGGAGGTCAGGGCCGTAGCCTGACATCGCAACGCGAATGGCGCCCGGCGTCGATTTTCCTACTTGCGTCAATATTTTAGCATGAATCAACGAGACTCACCGTAGACCTCGTTGCTCGAGATGACGATCCCAGCGCGCAGGAGGTCAGGGCCGTAGCCCGACATTGCAACGCGGATGGCGCCGGGCGACTTGCTGAAGACAGGCACTCCCGTGACCTTGAGCGAGTCTATGCGCACGACCATGCTCCTCAGCACGTCCACTCGTCCGTAGACCGTGCCCTGATAAACAAAGGGAAGGGGAGGAGATAAGCCTTCTAGAAAGGAGCGGGATATGGGATGGGTGCGGGGGGATAGGCGTACGGGAGGGACTTGGTATGTGGGGGGGAAACGGTGGGGAGCGAGGAAAGCAGTAAGTGCCCACCATGCGAACTGCACTCCATAACTACCAATCAGGCTTATCAGAATTATACTCACCATGCCGATCTGCACTCCATATGACTTGTACACCGACACAGCCGGACACGTCTCGCCTGAACCTAGCTCCGGCACGTTCGTGCATTCCGGGCTGCCCTCCGTCACGGGCAGTTTGTAGTTAACGTTCATCGACACGAAATTGTTCGCGTTCCACACGCGAATCACCGGGTTCGCCAGGTCCGTACTCGATATAGTAAACCCCGGCCACTTCTCGCTCATCAGAATCGAGCACGAGTACGGCGCGTTGAACAGAAGGCCCTTGGTCAGCGCCAGGTCGTTTTTCAGGTAGAGAACAACAGTGGAGGTGGGCGGGAGCATGGTTCGCGTGCTCAGGTGCGAAACCTTCGTCACGTTGATAATGTAGACTTTCTTAAGGCTTGAGCACGGCCCTGGAGGTCCCTTCGCCGCTGCCGGCCCCGCAGATGCCGCCGCATTGCCCGCTCCCGCGAGAAAAAGACTCTCGATATCTACTGGACCTATAATCACAGGCCTATCGTTTCCTCCGGTTGCTCCTCCGCCAGCCGCGGCGGCAATCGTGGCCATTCCTCCTGCTCCTGCTCCTCCTCCTTCGCTCGTTGCAGTACCCTCGGCAGACGCGACTTTTGGCGCTTCCGACGCAGGAATCTCCCAAGCAGCTGCGACAGCGGCGACGGCGTCAAAAAGAGGCGGCGGCTGGTTACCAGACTGGTGAAAGAGGAAGTGATTGTTATTGTAGCGAGGGTCGTCGGGTTGGAAGTTCGGGTCGTGATGGTGCCCCACGCCCGCTGCGTGATGGCCCATCGAGGCGGGATGACCTCCTGTGACAGTAACGAAGGAACAGAGGGAGGAGAGGAAGCCATGGGACTGCAGAGTTTAAGGTGCTGAAGGGTGATAATTCCTTGGGACTGTAACGGAAGAATAGCGGCGCGGAGGGAGTTATTGTAGCGTGGAGATTTCAACAAAATGTCATTGAGGGTGAGTAGACAAAAAAATCACTTTAAACCTAATAGGGAAGGGGAAGTGGGTTGAGCGAAATTGACAGCGGATAAGGAGGGGTTGATAGGGGAAGGCAGATTGCGATAGTAAGTAGGGGGAGTGTGATATAGAAAGAGGGAATAATAGTCGAGCCCATGCTGGCACGATATACAAGGAGCGAGGTCTATCGAACGTGCTGAGTAGTAGACTAACTGACCTGACCATGCTGACGCGACCGAGGCCGCGACGAGCAGGACACCTATCTGTAGCACAATGCCGCGCATTTTAAAACTTCGAGCTTGCTTGCAATCTAAACCAGGTGCTCTTAGAACCACTCGCTTATCAATGCTGGAATCATATGCTTCAAGGCAAGACCAGCTGGCCAGCCGTTCCACAAGGCAGGGCTGCGTGTCTCAAGAAACCATGTTTATATCTTGAACGTTTGATTGATGGGTGTGCAAGCTTGACTGAGAAGTCGGAGTGTGGTGAGGAAGCAGGCAGAGAGGAAGGGAAGGGCGAGAAAACGGGAACCTTTTTTGGGAACCTGTTCGTGCGCTGCCATTCTGCCAGCCCGCCAAGAATGTTTTCCCCAGACGTGGGGCAATTCCGCCTCCACGACATTGCTGGCAGTCGGTGGCGCGGTCCGTTCTGTTTTGCGGCGGTGCGATGCGATTGTCCGCGCCAGCTCTGGCCCGGAGGTTCGGTGAATAGCACACAACCGAACGTGCTGATTCTCGGGCAGTACAAAAGTTGAACATTTGACGACAAACTGTGCAAAATTGCAGGCCTTGACATGTTCTTGTATCGGCTCGGTTGTCGGCTGGTGGATGCTTTCGAAGCTCTACGGTGCGTCTCGGTGCCGCTGCCTGGTTCGGTTCGGGGAACACGTTGGCTCCATGCCTCTGTGCACTTATGGAACTACAATCGCGAATGGAAACCTACATCTCCTAGTTCTCATATAAAGCCAACTTCCTTATGGTGTACTGTCGTTACGGCGATCAACGACGTTCGCCAACACACCAAATAACACCGCGACGCCGTTACCTTACCAGTTCGTCCACCTGCCACCAACCACTCGATACCCTATCGTTTTCACCATTTATGAGCGCAGCTGCGAAGAGGGTTTTCGCGAGAGCATTTGTGATGGGGGGGCGCCGCAGTCCACAAGTAGCAGCGCGGAAAATAGCTTCGAAGGTAGTTACGGCTTGTTTGAACGAACTACGCTATTGTGTCGCGGAAGCGCCTCAGCCTGGCTACCTGCAAAACGTCGAGACGTTCATCATTCAGTAGTTCTACGAGTGTAGAGTTTTGTCACACTCTCTCCTTTCTCTTATTATCCGCTGGCTAGTCTCATCACTAGAGCATTGCGAATTGCGACACCAGCACCTGCTGTTTACCCTCGCCCTTATGACGGTTTTGGTATCCAGAGTTCCGTGCAAAATGGCCATTTTTCCCACGTTCGTCGCCACACCCCTCGCCATGTCGTTAGTAGTTGTTGTACTGACGCAGTTATTCCCCGTTAGGGTCGCTACCGGTTACACTCACACTCCTTTCCACCGCCACCATCGCGACGGCGGCCGAGTCGGCTTCAACCGAATAACGGAAGCCCGCGCCGCGGGTGACGTGGAGGACACGTGGGACGTCCTCGCCGGAACGCCGCTGCCGCCAGGAATCGGCCGACTCCACAGAGAAGGGAGAGCGGTTGCGGGGGAGGAGGAGGAAGATGAGGTGGAAGAGGAGTGGGGAACGGAGGAGGACGAGGAGGCGGAAAACGACGGGGGAGTGGAGGGAGGACAGGGGAGGGTTGTTTCTCAAGCCCTGGAAAAGAGTGATTTTGTGAGGGTGCAGAGTGAGGATAGTGGGAATGGGAGGGAGTGGGGCGGCTACAAACGCGTACACCGACAGGTTGGAAGGTGGCACGCCGTTAAGTCGTGGAACAGTGGCCTGATAACAGCTGGTAGTAGGGGGGCCGAGAATACTGTAGCTGGTCTTGCTTCGTTACACTCACAATCATTGCCAGCCGATGCAGCAGCCACAGCGGAAGTCACAGACACGGGAGCAGCTGGGGTCAAATATGCATCTGCGTCCACGTCAGCCTCGCTTCTTTCAGCGTCAGCGCCAGCTTCTTCCACGTCAGCACCAAATGTGACCCAGGGGCCATGCTCTCCGGTGGCGACAGCTGTCCGAATCGCAGTGACAAAGCCAGCGGATATTCAGGCGCGAGTGAATCACGACCCTACGCAAACGGTCGTGCTGACGCTGCAGAACAGCATGGTACTTGGCAAAGGGATTCTCTTTGATAAGCGTTTCTCCTGCACGATCTTCCAATCCGCGAAGTTCGGCGCTTACACAGTCTCATATCCAGGCGACAACCAGCCTGCAATTAGGGTCTACAACACCAGCAATGTGATTATAATGGGAATAAACTTCGTCGTCAAGACTACGAAGTTTTCGCCCACCTGCCCGGTTGAGCTGCCCGAAGTCGGAAAAGGCATAATCTGCCCGACCGTCTGGGTGTACGGATCGTACGGCGTGCAAATCGCGAAGGGATACGTGTACGGTCGGATCGACATGTACCGGTCTATGAAGTCGCGAATCGACAGCATGAAAGTCACAGGCGTGTGGGATTTCGCGAAAAGCAACGGCGTGCTGCGAGTTGGAATTAGCGGCATCGGAACGAAGCTAGTACGATCCGGAATCGCTGTGTCGAATAATGAGGTATTCGGGGCGGATACACCGCTAGTGGTGTACAACGGTGCAGTGGGGGTTAGAGTTGTGCAAAATTTCGTGCATGACTATGGGTTCGCGGGGATTCGGTGCGGTGCGGATGTGCGGAATCAAGGCGACTGCATGCTGGGGTTTATTGGATACAATTACGTGTACAGCAGACTGAGGAATATGACTGGCGCCGCGGATTCCGCAGGGATTTACTACTGCATCCATTGGTTCAATCCAGGTAAGCGGGATTAGTACGCCCGGCTTATTGCTACTTATGTCTGTTTCGCCCCCTATATGCAGCAAACGTGTCTCCTAGTTTTTGTCCTCTCTAAAGGCTTCCTCGGTTAAATTCCTGTTAGAACAGGTTGGGAGGTTAGCTTTGTGCACCAGCTGGGCAGGTAGCGCAATACAACAGGCTGTTCTGTTTTTACATTTTAGGTCCATTCTGCTCGCTGGTGGAGCTGAATAATCTAATGCCTACAATCTGATGTTTCTCTTTTGTTCTGTACAACACATATTGTTCTATTGCAGGTAACAGGGCTGAGTGTAACTATGTGAAGGGGGGTGACCACTGTTATTACCTGGATTACAACACATCAGGAGTGAAGGTGATAGGAGGAGTGTGTTACGACAACTGGGATGGGCTCAAAGTCAACAATGGAAAATTGTGAGTTCTTACCTGTAGCAATGGTGCGAGAGAGTAGTTCATGATTACAAGGTTGGCGGTGGTGCACTTAGTCTGCCGTTGCATGTCAGCACCATCATCTTCATCCCCACAGCACTTCCACCACCACCACCACCATCACCCCCCCTCCCCCTCTCCCTCATCCCCTTCCCAACAACTTATTCAGCTTAACACCACCTCTCCTCTCCCCTCTCCTCCTCCTCCCAGCAAATCCTGCAGCAACTATCTGAAACATGTCTTGGTGGTGAACGCACTCAAGGCCCCTAATTCGTGCACCTGCCTCACCCTGCTGAAGCTTACCATCATCTCGCCCGCTTCCCTCTCTCCCCCCTTCCAACCAACAACTCCCACAGCAACCGTCTGAGACATGTCTTGGTGGTGAACGCTCTTAAGGCCCCTGGTTGGTGCACCTGTCTCACCCCCACCGTCAACAACTGCAACAAGTTTCCCGGAAACTACTGGGAGAACATGAGGATCAAATACTACAACACACCTGTCTTCAACCAGGTATGGCACAATCTCAGTTACGCTCTGTGTTTGAACCCAGAGTCAACGGGAATACACTACATTTTATAGCTCCTTAACACTGTGTGTGGACTGAGTCAGCTGAACAAGGACACATGCTCTCATGGTTCTGCTCTTATATTCTGCACATTCACCCTGATGCAGCAACCTCCTGTCCCCCACATCCCCCCAACTCCCTCTCCCTCCCATGCACACATACACACACATATTCCCTTATCGATTTCTCCCTCACATCTTTCTCCTACTGCATGCAGCGCTGGCCCTGGTTCAAAACAGTCTGCAACCAGAGTCACATCAACGGAGTGTACTGTAACATGAAGGGAAATGTTCCCAACCCTTACCTTCCATGGGAGACGGGCAAGTGCAGCGGATTGGCTACTAACAACTACCTCGATATAATCATAGTCAACGGCAGCAACAAGCCTATGGAGTATCGTTACTGCGAGCGCTCACCCGCGATGCCGCTTCTTAACACACATCTATTTCTCAATTTCACATTACAAGCCCTGCCAAAGCTACACTTCAAGAGCTGGAGAAAAGGAGAGTTTGAAGTGTCTAAAAAGTCGGTCATTTACAAGCACCGGCCAAAGTTTCGTAACTGCCCGCAGTCCAGGTATGGGCCACAGAAGGTGGATAACAGTTTCTACTTCAAGAATTTCAACATTCCAAAGCCAGTGTGGATGGATGCGCTACTGGAGATGAGAACACTTCATATACACGATTCAGTAGGATGGCCTTGACTTGTGTGTACATTGAAATCTAAAACATTAGTAACCTTGTGCATGGAAAGGCAACACAAATACAAAAAAACCACAAGCTTACAGTGGGATTGAAGTATTGAAGGAAATGTAGTGTATGATCCAATCGATGTAAACTAACGGGATGTTAAATACAGTATCAGACAAGAAGGCACTTATTTGGGTTAGCAAAGCACAGAAACCTATGCATACGTGCCTCCGTTTATTCAGAATCAGCAAGTCAGATGCTGCAGGAGTACAGGAGCTCCCGGCTCGTTCCAACTTCTGTCGCATTGCTCCCTGATGACAGCCTCCCATTGCTTACTGCACTGCTAGTGCATTATTTATGGCTCTGATAGCCCTGTTCTGGTTTTCCGATACACAGTCAAGCAACGCGTTGCCGCTTGGGACCCTCATCTGCCACATCATCTGCTCCAATGCCTGCACCCACCCCCGCCTCTCCCCTCTTCTCCTCCTGCAGCTCCCAGCTTCGCTTCGAACCATCCTGACCAGCAACACCAGGGCCAGCGCTCTTTCCCTGCTTCCTTACAGGCTCAGCCTTGCCTGCTTCCCCCAGCAGCGCCATACAAAGAGCCTCCGCAATCAGCTCCTGATTCAAAATCGCCTGACGATTCGCACCAGTGCCTGCACGAGCACCAGCAGGAGCACCACTCGCAGCAGCAGAGGAAGCAGATACGCCACCAGGCCTAGTCCCAGCAGCAGCGGCAGTGGCAACAGACGATGTGGAGTTCTTGCCCTGGGGTGTTCCTTTGCCAGAAGCGGACAAAACAGCTGACGTCAGCGAAGCGATGGCGGAGAGGTCCCAGCCCTTGCTAAGGACGTCAGCGGCCAGAGCATCAGGAGTTGAAGGCGGTTGAGTCGCAGAACGGTTACCTCCACCGGCAGTAGAGGCAGCAGCAGCAGGAGGAGCAGCACCAAAAGCGGAAGCCGAAGAAGCAAAAGCGGTAAGAGCAGAAGCTAAAGCGGGACCGTCAGAAGATGCACCTGCTCCCGATCGCTGATGCACGGGTGCAAAAGCAGAGGCTGCTTCTGTGGCCGCATGTCCGTCGTTAGCGCCATCCCCGCCGCCAATTACGCTGAGAGGCGGAAGAGGCTTGGCTGGCGTAAATCCCGCAGCGCCATTATTGGTGAACCGCTGCACGGCAGATGAAGCGAGAGCCGTTTGACTGTCGCGCGAGTTGAAGTCAGTGGTTGACGGACGGCCGTCAATCGCGGTGACGGCACCGCTCCCTCCGTCAGTGCAATCGGTTGTGTTTCCAGAGCCGTTACAAGAACCGGGACGGACGGCATGTCTCGAAGTCGCCGTGACCTTCTTAAACGCTTTGGATGGAGAGAGCCTCAGAGAATTGGGAGAAGGAGGACCCATGGGGGATGATGCCATAGTAGCAGGAGGTGCTGCTGAAGCAGGGTTGATACGTTTCGGCTGAGGCTGATATATCTTCGGAGCATTCTGCTGCATGGTTGCTGTTTTTGTTGCTGCTGTGTCTGCTGTTCCTGTTGCTGAAGAAGAGCTTGACGCATGGCCAGCAGAAGCACCTCCAAAGCCTCGTTTGAAGCAGCAGCAGCAGTCACCGAAGAATCAGCAACCTTGCCTTTATTTTGCGCCCCAAGCGCGTTTCCCGTGCAAGCAACTGCCTTATTCGAAGCTTCTTGAACAGAAGCCGCTGGAATTGTAGGTTTTCCCATGTTTGTGTTGGTCCTCCTATTCACGCGGGGATGCTCTAGGAGAGGAGTAGGTGTTTCTGGAGGAGCGGACGGCAGAGCGCCATCGGCGTTGACGTCTTCTACGAGAATTGAGAAATGGAATCTGATGTGACCAAGAAGCTTGCCGTTTCGTTGGTGCACCGGCCAAACGGCGTCCATGGATTGACGAAGGTAGACCTGCTCCAGGTGCACCTTGCAAAATCCCATGTACTTGTCCTGGCCGTTCACCTTGTCCCAGATGTGAACGTCCATCTCCTGCAGAAGAGTAAGGTAGTGAATGGAGGGAAACGAGGATACAGACATTAGGGAACAAAGAAATAAGGTTATTGCATAACGAAACTAAAACAATTGCCCTGAGGAGGAAGGCAAACTGAATAATACAAATACGGTTTAGGTTTGGAAACTCACTGGAGGGTAATCTTGCTCGCGGTCAGGGAGAAGGAAATTAAATCGGTGATTCCAAACTGCTCGACCGGCTGCACCGCACTCGACGTCAGTGCGACGCTCCACTCCATTGTAGCATAGAACTGCATACGGGTCTATCTTATTCACCGTTTTGTTCTCTTTCAAACTAGCCGTTGATCCTATAGTGACTTCTAAACATTTCGCAACCATGGTGAACGTCAGCACACTCTAGCTCCACAAAATACTCGTTCAAAGACTAAGGCGTCGGACTGGTTCCAAAAACGGAATGGTAGACGGAAGCAACGGAAATCTGGAAACCAAGCTCAAAGCAGAAGCAAAACACTCGAAGTGAAGTTCAACAGAAACGTTCAGGTGAAAGATCTGGATGAAGTGGAACAGCATCTGTGGTTTGTCACTGAAGAAGGGTAGAGAGCGGTGACAAAGGGTGCTGCTGTACGGCGACAATAGGCGCCACGGTGAATGTGAGGGGGAGTGCCCCACCACCCTATCCAACTCCAAACCTAGCTGCTTCAATAATTGCCACAAACGGAGCAACGAGGGTTCCGTCAATTGCCATTGACGGTGTGCGTGTGGGAACAACTGGGTTTCTAACGGACGGCGAAGCTGCGTTTCCCCTGATTCCTCCTGAACACGTTTCTGGCGGGATAGCCAGCACAGCATGATGGGGTGGGAAGGGAAGGGGATTGATTGAGCTGACTGACGTGATGGATGGGGAGTCCGTTAGCTGACGGAAAGTGTGTGTGCGTAGCAGGCGGTGCCATTTCATTGGGCGAGTCGGTCTTATTGGAGCGGCTGCCGTGGATGCCGAAATTTCGTCTGAGCATGTGTCTGCGCGTCGTTCGTGAATCGCCAGAGTGCCTAGACAAACCCCCCACGAGCTCATCAGGTTGGCTGCCAGGCTTGTGGCTGATCGCGTCACATGCCAGCATATGGGCGAAGCGCTGATTTTGGCGCGCAATGCGACGCGATGAACACTCACGGTGTCCGATCGATAAAAGCCCTTGGAAAGGGCAGATTGTCGAACTATAGTGCTCAATCAGTTCAGAGTGTAACATAACGATGAAAGCCACACATGGCTTACTTTCAAAAGAACCAACATTAGAGGTGTAACTGTACATTATTCTTCTTTCATCAGGAGCACAAAGTCAGTGTGTGTCCAACGAGTTTGTCCCTTGTTCTTCCTGTGCATTTAATCTCGTTTCGTCATGGTGCAAAAGGGTGAACCTCAATAACCACTTCTGCACCGTCTGGAATCGCCTTGTGCCACGACTGATTTTAACTTCGTACTTGCACAGTGGGCTTGCCTCCAGGGGGGCAAATGCTGCTTCACACGAGAGTCTCAAGAATTCCCCACCCCCCCCCCCCCCCTTTTTTTTTTTTTTTTTTTTTTTTTTTTTCCGGAAGTGATTTGACACCAATACGTGCCCCTAAATCTCATGCTCACACGTGTACCAAGAGTACAATAGAACATTTTAAATTTCTCATGCATCGATGCAACAGCTACTTCTTTACTTCATCCTTGCCATGGTGGCTGCAGAAACATTTCGTGTGAAAAGCGCTTATTTTTCGTTCTTTTGGCACTGGTCGTCTTGGTCCAGTGGCCGAAGCACCAGGCGAGCCAGCTCGTCGTGCTGGTGAGCTTGGACTTGATGAAGTGCCTGGCTTTATATGCCAAACTGAGCGTTTTTTAGGGGAGCTTGTTTTGGGCCTGGAAGTTGGGACTTCGCCGAGAACCTGCCCATGAATCCAGTGGAAGGAAGGAGGGGAGAATGGGAATGCAGTCAAACAGTGATGATGTACATCTACCAGTCTGAAGGTAGTCGATACATTGTCTGAAGTTAGTCAATACATTGTTCACACACCTTTGCACAAGCTTGAATAGCCGCTGTTCTTGGTGGAGTGGTGCTTCCAGATGGACGGCCATACATTTCAGCCTCAGCGCCTGACAACTCCATCGAATTGCTGCATAATATCGCCTCAGACGTCACAAGTGCGTTGGCGAGCACTGCTTCACGGACCACATCGGCTCCGACTTCTTCTGCAGTAGGCTCAGTAACTAGAGTGTCAACGTGTCGATCTTGATGGTTTGGTTCAGCTGACGTGCTCCAATTCGTTGCATTTGAGGTTAAGGGCACATTCGCTGCAGGTGCTTCAAGAATGCCCTGCACCCCATCCTCCCTTGCATCGATTTTGTCCTCAGTAGGAAGCTCAGCAACATTCCTTCGATCACTCGGACTGAATGGCAGGTATGGACTTGATAGTGATCCTGCTGGATCTGTATTGACCCGATGCAATCTTGAGTGGACAGTTCGCGTTGCAGCTCTGAAGACTGATTGTGCAAACTTAGGACTGCCGTTCGGGGTAGCTATAGCTTCCTTCAGCTTCACATCAATATAGGAAGACAAAGAGCTATCCAGAGAGACACCCTGATGACCACATATAAGAAAATCAGCCCATATTGACTCTTTCAATCCAAAACAAGAGCCCACCGCTTACCTTCTGGACGGCTGCGTCAAGCAGCTGCTCAATATCAATGTCTGATGCTTGGAGTAGCATCCAAAGGCTGTTCATCGCCGACGATTTTTCCGCTATTAACTGATCTCTCAGAGCCAATTGAAATTGCATCTCTGTCATCTCCACACTCTGCTAGCAATGAACAATATTTGAGAAAGGACTCAACAAAGCACAGTTTGACAATAGCCATGGAAACGTACTAGGAACCTGAACTGGTTGAGGATGTGCAAGAATGAGGAGTTCTCATGGTCATTGACAAACGAGTCCAGCCTTTTCTGAAGAAGCTCTCTTTCAGCCTCATTGTTGCTGATGTCCTGAAATGACCCAGAAGTCAAAAGAGCACATTCTTTAATTGCTGAAGATAATGAAAAACATACCTTCGAATATAGCAGTTTCAGCTCTTCGTTCTCACACATGCTTTCCACGATAGCTGCTCTCTGATGACGCAATTCGTCCAGCTTCGTAGAAACATCCTCGTTCTGCTCCAGAACAAAAGGCAGTCGGTCAATAACATGTTTCCTCCTTATCGCATCAGAACAAAACTTAGTACCTGTAGAATAGCAATTTTCTGATCCAATCGGCAAACTTCATCACCAGCCCTCTTCAAACACTCGTTAAGCTCGCACATGGCCTTTTGCATGTTAATTCGCTCCTGGACGTTTTCGTTCAGTTGCCTACTTATGTCGTCTAGCCATGACGTGCCAGAGGGATCGGCAACAGGGTTCGTACTGGAAGTGGCTGCTTGCTCAGCCAACTGACCCTTCAGCATGCTTACTTCCTCCTGGGTGGCAGGAACATTAGACAAAGAAAATTGATTCGCATTCACAAAAAAGATTGAGGAAACTGAATAAAGACACACCTGAAGCTTCTCAATCATTCTGAGGTAGTCGCCTGATTGAGAGTCCACAGTTCGCACGTTGGTCTGAATGTGATACGCATTAGCACGCTCTGATGAAAAACGAAGGGTGTCATAATTCAGACTCACCCTAATACGTGTTTTGATCTCTTTTGCGCGGTCAGCATACTTCAAAGTGTTGATGATGTGATGGTACTGGTCAGCGGCTGGGCAGATTGTAGCCACCATTGTAGTTCGTGAATTTCCACTAAGGCCATCTTTCAACAACCTTGTCAGCTTGCTGCACGCAACCATACATAGTCAGATCTGGAGCAGATGCTTGTGTGGCTTAAAAATCAAACTACCTGTTTCTGTAAGGAACGTAGCCAACCCCTCGCTTCTGTTGCTGGCATAGAGCGTTAATGCAGTTAGAAAGTGCAAGAAGAGACTTGTTTATGTTGGCGCCATCCCTTAGCTGCTGTCCCATGTTGTTTGTCTCTGAAGCTCGTTCACTGTCAAGTGTGTCAAAACCAGTGCACAAGATACTATGCACAGGAAGAATGACAGGGTCCTTACCTTCCAGCCAAATCCACCAAGCAAAGCTTCGCTCCCATCACGCGCTCAGCTGAGCGTGACGAGACCACTCTCTTAACATCAATTTGTAGGACAGCATGGGACCTGGAATATCCATTCTTGTTCTGTGTCAATCAGGCGCATCTGGTGTGCGGTGTCACAAGCAGAAAATCACACCTTGATGATGTCAAGTTGGCATCCGTGCTCTCAGTTTTCCGCCGAAGATTTCCCTGTCTCAACAAATCCAAGATCTTTCCAGCACTTTGAACCTGCGAAACTTATCATTAGGTAAAGAATAAGCCACTTATACACGTACTTCTGACATTACCTTGATGCGTTTTAAACCAGCAACAGAAACTCCCTGACCAGGGTCTTCTCTCAACTCCAAACTTCCAGACGATTCCACCAAGAGGTCATATATGATCTGCCCGAAGTATCCAAGGCTGTAATGGATTCGCATATTGGCAATGCAATTGCTGTGCCATGTCAACTAACCTCATTGTAAATTTCCAGGTAGGAGCATGAAATGTCAACACTCTCTCCTGGGTTAACTTGCATGCCGTTCACGAGATTGAAAATGTCATTGAAACCTAGCACCATGAGTCCCGGATCTTCGTCATTACCAACCATTGTCCATGTCTTCCCGCTGCCACATACCCGTGTCATGCGTGTCAAACTCATCTAAAAGGAAGAACAGGAGTTTCCAGATTGCTCACCTTCCAGTTGCACCATAAGCGAAGACCTGAAATTGGGAAAACGTGTCAACACTTGACAGATTGCGATGGAGTAAGGCATTTGGAACTTACCGTGGCGTTTAGACCTTCTGTAAGGCCCTGGATCATAGGCTGCACTGTGGGAGTGTAAACCTCCTGCGCATTGACATAATAATGTTTTCCCAATCCCATAATGTCCTCGAGGTGCAGGTTTTTAGTGGTCTCGCAACTCACCACGTTGGACGAAACGCCACTAAAGGCCCTGTCAAACGAGAAGTGCTTTTCTTTTGTTCGGTGTTGAATCTTATCAAGGTATTGTTTATCCACGTCCGGATCCAGCACAACGACAGTCTGTACGCGCTCAGCAAGTTAGCAACGCGAAGAACTGGAAAGGAATACATGGGAATGCAAGCAGCACCTTGTCGTCCAGTACACGAACGATGTCATGCCTGCTCCTTCCTAAATCCCTATTGGATAATGGCCGCACCCTCACTACGACCTGTATTTACCAGAAAGATAGTTAGACGAGATTAACGAACAGCTTGTAAGAGCTGGCGCGAGGTAAGCAGCTGACCTGTAACGACCTCTGTTTTGAAGCAGTAATTACAGGCCTCATTGTCGTGCTTCTGCTTGGTGAGCATCCAGCGCCAGAATGGATGTCGCTAACTTGCAGTTTCCACCTAAAATGACTGAAAGATATTTCAAGCAATAAAAACGCCGAGTTTCCCATCTTTCACGTGATTTGTCAGTCAGGATTCAGTAATTCGGTACGATTCGTTATTGTGAGAGCACCGAGAGCACTGTACAAACTTCTCTAGTTCATAATTGTGTCTCATGCCCAGCTTTTGTGCCTTGCCAATTATATGCAAAGATATAGGAACATACAATCAAGCCAAGGCAGCTGAACGAAACAAAGATAACCTAGGCCACTAAAACTCCCTCTGGACCCACAGGCTCCACTCCAGGGCCATCTCCCTGGAAGTCCTCCTGCAATAGGTCAACAAAATTGATCAGTAAGCTTGTCTAGTAAAGACGAAAAGCTTAGCAAACTGATTTCATAAAACTCACGGGATTGTAAATGACTGTGATGAAAAGGGAGCAGCTTGGACATCTTGCGATCTCCTCTCCATTCTTAAGCTCCTCCTGCTCACAAAAAAGTCAACGATACGCATCACAAGAAACAGCGTCAATCAACGTGGCACATGGAATTGAGCATTGGAGAAAGGAGGTACGTGATCGTATCAATTGTAATAAATAAGAGAAAAGCACAGCCCTCGGATGAGAGCAGCTACGCGCTTCCAAGCACAGAAAATAGCTTACGAGAGTAATCTGGAAAAGGTCGCCACAGGGACAGGAATAGGTGAACGCCCCCAACTCCTCGTTCCACTCCATGTCCTCGATCTCCACCTCGTCGTACGACATGATGTACGCAGAGAGTTGTATCGAGAGTTCGCGGACAAGTGCACTCGACACCTCAGAAGTATGACACGGCCGTATAGCACGGCAAATCCTAAGAAGGGGAGGTAGTGATGCTGCGGACGCGTCTAAGAGAATCAGGATGGAACAGACAACCCCAGTATGCGCGCAACCCTGGATCGTCGACGACTGGCGCGTCAGAATACCCTGAGATGACTCTAGCGCAAAACAAGCAGTGATATTCGCATAGCAGAAGCAACCAGCGCGACTTCGCGTCTGTGACGAGCCCCAAAATCGGTATGTATGAGGAACGCCCTGCACAAAAACGCAGTTGCGTGCAGCAAGGGTTGCTGGAGGGAAAGCTTGAATGCGGGTGGTTCGGGCGGGCGTGCATGCACACTGGCGTGCTGGGTTTGGCGGTTTTTTGAAAGGGAGTTGGGGAAGCACAAAGGCGCTGTTCTGCAGGCGTTATTGGTTCCGCATATTTTGTGCGGGCAGGGGCTTCCGAGTGGTTTCAGGGCGCATCTGTTGTGGTGTGGTTGCGCGGATGTTGCATAGAAGTCCAGCACCATACCAGCCGCACCTTCGCGTTTTGGCGAATGTTCACATTTCGAAGGTTGATACTGCCCCGCATAACTTGTGCGGGGGCTGATGCTACCTCTCGAGGTGGAATCAGCACCGCACAAATGGTGCGACATTTTGCCCGTCAAAGAAACAGCCGCGAACCAGCTGAAGGTTAAAGCCGGCAGCCCAAATTGCACAAGTTTTAAAAGGTTGACGCGAGGGGGTTTTTGTGGTGAGGGTTTTGGCGAAAGATTCCGATTTCGCTTTTTTCGTTTTTTTCGCCAAACCCAGCCCGCCCTCGTATTTCGCCCTGGGGGTTGGTTCAGTTCCCAAAAGTCCCAAATTGCAGGCACGCTTTTCTTCAAACCTTGAAAACACTAGTTCGTCAAGTTTTAAAAGCTTGACCCGCGCGGCCCGCAATTTGGGACTCGGGCTTTAAAGCGGCGGTATACATTTGGCAGGGCCTGTGCCAAAATTTTATAAAAGGTACTTGGTGGTGACCGAGTTACACAGGCCCACTCAACTTCTGTCACGAGCGACGGTTCCCAAGTGTTCCCAACTCCCCTCACAAGCCGAGGCCAAAAGTATACTGAAGTTTATACATGCCAAAAGTATACTGAAGGAGTTGCCTCCTCGCACTAGCCCCATCCTGAAGTGGCCCAGCTAGTTAGCTGGTTCGCTTCCAAAAGATGAGGTCCCGGGATCAAATCCCCCCTGCGGCGTGTTCTGCCAGCCCCCCAGAAGGGGGTTACACAGGTGCTCATCTGGGAGTGGATAGAACAACCTCGTTGACCCAGCGAGGAGTGTAAACAAATGGGGAGGCGGGTTACGACCGACAGCCAGGTGTGGTTAACACCCAGAGGGGTTTCCCCCCCTCCTTTAACCTCGCACTAGCCCCAAGCATTCTCGCCGTGAACTATTATGAAAACTAGCTACCGGGGGCAATATTTGTCATTACGATCAAGCTTGATCTTACGCTTAGGTCATACGCCGTCCATACCATGGCTTAGGTTTTGCATCGCCTCGTAAGACTTCGCGTCGTAGACTCGCCTCAACGCCCGTCGCGGCGTCACCTCTCGGCAAATCCGCTCCCGGCGTCGCCTTGCCGCAAATATGCACGCGACGTCGCCTCGCCGCTAATATGCACGCGGCGTCGCCTCGCCTCAAATACGCACGCGGCGTCGCCTCGCCGCAAATACGCACGCGGCGTCGCCTTGCCGCAAATACGCACGCGGCGTCCCCTCGCCACAAATACGCAGCGGCGTCGCCTCGCCGCAAATCCGCTCGCAGCGTTGACTCGTCGCAACACAATGCCTCCTCACGCCACCGCGATCACGCTGGCCGCGTGCCCTTCCCAATAAACCCTTTTCGATGCCCCCCTTTACCGCCTCCCAATCTCCCTTTTACCGCCTCCCGATGTCCCTTTACCGCCTCCCGATCTCCCTTTACCGCCTCCCGATCTCCCTTCCTGTCGCCCAATTTCCGTTCTCGCCGCCCGATTCCCCTTTCCCGCCGCCCGATTCCCCTTTCCGCCGCCCCTTTGACCTTCCCGCCGCCGAATTCCCCTTCCCGCCGCCCAATTCCCCCCCCTTTTTCTCCGCCCAAAGAACCCATTCCTGCCGCCCATTCTCCCCTTCCCGCCTCTCATTCAACTCCTCCCGCCTCCCTTTCCCCCATTCCCGCATCCCGTTCCCCCCTTCCCGCCTCCCATTCTCCCCTTCTTGCCTCCCATTCTCCCCTTCTTGTCAGAATCTAGCAGCAGGAATGGATGAACTAGCAGCATGCAGGAGTACAAGTAGTAAACCCTAATTGGGCTGTACCCCATATGGGCTACCCCACTACAACCTAGACAATATGCAGCATATATATTTGACACACCCCCATAGGCAAAGTGGGGGAGAACAAGGGGTCAAACGACCAGTCAAGAGAAGCAAAGCAAGCTCAGGGTGGATCTCAACGTCACCACACATTCTGAGCACAAGCAAAGGGCCACAAGGCCAGTCCACATGCAGAGATATATATGCAACAATAACAGTACAGTGATGACTACCTAGCAAGAGCAGGCATGCATGTATATATATAGATCACAGTACAAGCAGAGACTACAGCAAGTGTGGAAACGTAGGCACAAGGCCTAACAAAGTACAAAAGTGCTGATGATCACCAGACGGAAGTGCCTTGGTGAATATATCAGCAGTGTTGGCCCGAGTGGCCACGTGACGAAGACGAAGCTGGCCTCGCTGCTGCAACTCTCGAGCCAGGAAGTAACGCAGAGCAATGTGCTTCGTTCTATGCTCCAGTCTGTGCTCCTCACACAAGGCAATGGCGGCCTTGTTGTCGACGTACAGTACTGGAGGAGAACGAGGCTGCTCTCCCAAGTCAGTCAGCAGGTAGGTGAGCCAGCGTAACTCCTGTGCAGCCATGGCTGTGGCGTAGATCTCAGCCTCACAACTGGAGCTGAGAACTGAAGACGAGCGTGTAGAACGCCACGAAACTGAACCAGAGCCAAGGCTGAAGGTGTAACCCTGTGACGACCGCTGAGTAGCCTGGTCGTCAACCCAAGAAGCGTCTGAGTGCCCAGTGAGGACAACTGGGCTCGTCCCTCCAAGCACTAGCCCCATGCCTGATGTGCTGCACAAGTAGCGCAGTACCCTCTTAGCAGCAGCCATGTGCTCAGGTCGGTGCCGACCAGGAGCCACGTAGCGAGCCAGAAGACCAAGAGGGTACGCGAGGTCAGGTCGAGTGCAAGTCATCAGGTACATGAGGCAGCCGACTAGCTCTGGGTAAGGACCACTCGGCTCTATGGACTCGTCCGAAGGTGGAGCTGAGAGCGTGTGACCTGTAGCCAGAGGAGTGGCCTGTGCTGAAGACCAGGTGAAGCCGAAGCGCTGAAGGACCTGCTGCACCATGTGTGACTGAGTCAAGGTGATGGTGCGGCATGCTCTGTCCCGGGTGATCTGCAAGCCAAGGTAGCTGCGCAGCTCACCCAAGTCTGTGCACGTGTGTCTCTTCTGCAGCTCCGACTTCACGTGGGCGAGAGCCTCAGTGTCAGCAGTGGCAAAAACCAAGTCGTCGACGTACACGAGGATGTAGAACGGCGGCAGTGAAGTGTCGGTGTGCAGAAACAGCGACGGGTCAGCAGTAGAAGGCGTGAACCCAAGAGCCGCAAGCGTAGTCCTCAGTGTGTCGTGCCACTCATGTGGCGCCTGGCGGAGACCGTAGACCGGCCGCCGGAGGCTCCACTGGGTACTAGGAGGGAACGACCCAGTGAAGCCCGGGGGGCGGCGCAGCCAGATCTCCTCGTGCAGGCTGCCCTGCAAGAAAGCTGTGCTGAAGTCAAGAGAGTGAAGCTCGTAGTCACGTTGAGCAGCAACGTGCAGTAGCACCCGAAGAGTGGTCATCTTCGGGGTGGGGGAGAAGGTCTGGAAGAAGTCAACTCCCTCTCGCTGACTGAAGCCTCGAGCAACGTAACGAGCCTTGAAGACAGGCGGAGAACCTGGCGGCCGCTTCACCCTGAAAATCCATATGCCACTGACGATGTTCGCCCCAGGAGGGGGAACCTCGTCGACGTAAGTGCCTGTAGACTTCCAGGATGCCATCTCTGCGTCCATGGCTGTCTGCCACTGAGAGGAGTACTCACCCGCGATCGCCTCAGCGTAAGAGCGCGGGGTCGGGATGTCTGGTGCATCCGGGTCTCCCTCAGGGGCAAGCAGCATGGCAACGAGATGAGGCGCAGCGGCTGCAAGACACTCAAGGTCCTCGTGCCTGTCCTCAAGGACGTCCGTGCTAAGAGCACACTCACCCCCGATGGACGGAGGACACACAGACTCAGACTCAACAACAAGACTGGCAGCGAAGTCTAGACGACAGGCAGCAGCAAAGTCAACAAGCTCAGCGACAAGAGCAGACGCAGCAGTAGACTCAAATGACGGGTCAGTGACAACAGTGGCTAGGAGACGCGTGAGAGTAGGGTGCTCAGCACGAAACCGGTCAGACGCAGGGTCCGGAACGTCAGGCAAAGAGGACGTAGGAGGAGACGGCAGAGGAACAGGCTGCGGAGCAGAGGAAGGACGACGGACTACGAGGTGTGCGCTGGGGACAGCCGGCTGACGCGAACGAGGAACACGACGACCGGTGCGACCAGGACGAATAGGCGAAACAGGACGCGACGCAGGCTCACGACGCTCAGCAGGACTACCAGTCTGCTCAGTGTAAGGAGAAGGAGCAGGCAGCGGTGAGCCAGGCTGTAACGGAAGACCAGTAGACGACGGGAGAGTAAGAACCTGACGAAGAACAGAGTCAGACGGCGGCAGAGACGACGGAGACGGCGGAGCGAAGAACAGTCGTGTCGGTGCAGCTGCACCAGTACCGGCAGCTCCAGCAGCTCCAGTGCCTCCAGCAGCTCCAGTACCTCCAGCAGCTCCAGTACCTCCAGCAGCTCC